TCGCATTCATAACATTAGTATGGATAACATCTTCACTTACTTCCAGTCACGGACCCACATTCAGTCTTCACTTGCATAAGTTATTTTTCCTTTAGAAATCCATAAAAAGTATATATAATTAACGCTGCCTGTTCTTGTATTCAGTTCAGCTCTTTCCAATGACTCTGCATGTCTGCAATCCTAACTATGTCACAGACAAACCGAAGATGTAAAATCGAAAGCTTGAAACTACTTCATTATCATCATACCCGCCCCGTCTCTTTATTGTATATATTGCTGAGTTTTTAAACTAGAAAATAATGTAGCCGTCAACAATATAGATGAATATAATAGTAACCAGCACAACAACCACAGACCGACATTTAGTCTTAACTAAGCAAGCTTGTGCTATGAGTACCTAAACAACTGATAAAAATACATAAATATAAAATTAATTTCTAAATACATAGAAAACACCCAAACCAAACAAACAAACTCATAAATACAAATAAGTATTTGTACCGTGGGAGTATTCGTATCTGCGCCCATGAGACGTAAGAGGGTGTGCTAGACCGCTAGACCACCGAGGCCGTCTAAAATTATTATTATTTTGATGCATATGTATACAACATAATAATAAGACATAGACATAAAAAGACACATAGACATTCATGTATCAATTAAAATTTTCGACTAAATCATCTACCAGGGAAAATACCATAGTTAAAGAGAACAATTACATGATACTAGAGCCTAACAGAGTCAATTTATTTCATCAATCTAGTTCACTCCAATATTTTCTTACAATGTCGACCTAGTTCAAAAAAATCTTGCGAGGAGACCCGGTGGACATGTTACATTAGCATTGGCACAAACTCAAGTACCTATTTTATTTTACGAGAATTCCGCAATCCAGCTGTATAATAAACCAAACTATTATTTTTATCTATTAGTTAGTTGTTACGTCTTAATCCCATTAACAATCTATTGTCACTTCAATATAACCATTAAAACTGTTAGTAACATTATATTTCATATGATGGAATACCATCTTTAGGTACCTGGTTTAGTTTTGGTAATTTCCGTGACTGATAATTTCCTCTCTCAACAAATGCGGGTTACAAGCATTATCCTTCATATTACATCGTTTATTTTGTATTTCAGTATCCTGGTAACAATTGAGTCACCAGGATATTTTTGATGTCTGCGTTCAAAAATAAACCTTGAGGATATCACAGACAATGTCCACACAGTAATATAAACAAATGACCATTCATATTATCCACAGTTACGGAGTCCGTACCCTGGATTGGCGGTCTATTTTAGAATCCAGATCATCAGAGCACCTAAAATCTTGTAAATAGGCTGTTAGAGGAAAAACTGTATTATTAAGCTAATACATAAAAATATAGAAAGGCGGTAGCTTTTGGGAAAAAAATAACATATTTTTATATTGATAAAAGACAATAAAAACAAACATATAAAAAGCTACGTGCACACAGCCAATCCAATGTTAACTGAACATATTTTTAAAAATGCTGTCTCTAAACTGTTTACCCTTCAAAGGCTTCTAAATCACTAGAATATTATTGCCAATTTCATCCAGTACAATACTGCACTAAATCTTTGGACTAGAATAATGTACTCAAGGCATTATTGTGCTCAGAACGGGGTGTGAAAAGAAGTGGGTTCTGCTCCCTAGGATAGTTCTACGTCTGGCCGCAGTAATATGTGTACTCATGAGTATGTATGTTTGTAATGGTCGGTACAGTTTTTATGATGGTAACAAACGCAAACTAATTCTGATCCGCCTCTGGCTTCGTATCTGGGACATACCTATCTAGTGTACGTCGACGTCAATGAGATGTAACTCACGCACACAACCAATAGGTTTTTCCGGATTTCGCAGTAGGTTACTTGGGTATTACGAAATTATCTACAACATATGCACATTATTTACTGAATATTTTATTTAAGACTTGTTTCGACGTTGCTGATCAAGAATAAAAATTCAATTGAGACTAAATAGTGTTATTATTAGTGATACCTATAAATATAAAATATGTTTATTTTATATACCTTACATTTCGTTAACAACATAGGCTCTGTAAAAAGTATAAAAAGTAATTTTTATACATATTTTTATAAATTTTACACATACACTCGTATATACGCATTTTAAAGAAAATAGATTTAAAACACTTGTACAATAAATAACTATTATTTGTTGTAGAAAATAAATTGGCGTTTGTCAATGTTTAAATGCAAAGGACCACGTCCAAAATAAACAAAGGGGTACAAAAGAAGGGAATACCTATTTAAATATTTTATAAATAATAAATTAAAAGTTGTGGTTACACCGTTGCACGCGTCGCGGCGCATTCGCTGCCAGGGCCAATGAACGGTGACAGGTGCCTTACAACCAATCCCAATGCAGAACATCACTTTACGCGACTCGGTTAGAAATCACGAAATTATATATTACATCCTTTTCTATACTACAGAACTACTGTTACAACAGAGCGAGAGCTTACCTAAATGGTAGACACTTCAAACGGTAGACTGTAATCTTAGGTCGTTCTTTGTTTACCGATCAATCTGAACGATTGGTTTCCCTTTATGGATACTACGGTAAAGTTGCAGTTATCAAACCGATTAGGGTACATCGAAAATGATAGCTTTTTAAAAAAACTAGACATGTTTACACAAGCTGTATATAAGTATTAATGTCTGGTCTAAACGAACTTTTCAATGCTTTGTCTTTTGGTATGTCATGTTGAAATTATTTATGTAGACAATGAACCATCCATGCCTATTGTAATTCAACTAGGATAAGCCCACGCATTCCGGGAGGTCGTTAGTGTGGAGTCTAATGTCATCCATTCATTAGACGAAGTGCATTCCCTCGCATACAAATGTCCTTCCTGCCGTTCAAGCCGAGCTCTCTACGAAACCGCCAAACTTTTAAAAATATTACTCATTACTTATCAAAGCTTTGTTCACCCGTAACAAGACGAGGATGTCAGAAAACATACTACTAACGGACATAATGTAAATTATCATAAGAAATACTAGAGCATGAACCTAAATTTAATCCGCAGATGAAATTCTAACAGATGCGTACATATGTTTATTTGTGTGCTAAACGGCGCCAATATTGCTTGTTTTATTTACATCTCCGGGAAAAAATTGGCAATTGGCCCAATTTTACGAACGCACTATTCGTACCTAGTGGAAATCGTACTGCAGTATGCAGTTATACAGGTTTTAGGTTCAACAGCAGTTTGTACAAACAATTAAACCTTGTTTATGCAGTCACGATTTACATTAATGCAAATGCTTATTTGATTGATTATTAGGGAGCCGGTGATGATAATCTATGATCGTTATATGGCTTATATGTACCAGAAATAAATGTTGTATATATTCTGCTTATCGTATGTGAAAATTGTGACTTTCGATTCAAAACTTTTGTAAATAAAATGCAAATTTAACACCACATTACGTTGATTTTGGATCGCAGTAAATCTCTAGTGAAACTCCAATCTCCATTACAGTCTATACAATGCTTTCGAGAAATAACGTAAACAAGCAATAGAAATGCATGCTCCAAAATAAGATATATTTTTTATCAGTAACAACAAACATGAATGTATTAAAAAAACCTGTTAGTGACGTGAACGTGACCTTTACTATGACGTGACTGACCAACAGCCATTTGTGGAATGGGACCACATAAAATAGATATGGTTGTTACTGTTGTTGTTGGAGACAATTTAACAAAACAGTATTTATACGTCATTATTTTTACTTGTACATTCAGCATATTTATGCTGAATAATCCATTATTTTTAATAAATTTTTGGGAATACTTTCTTATTTTAATATTATACGGATAAGATTTTTGTTTTCGTCCTCGGTGATCAAGGGGTTTAGCAGACCTTTTTACTTCCGACTGTTGCCTGTTTGATATCTCGCATAGTACAAACATTTGCATTTTTTAGTATGACTGTTTGTTTTGGTCGATATATATATATATAAATATATATGTTAAGTGAATATTTTTAATAACAAAAATTATTTAAATAGTCTAGTGCCCATAATACAAGCTCTGCTTAGCTTGGGACTAGATCGCACTGTGTGAATTGTCCAGAGTTATTATTATTATTATAACAATATATTTAATACAAATGTTAAAATCTATTTTTCATAAGTTTAAATCACAGATAAGAGAATATTACATGTTCAGATTAAAATAAAAGATTACATTGTTGTAAAATACAAGAAATATAAGGTGCGACGTGTCCTATCTATCTTTGAAATGAATTGTATGCATTCTAAAGATCTATATGTTTTACTATGTAATGACTCACTCATTACCGTTATCGAGACCGGGACGTGATCCGACATGGTGATACCAATACGGTGGCAATGGTGATATTGTTACTGTAGGTAAATAATATAGTCCTTTAAGTAAGTGTGGTTATAAATATAGTCATAATTTATATGCATATAGGTATTTGACGACACAGATGAGTTTGTTTTGTGGCATAAACGACGGTACCACGCAAAGTAGCAACATATTGTTTTTTTTATGTTAAACATTTTACGTGATACATACCTACATATAATCAAGTTCTCTTCTTAGTTTGCTTTAGAAATAAATTATAGAAGATCAACCAACCAAGTAGGAAAACTTCTGACAATAAATTAAGTAAATTTTGTCAAAAATGTTACAATGTTTACACATACCTACATAAACTTAGCTAGTCTACAGTATCTATATGTATACAGATATATCTTCGGAACTACATCATTTTTTATAATTTAATAATTTTAACGGTCTAACAAAATCTTAGGTTGTCCAACATCGAAAAAGTCGTAACCGCCAATTAGTAAACATCGTAGACGAACTAAAATAGGCTTCCAATTGAACTATGTATTTAACAAAAATAATTATATTGCGATTAATAAATATGAGATGACATAATCAGTAGCTCAGCCACTAGCTTATGTTTTACCTGAGTAAACTGTGAAGAGATTTTGGTGTGGTCTTCTTGATAAGTTTTTCGCGATTTCCGTCGCTCTGTCATTAATGCGGTGAGGCGATCTAGTGCGCGCGAGTCCAGGGTTTCTGCGTTAGCCTTGATCAACCGACTGGTGTTTTCCCACTCTTCGGTCATTGTGCGCCACGCCGAAGCTATAACTGATCCTGAACAAAAAAAAGAAAAAATAAGTTTGCTATGTTCTAATGAACCCGGGGGGAAAGGGGATTGTAAGCATTAGGGTATGGTGTATACATTACTAGCAATGTACCATGTCAGGGCAAGATTCACGCAATCTCCTCTAGAAAAAAATCGTGTTAAATTTTTAGTGGATTCGTCACGATGGTTCAACTGACTTCATGTTCATTATATCATTTATAACTGATGCCCTGCCAGTACCTTACAGCGCAGGCGTGAGCACGGCTCCGTCATCAAACGTGAAAAATAATCAGCAATCTGCCCCGCAAATATTTATACTTCGAATGGGGTGAAATTAGTATGAATATTTATGAATATATAATATGAAATTAGTAAAACTTATAAAGTAGTTATCTTTAAACATCACAACAATGTACTTAAATAAATACTTGGAAGGTGGGAATCATAATTAATTAAATAATTTAATTAAATAATACTTAAATAAAAGATACAGACACACATCACGATATATATATGACGCATGTGATGCCATTCATCATCATCATTATCAGGACTATGGTCTCAAGTTTCCACGCCCTAATTTAATTCAATTAAAATAGCTTACAAAGCAAACTGCATGACAGAAATAGGCGAGTTTACAAACAAGTCTCAAACAAAATAAATATTACATATTATATGGAAAAATAACGAGCGATTCTTAACCAATTATATGCATAATATCACATAGGTAAATAATAGCTACAAACAGCCGTTGTGCAATCAATTTTATTAGAATAAACAAATTAGTACCTATTTGCAATTTGTTCTTCAAAAAAACTAGTGCTTCTATTTATTTTTTTAGCATGGTTTGTATTTTAATATTTGAAATTAACACAGCACATGTTTATTTATTTTATAATTTGTTAGAATTTTGTTTGTTTGTCTGTGCATTTGTGCACGCTAATCTTAAAAATAGTTTCACTGATATGGGTGCGCTATTCACTAGTTCTGTGGTAGGTTTCTTTTAAAAAAGTTTGTAATACATTATTGTATAATAATAAAGCCTAATATGAAAGAATCATTGTATTCAATTCAAACAACGAAAGGACCGTAAGAAATAACCACAATTTTGTTTTTTTATTACAATAGTAAGGTTTACAACAAAAAAATATATACGTAAGTAGTAAGTAGTAGTAGTAGTAGTAAGTCGCGGGATCAGCTAGTAGTATAATACATAAACATATGTAGATATTAAAGTGTCTTTTTATCTAATTGGAATAGCAAACAAGCTGGGTCACGTGATGGTAAGTGGGAATCGTCACCCACATAAATGAACAGCACTACGGACATTACGTTATCATGTGACGCCCGTGATATCGCTCATGGGTCGCTATTCCGGAAGACTAAAATATCCTGTAACTTTACTGTCACACCTCACGCCTCAATCGAAATCTTACAAAGCAAACGTGATGATACAATCATTTACATCAGGAATGTATGCCATCTTCATGGTATAAAAAAAATTGTTGAGACGGAAGTACCCACGCAGACGACTTTTTACATAATCTGTAGAAACAGAAAATTTTTAACTTGACCTATACAGAATGTATAGGTCAAGTTAAAAATTTTCTGTTTCGATCATTGTTAGTCACATCTCATTTTATCAAATTTAACATATCTTAAATAGATAGATACGAGTAATATCTAGTTTATAATCGATGCTTTCTATGACTGAAACATTCATACTAATCGTAGACCTACACTACGACTATAATTGCGAAGGCTGTATTTTTATCTGTATTATACCTTTTTACGACTGCACAGCTTTTAACGAATTAGGACGAGAATTTAAGTATATTGTAATAATGGCTATCTAATTAAATAAAAAAAAACTTGGTCATTTTAAAATTATACGCAAAGCATTACATATTTTCAGCCAAATTCGAACGTCGACAGAATTTTAAGGCAGGGTAAATCGATAGGCATGACGTTCACAATATTGTTGACACAGAAATATTTCCTCATTTGTTTTATTTTATGTCATGTTATCTATAACATATAAGTAAATATATGTACCCATATTGTCTGTTTAATTTTGATATCGATTCGTAACGTTCAGAAAGATACCTAGCGCCTAAACTTTGTAAACTTACCCGCCTTTATATTACAGGTTTGCTTTTTAGGTGACTGGCGATGGAATGGAGCGGGGAGCGGACTAGTTGAAGACATGTTTGACATTTAAATACGAGAAATAGGCATAATGACGACATAATGAAGCAAAAAATAAAAGATTATCAATACCTATCAATTTAAATAGTTCTGTTGTACACAACGGTAGGACCTACCTACAAAATATACGGATTTACATTAGTTTCTCTTCGTAAATTAGTTATTCCGATATTAGTGGGTGCCTATTATACATACGAGAGTAAATAGCCCATATATTCCGTTTTCGTCGTCTGATAAATACCTCCCTTTTGATATTACCCATCATACATACATACATCTCTAAATGAGTGTACAAAATGACAGCACCAAGCCCAAATCTCCTGTCCATCGCCCTCCTCACCATCCCGTAGCACCAATCCAGTGTTCTAGAAATAAGGATTTTTTTCATGTTAATGTAATCTTACCATTTAGTTCTTCACATTTGTCCATCTTCTGGCCCTGTGCAGCAGCCGCTGACAGAGCGAGAGCGTACTCCCTGTCGCTCTTCATCTTAGCTTGGAGACTCCTTTTCATTGCCTCCATGAGCCGCAGCTCAGCATCTTGGCGAGCCAGTAGCGCTTCATGCGCTGCGCGCCCCGCGCCACTCGATGCATACCCCATAATAAACAACCCGTTTCCACACTACACATGCATCGCAATGTAAACACAACACAATTCACATCACTTTCCGTTATCACCACCACCGTGCTTTACGTCACCAAGCAATAAAATTCAATTTATTGGCAACTACAGCTCAACGATCACAATGGAAAGGAGCTCCACTTCTACTCGTTCGAATACTAAACTTTTATTTTTTTAGGGCTAACCGCGAATATAGACGGGCACGTAAACGCTCAGTAAAAAGGTGCGTCACAAAAAACTATTTCGATAGAAAACTTTGTTCGAACTATACAAGCACGCCCGAGACAACGGTGCAGACGTCCGTACGGTTACGGTACGCGACCTGAATGCCATCTACCGTGTTCGTTTGATGTTTAACCAGCTCTGCCTGCCAGCTATTCTCTATAACACTCGTATAGGCTTCGTACATATAAATTTCAGAATATAACCAGTTAACTTAACTAAAATAAAAACTTATATTAGAGTAGGTATAATAATTACTCAGTAGAATGATCAAGTTCAAATTGGAAATTCAAAGGGTAGGTTAATGAGACTATCTAGCAATTAAAGAATATAAAAATAAGGAAAGTGAAGGTATAAATCTGCAAAAGCTCCGTACCAGACACTGACATGTACGACAACAAGTATTCCTAACTTTACTGATAAATGTTGCTTATAAGCCTATTGTTGGTTACCTAAGTACATTACAAAACAGGGAAGTTTGTGAAGTACATTATGGATATGTACCTAAATCAATTTTGTAATTTTATAGACTTGTTCTTTTTTTTATTTCTGATAATTTTATTTTTTTACTTAATAAACAGATTTATGTCACATAGACAATAATTATCCTTTTTTTCTTTATCAAATTTGTCTACCTCTAAAATCGAATTTTGAAAATAGTTTCCATAGAATTCAAACTAGTGCATGTTACACTGGAGCACTGCACTTAATACTGATAAGCTAAGAATCGGGAAGGCATTTCAATACTTCCATCGTATCTGTTCAGACAAAAAGCATCCTGTATTCTAAACAAAGCAGTTCCCTTACGTCTTTGTAGATACTATCGTTTATGACTTCTTGTTTCATACATATTAAAAGCTATCTTCCGCCAATGTATTTTCATTCCTTACTTTGTTTAAATACATACCTACAAAGAAATTAAACTCTGCATAAAATTCGTGATTTCATCTAAAACCAATTTATTGTGTGAATTAATGATCAACATAGACATATGCAGCGACGGACTAAGGCAAAAGTGGCCATATTTTAATTCCGGATTTATTTTTCAGTCATGCATAACTGTGCATTATACATATTTTGTGTTTGGTAATTTAAAAAATTACGGACCCTATGTGCGTATCTAGGTTGCCTAGGCCTTAGTAGACTCAGTCCCTGCCTGGATATATTAGTAAAGTAGATAGTTGCAGATAAAGTTATACTTTGCCATTGTCACTGATGCAAGTGACATTTGAACAAAATATCTTTAATATGTACAATAAAAGTCACAATTTGGCCATTATAATTACACCGTTTTTACAGTCGCAGTTTTTGGTATATTTATTTTAATCTTTGGTCGCAGTTGATACATGCTAATCATATCGCTTTCTGTGAATAACAATATAATATAGTATATCTATTTATCTATAAGGTTCGTATATGAAGCTTTATAGTAGTATAAACTATATAGTTCATGCAAAATTGACAATTAGAATTTGCTTTGAATCCGAAACTACGCTATTATCATCAAGGAGTAACAATTCAGTAAACCGTTTGTTTGATTCAAAACGAAGTACGTCACTCTCAATATTTTGGTGTCTATTAGTTACATTGTAAAGTTAATTTTATTTTTGCATATATTTTGTTAAGTTTATGTCTATAAAATGTGCATTATCCTCCTCGTAAACATCGAGACCAAAATATGCATGAATTGTATTAATTTTTATTGAACAATAAAATATTCACCATCTATGGAATCCATCCATATTTGTAATTTCAACATTTGGAAAGAGAGTTACAATTTTATCTATGTGTCCCTTTCACAAGGTTGCCATATTTAAAAAATGAATTGCAACAGTGTTTGTTTATATAAAATAAAGATAGAAGTATAATATTCGTAAATTTTGACATATTAATAATTTACTGTAATGTAAATGTAATAACTGTTTGTATGTTTTTAATACATTATCAAAAATATTGTTCATCCACTTTACTGTCAATGAGGTCTATTGATGAAATAATTGTATTAAGATGATTATATTTATAATATATAATATCTGACATCTTTAAACTTACTTAAAACATTATTATTTCATCATCAGTAAAAAAAAATAATACATATTTCAAGGAAAGGAATTTTTAATAAGTGATCCATTTTTTAAATTATTGTAATACGTCAAGTTTCTAATAAACTTACTTTAGTTGTTTATTTATTTGTCCTTTTCTTTCAACCTCATTTATTCAGTGTCATTTAATCAGGAAAAAAAAATAATTTGTGAAACTTTTTAAATATTTAAGAATAACATTAATAAATGTTTGCTTATTGATTTTTATCTTCAATGCTTATATTGATTTTTTAAAATACATTTAGTAATAATACGGTACTTTACCGGAAAAAATAATAAAATGCCGTAATTAAGATTAAAGCCGGCATTAGCAATAACCTCGGTATTACGTAATAGATAGCACTCAAATTATTGAGTATGGTATTAATGTATTGACGGGTAATTGTCGATACTGGAGGGGTAATCAAATAGCAGTCAGTGGCAACACTTGCCCCAGCCTTGTAATATGGCCGCTGCAGGTTAGTTTTATTAATTTTGTCACGTGAAAAAATCCCAATTTTCCCTATATTATATCGTTTATTTTCATTTTTCTTAGTTTAATTTATTGCCATGAATCTAATTCATACTAAACTGTTGCTTTTAAAGCACTGCAATATTATCTAATATTGCTAACGTGTCATCGTTTCACCTTTGCGGACGTTTGGATTTACCGCGTGGCCACATTTCTTAACTTTTTCAACTCTTTATTTTCACTCGTACACAATTTTAAAGCTATATATTTGAATTCTAATGCTGACATGAATGTTAAAAAACATTTACTTGAACAGATGTTCACTAATGTAATTTGTTCTTTCATTGAGTCCATGAATAACCACTTTCCAAAATCAGTGTAGGTCGTTCACTTGAAATGCGTCATCACCACGTTATTATTATTTAAAACTTAACGTATATTGATCCATATTTACTCATCCCTCTTACAGGCAAGAAATCAAAAAAGTCAAAATGGATCAAAGCCAGCATCACAGACATTATAGCGGAACCAACAACAATTCCCACGATAAACAACTGGGCGGACGCCGCAGATGAAGAACGTAAGTGACTATAAACAATTAAAAAAACATTTTTGTATCAAATCTGTATTAAGGTTTCTTTAGACCCAGTGATGAAGGTGAGGGTAATGGCAGGTCAATGTTAATCTCGTACTTGGGGCGCACTAGCCGAGTGTTTGTCACTCTTTCCGCCCCGGGAAGGTCTGAGTAAAGGTCTCATGTGTTTCAAAACATTCTAGCCGGATGCTACCCTCACAGGGTGGGCGGGGGAACCAGAAACTACAATGTAATGTTCAACCTGGGAATCCAGTACCGGTGGGTCATGGATGAGGTGTAGGCATTACATTGTTGGAAACTCCTGTGACCAGCAGTTTTAGCACAATCTACGAGATGACTTTGGTCACAACTCAATTCAGACTAGTCTTTCATTGACCAGCTCCCTATTATATCTGAGGGTCTTTATAGTCAATGTTTTATTTTATTATTTCATTATAAGCTTAATAAATGTATATCTGTATCCTTCATGCAATATTTTGAAATCATTTGTAAATATACAATTATTATTCGTTACAGTAAATATTTTCTTAAACCATTAATTTATTGCAACTTAATATGGCTTCAATTTCTAAATATTGATTTGTCTATTTTACAATATAACTATGTATAGCAAATAATATCTTATTGTCCTTTAATTAAGAGAGATATCTGTTCAATTTCATTTAGTAATTATTCAACATTCACATATCTCTTATAACTGTTAATCATACAAATATGTTATAGTATTAGCATATGTCTGAAAGGTGTGAATATATCAGCAGAATATTAAGTATATTTTGAACAGCGACAGAGAGCTATGGGTTCTCGTCGCGGCAGCGGCCGCCGGTGGTGCTGCCGTCGGCGTCCCGCGCGGCTCGCGGCGGTCTGGCCGTGGACGACGAGTCCATACCGCGCCGCCCGCCCTTCATTGCACACATCTCTAACCTGCCTTATGATGTTGACGAGACAGCCATCACTGAGCTGTTTGGAGAGCTTAAGGTGAATTTTTTGCTTATACTATTTTTACTTTTACAAATTCCATTTATTACAGAGTACACTTTCTACTAAACTCTGTAAATGTTTCAGTTTCTACATTTACAGATACTTTTATCAACACATTTTAGCTTTGAGCATGTCCTATCCTGACTGTACACCCAGGAATATTATAACCAACAAAACTTTTGTTAAAATGTTGTATATGTCTGGTATCTTTGCAGGCTTATTAAAGCTACCTCATTATTCAGAGACTGTAAATTGTGTACATCTATTGGCCACTAGCACAATTTCCAAGATATAAAAGACAGAGCCACTGTGTTTTAAAACATAAATAAACCAGAACAATAACAGTTTATTTTAGCATACATATTCAAAGGAGTGTCCTTCTATTGTCCTTATCATTATTTAGAGTAAATAAATAATAATTGTTACTGTAATATTTACATGACTGTCATCATTTGATGATATCTCCTGGTGTCTAATACAAACCATCATTATAATTAACCTGTACAACTAATCTATGTACATATTCAGATAACATATCACTCTAAGAAATATTTTGTATAGTTAAGATAGTTGGAAAACACAAAGCAATTAATGTATACTAATGGTGACTTTCAATATTAGTTATGATATTGAGTCCAAAGGTTAATTTGTTTAGAAAAACTGTAACAAGAACAATAAAATTGGCCATGATGTCTATTAAAGTATGATTACTATTTTTGTTTGTAGATTATCAACTTGAGATTGCCAAGAGAAGGGGACCGCCTAAAAGGATACGGATATGTAGATTTTGAAGATAGAGAAAGTCTTATCAATGCTATGAATCTGCCTGATCTAGTAAGTATTATATAAACTTCATCATGTACCTAATTTAGGTAATCAAATTATCACCACTATGACGAAACAATATATTTTATTGCTATATACAAGTTGGTCAAATTATTTTAATAAACAAACTTATCTTTGTACATGGTATGAAAACAGGACAGCATCTGTTTGTTTGTTAAGAATGATAGCTTTGTTATTGTTAGTATCTGACATAACTCTGTTTATTAGTAAAATGGTCAAAATTATGAACATGAAGAGTATTACGTAAATTTTTAATATCTCTTAATAATAAAGACTAAAATACTGTCATAGATTTATGATAGAACTAGCTGTTAGTTAAATAAACCTAGGGTTTGTTGAACATTCATTATATATTTTTGTAATGTATAATGATATTAGAACTGATATCTAATCAGTACTACTAACTTAAGACGAAATAATTCTATTGAGATTCACAATCTTCATAGCCGTAGTTTTTAACTGATTGCAAGATGAACAAAAGTAACAATTTTATGATTTAATAATTGAGCTGACTACACATTGTGTTATTTATACTGAGCATTGACCATAAACCAATATCCGTAACAGTATGTAGATCAAATATTTGCCTTGAGGAAAATTACTGTATGTTTGTAGTATTGACCATATTTAAAAATAGCACATTAATATCCAGTCAAATTAAATGGTATTTTTACGTTAGGAATACTTATAATTTACACTGATTATATTGATAAATTGTAGGTTAAACAAATTTATGCGGAGTTGCAAAACATGGCCGAAAGAATTATAAACTCTTTTTGTATTTGCACCTTATGCATATTCTAAAACTTACATATTATTCATTCTTAGTTCTCCTTAAATATTAGGGTCCAAAATTATTACAAAGCATCACTTATATTTTTATACAAGTTCCTTTTGTTCTGTAGACAATAGGGGGCAGACGGATAAGAATAGACGTGGCAACGCAGGACAACGACCGCCGCATGGGTCGAGGGGGAAGATCCGATAGGGACAGGTAAAATATTTTTTGTAATGTCTACTACTTTGTACTTACCCTTGCCAGAATATTAGATCTGTATAAACTTCAAGTAATTGAATTAGTCCACGTCATTCAAAAGCGATTTATGAGAACATAGTAAGTTCTTTATATTCCCGTACATACACATAAAATAAATAGTGCAAAGTTTACATAAGTTTAAAAAATAATAATAATAATGATAATATTGTCTTATACTGCATTAATAAAATGTAATATCACCTATGATATAAATTCGCGTTCATTAAATTCCCAGACATAAACAAAAATAATATGAATTAAATTATATGTGAAATTCACTACGGTCATAATTATTGAGAGATCGATTATTTAGAGTCAGTTGAAAGCATTGCTCAAGTCATTGAAGGAGTATGTTCTGTTTTCATGTGTGATTAAATTTAGTTCAGTCCATTGCTGCTAGATTATTTTATGAAGTCTGTTGAAAGCATCGGTGATATCCCTCAGAGAGTATGATCCGGAGCGCACTATGGGCGATTGGCGTTCGGGCCCGCGGGCGGTGCCCGAGACGCCGGCGCGGGGCCGCAACGACGCCCGCGACACCATGCGCGACCGCGACACCCTGCGCGACCGAGACCGGGACTGTAAGTTTTCTTTTTCAAATTTGAATTAATGATTTTTTTCTTTTTCCACACAAAAGTATGTACAGGACAGTAACAGTAGAGACTGGACGATTTTTTTATAATATGATTATAGAAACGTCATGATGTATTTTGAGTATACTAAGGAAATTTAAAAAAATCGAATTTGTTTATTGTATGGTGGCAAAAAGAAATTAAACCTATTATTTAAAATTTTAACATTAAACTTGTCATTACTTTTATTTAAAAACTACATATTGTACATATATTTTATTATATATAACTATTGTGATGCTGTTCACTGCAGCTACCCTTTACATCTCAACATGCATCTCAGGACCAAATATCTTTATTTCGTGGTTAAAATTCGTTCGTTTGATTTTGAATATTATACTAAAACATAGTGTTTGTCTGAAACTAGGCGTTCTGGCCAAAATCGGATTTCGGCTTCTATTTCAGTAACAGTTTAGATCCAAATGATTTTCCAAAAAATTTTCCTATGTAAACTACAACAGTCTAAAATTTTCAGCCCTATTAAAATTGTTGTAATTTGTTTTATGTGAAACTCATAATACTTTCTACTGATAAATAAGTACATATATCATATGTCACAATGATGATAGGTGTTTGTGTTACGGAGCAAACTGTAATATCACATTTGGGATGCACATACAGAGTACATAGAGATACGATTTTATCATGCTATTGTTAATTGGTAATAAATCAGTCAATTGACCTTTTTAATATTACTTATATCTCAAATGGATGTAGGATGTCCGAGTATAATATTATTTATATTTTTTGTTATTTAAATATTTTAATTCATTTGTACTAAATTTGGTATCTCGGTTACTCATCACATCTCGGGAAGGTCTGAGTAAAGGTCACTTGTCACAAAATTACCTTCTAGTAGGAGGCATTGCTGATAGCGATGGCAGGGGCACCAGAAAAGCAGGGCTAGTGGCTTAGTCGAGGACTCCATGGGATGAGATTCAAGTGCTAGTACCTTTGAAAGTCCCCCTGTGACCAGCTGTTTCAGTACAATGTGTGATACGGCGGACGCCGTAACTCAATTCAGACTAATCTATGGTTTGCTCCCTCTATCACATTCATTCTCTGAGTGACTAAGTGTATTTATTTTTAATAATAGCCCTAGACATTTCACACTGTGCCATCTAGTCTCAAGCTAAGCACCGCTTGTTTTAATCATCACTGGCACCCTAAAATATAAAAAAAATCACTTTTGAGAGTCACAGTTTTTATTTTTCTTATTATTTAAATATGAAATAAACTTGAAAGTGTTTTATGTTCGATCCATAATTATAATACAATTTGTGCATAAATATAATACAATTTATTCTTTCTGTGTCTGCCCTAGCAGTAGTATATGTCTTATTTCATCCTAATTGCTACATTAATGCTATGCTAATTCGATATATACGCAAAATGCCAAATTCATCATGATTAATTAAGTTGTAATTATCCTGTCAAAGTATAAAAAAAAAGTAAACCCACTTGTAATAAACATTATATTTAGTTTGGAGTGTACAGATAAATAGAAACTAGAAAATTATTCCAAAAAACTATGATCACAATTATTTTATTGTTTGAAAAATTGTAGCGAGTGCAGACAACCGACCTGGTGGATGGCGTGATGGTGACCGTCCGGCGCCGGAACCGGCTCGGACGCCTTACGGCGGCCGGGACTCCTTCGGTCGCGATCGCTTTGGAGAAGACCGGTGAGTATTGCGTTATATAATACCATCGCATTGTCGGTTCTATTCTTGCAGCATATAAATATCCGGACAAGTAAAATATTTTTTGTAATGTCTGTTACTTTGTACTTACCTTTGCAAGAATATTATAAATTTGAATTCTGTAATTGCCGGTTCAATCCCTGTAGATTATAAGTGTACATATATTTATTTGTATTATTGTTTCTTAAAAAAAAAGTACCTACAGCTATCAGTTATCTATGTCCAAGGAATTCTCAACTGTTCACGTCTTAGTGAACACGTGACTGGACACATTTCGCACGGTATATTTAAATCCAATATACAAGCTCTACAAAGTCTCTTGGTTTATAATCGCTGTTTTCATCATCAAAGAGTCGGTTAAAAATATAAATTGATAATGGTTTTGGTGTCAATTTATAGTCAAGAAATCCATTCGATTTAATTTGTAGTACTAGTGACCTAAAGGACAAGCGTGGTGGTTTTGGATTTTCATTAAATTGTAAATGTTGTCTACAGTGGTAGGGATCGAGGATTTGGCCGTGACGGGGAACGCAGCGGCTACGGTGGTCGCGATGGATTCCGAACTGCTGAGCGAGATGGATTCAGGTAAGTCCATAATAATTTTAATATCACTAAAATCAGTCACTATTAAATTACCATCTCATCTACTTAACCCTAAGCTTGTACATATGTAGACGCAGGACGCACAAGTGAAATTTAGCATAGACTTTTTTATATATTTTCATATAAATGACCGTAAATGGGCGGTGCCGTGCTGTTATGTAATGGGATTGTAATCGACAAGTCTACATATGTTATTACAGCTTTGATATGGAGACCTTAATAGAAAACTTTTTTGAACATGAAATATTATACAAAGGGTTCTCTTTACGTTCATGACTACCAGTCCAACTACATGAGAAAAACCTCTAAATATAATAATTTGCAAAAAAAATAATTGCAAAAATGCACAGTATATTTCCAATATATATTTTCTACATCACAAATATAATTCAAAATAACTTATCAATAACATACAACCATTATTTTCTTAGTGTTTTGATAATGAGATAATAAATGAACTTTCCATTTTATTGTCTACACTCTCTACAGTATATGCTGTACTAAACACCACTAATTGCTTATCCATAAAGAAGTTCTTATGGAAAAAACCTCTTACAACATGCATACATCTCATTACATAAGTCAATATGCTATTGTATCCTTACAACACAAGTTTTCCTAATGTTATTGATATGTTAATGTTCTTTATAACAGTCGAGAGGGCAGAGGATTCGGTGGAAGGGGTTTCGGCGATCGTGACCGTGATCCACAACCAAGAGAAGGTATGGAATATTTTTATTATACTAATAAATTATCTTACATAACTCTACGCATATTCACTCCGCTCAATCATACAAAAATACATACATGGACTAGATCCTCCATATTAACTTGTGTGTATACTGAAAAAAGATCCATATATAACATACATGCAGTATTCAATACCATTTTATTAAATTTTAGCTCAAGCTAATTATTATATGGTTGAATGAATGGACACAATAAATAGAAACTAAAGAACCTTTCATTTTAATCTTCTATGATTGGAGGTCAATTACGACAGGTATACTAATGGCAATAATTATGTCAAATGTTTGTATCATCAGACAATCGTACCCACGAACTGTTGTTACGATGGTCGTAATGGAATCCATTATACTAATCCCATACGACCATTTGACATAATTATTTGTCTGGTTTTGGTCTAAGTATTTTCTATGTTTATTATGTATGTATTTACAAAGAAAGTTTATTTAAGTATATCTATCAGTTGTTTTAGTACCCATAATACAAGCTGTGCCTAGTTTGAGGCCAAATTGTGTGAATTATCTTCAGTTATGAAAAATGTTTCTGCTAATTATTGTAGAAGCAGCGAAACCACGCGAGCGACCTAAGCTGAATCTGCTTCCGCGTACCGTCCCGCGCGAGGTAGAGGCGCCCACAAAGCCGGCTGATGGAGCTCCGGTTGAGGACAAACCGGCGGAGAAAAGCCTCGCTAAGCCTGTGCCTGCTGAGAAAGTCTTCGGCGCTGCCAAGCCTGTAGACACAGCTGCAAAGTATGTCTACAAGCTCATCTGCTCATCACTTACTATCGGATCTTTAATATATATATAATATATAACTATATCTCAGTTGCATAGCAAACGAGATGTAGTGCGGGGGCTATAGCCCCAATTGTGTTACTAAAAACTATACAAACACCGTAATTTCAATTACAGTACATAATGTCAATTACAAACCTCATGGACTTGAGTCTAAGAGAATAATGTAACACATTGCTAGAAATTGGATCTTAAAACATTACTGCCCTTCCCCATAGTACTATTTATATGTTATAAACCATTTTAACTATATGAGTGTGTAAAGAAACAAATAAGTAAAATGAACAGATTTTGGGTTAATTGCATATGTTTTATACCATAATGGTCGCGATTTCTGATGGTAAACGGTATTACCGTAGCCTGTACATGCCTGAAACAAAAGTGTCGTGCGCATTGCCGACCCTAAACCGTAATTATAATTTAATTAATTCACTGCATAGAGTGTTATAACAAGTTATGATCATGGCACATACAATAACAGCCAAGATATTATATCTTGATTGTTATAGAGTAATCTCTGATGTGCTATATCAAGAGGGTTAACAAGACACCGTAACATATTTTAACATGTGCGTTACGGTCGCTATATACCAACATTTTTTACTATTAAGTTATATACATTTATTAGTAATGTTAATGTTAATTTATCCCACTTATAGAATATATTTTCATTACGATTTTAGGGAGAGGGAAATAGAAGAACGTCTTCTTAAGCAGGAAGAGGAATCTAGACGAGCCGCGGAAGACAAAGATCGTTGGGTTCGTAGGGTAAGTGTAATTATTATTTTAAAAAACTATAAATATTTATGTACAAGATAATATTACATATACACTTACATGTACATTACTTTAAAAATATCTTCAGTATTATTTAATTTTATCTGTTACAAAGAATCTAACCTTATAATATTAGTTTAGACTAAAAATTACAATAGAAAAATATTATATTAAGGCTTATTTCACAGAATGACGACTCTGGTGATCGACGAGGTGGAGCGAGAAGGGGTAATTAATTTTTTTTTTCATAATGCTTTACTTGAAAGTAAGACGATGTCACTAGATAGTTAGTTTTTTATTATGATTAAGATTATTTTATTTTTAATAAAATTGCAGTCCTGCTAAGTGTCCAATCAGAACAATATTTATATATAATAAACAAATGAGAATCATGGAAATTCTTTTAATATTAACATACAAGTATTATATATTACAAGCATTTAATTAATTAGATTTGTATGACTTGTTTAGATGACCGCGGTAAAGATTCTCGCAGCTACAACAGAGACCGACGCGACTATTCAAAGGAGAACAAAGATCATCGCGATAAAGACGACAGGCGCGACTATAAAGATGATAGAGACCGACGCGACAGGGATGATAGGGATCGGCGCGATAACAGGGACGACCGGGACAGACGTGATTACAGGGATGAAAGGCGTGACAATTCAGGAGATAGGCGAGATTCGCGGGACAGGCAACACTCTCGGGGCAGACGTGACTCTCGTGACAGACCGGGCTCAAATGATAGAAGGGACTCCCGCGAGAGGCGCGAATCCCCTGAAAAGGATGCCAGAGATGCGTCAGGCGATAGGCGCACCCAGTCATGGGAACGGGAGAACCGCGAACGGGACCAGAAGCCACGAGAAGAGCGCAATGGGAGAGAGCGTTCGAGACAGAGTCGCTCGCGGGATCGGGACGACAGAGAAGAAAAACCCTTGCCTAAGTTGAAAGAACAGGAGAAACCGGTATGTTTCCATTACGTTTAATGTAGTATGTAATTTATAAAATGTGTCATTAATTTTTTTATGTATGAAAACAAACTGACGGCCCACCTGATGGTAAGCGGTAATCGTCATCAAGTCACATGCGTAATAGAACTCATTTGTTGCCATTCTAGAGCACTAAAATGTCATGTATCTTATTCTGTACGTTTAATAAATAATTGCTTTTCGTATAGGTACCTCTTACTTGTATATCTATACTGTAATTGTTTATATAAAAAGAACATATATTCAAAAGAGCAACACACGAGTTTCTCGCTCGTTCCTCTTTGTGATGAGACAGTTTTTCCAATGAGCGGTAAATTAAAAGATACAATTGTTTACAAAGCTAGCTATTGGGCAGCTGAAATAGGTGAAACGGAGACTTGTACAATCAATCTACCTTTGTTTTGCCCCTTCACCATTTAATAAAAAGTTGTACGTTTGATCTTACTAATCTCTGAAACGGCATAACCTATTTTGACGGAACTTTCACTCGAAAATACCTAATGTTAAAAAGAGTAACGTAGGCTAATTTTAGTTTAAAACAATTTTTTTAACATCTAAGCTGATCTTATCGCGGGTAATAGCTAGTCTAAATATTTATAATAGTAAGTTTCATGACAATTTAATGACAAAATAGTGAGCTTGGAACAACTATAACAATACTACAACTACTGTAATTTCCTATATTTACTTTGTTTTTGCAGAACTTCGTAGCTTCAAATAAATTTAGCTGCCTTGAAGACGCCGACGATGGCGCCTCTGATTAACACGTACGAACTTTTGTGTGCGCTATTACCGTGACTCGTGTATAAAGTGTAAATTAACGAGTATCAAGTGTCAGAAGTGTAGCGAGACTCGATAAAGCACTGTGACGATCTTAAATTGTGCTATGTTATAGAACTCAATTAGTCATTAGTGTGGTGTGGATATAAGTGTATATTACGGTCTCTGTATGCTCACACTGCTTCGAAGCTAGCCCCAGCCTTTATTGTAGCTTCATTTAGAGAAATATGGACTGTTTTAAACAACATTATAGATTAGCAGTGCTTATATACAGATGACTTACCGTTCGAAAAATCATTAGTCGTAATAAATAGGCTCAATTTTTCATCAGAATATTATTTTTATGTATTTACTCAGTGGAAGACTAATTCATAGTTTAAATAGTACTGAGAATTTGTTGTCATAGTAAATATATAATTGAATCGTTATTATCCTCTCTTTTTTTATTATAACAGTTTAAATATAGTCGCATTATCGCGTATGCAAACTGGTTATTCCTGTAAGCTCCAGATGTTTGTCTTGTCTCCAAATATTTTTCCGTTCGGATAAAGTAAGAGTCGACTCTTACTTTATCCGAATGGAAAAATATTTGGATTAATATATATAGTATAATTTGTTTATTACAATAATGCTAAACCTTAAATTTTAACTATTTTTTTAACTCATGTGTGATAATAGTGTTAATATGTACTGATAATAAATAAATTATCTTCTTATGGAGTTTGCCTAAAACAAATATTATCTATCTCACTTTTATAAATACTGTCCTTTGTATAGGGCTTTGCCACATGATTAGGGGAAGATTGTGCAATTCCAGAACAGTGTTTTGGTTTTCAAAACGTTTACATAGGCTCAACTACTAACCTGCTGACAATGTGGTGAAACCTTTAAAATTTTTTTTTCATAACATACAAGGAGTTATAGTAAAGGCTGGGGCTCATAACTTGTGACCATATTGTACTGATTGGTGTAAATTTTTCTATAGTTTGTTACATACTAGTGTTGTATGGACAATAACAAAACAAAAACTGTGTACGTCAAATGCTGAAAGTAATCAGTTTGTTTTTTGGTACAGGTGCCCAATATTTTGTGAATATTTCATAATTCTATTATTCTTTACTACCATACGAATCTTATTTCTTTATTTTAGAATTTCTATTTTAAATATTTAGTTCATGTAGATTTATTATTAGAAATGTTAATTGTATTATTTAATCTTTACACTGAAACATATGTATCATTGGTAAGATGTAAGGCGCCACATTTATTTTGCAAGTATGCATTATTGCTATAGTGAGTCTGCCTTAATTGTATTTAAAACTTAGTTCTTATGAAAATTAAAAGTACCTAAACACCATTATTTTAACTGTTGGATTGAAATCAAAATGACAAACATGTTAAATTTTTGTATCAAAATTCTGTGTTGATACAATAATGTTCCCATTTTGAATATAAATAAACAACTCTTTTTACAGTCTTTGTTTTAATTATACCATCATAATTAATTGACTGGATTAATTCCTGTCAATTATTACAATTGTTAATTGAGTGGAAAATCTACAGTTGGATTGTCTTCAAACTAGTGTGCCAAAGTCATACACTCCATCCCATGATCTGAATTGAATTACATATCGCTTATGTAATTCACCTTTTCATGTCTTTACACTAAATTCTGGGGCCTAATATACTGTGAAATCTGTTCATGGTATATATAATACAGTGGACCCGCGGTAATCCGGTCCCCCTTGTAATCCGACTTGGTTTATTATTTATTATTGAATATTTTTTTGACAATCTTCGCTAATACATGCTTGAACAAGTTTGAACTTGTACGCATCACCACTATTGTACTCGACCCGTAGGGTATTGTTTTGATTATGATTACTTAGTTTGAATTTGATTACTTACATGTGATGAAGATAGCGGTATAGTTTAGCATGTCTTCATTGTTTATTGTTTATTCACACGTATACATATCAGCTCAGAAGCGAAAGCACAAAACACTGACAATTAAAGAAAAATGTGATATTTTAGACCGCCTAAATAGTAACGAGTCTTTTAGTAGTTGACATACCTACATAATGAAGTATAATTTATACTTCAAAGTGCATATATGGTACATACATATATAACAGAATCTTATCACTGGATCTGTAATTTGAATCGGATTACAAGATACTCTATTGTAAAAAATTCCGGACTATACCCTTAGGCAGCACTCTATAATCCGACAAATTCTATGGTCCGACACTGCCCTATAAAACGTTTGTCGGATAACCGGGCGTCCACCGTAATAATATCTCAGGACAAACATACAACGCCACGCTAGTCTCAAACTAAGCAGAGGTTGTGTTATGGATACTACTAGAGCACTGATAAACATATACATTTTCTTTTTATATACACACAAAGAACACCCAGACCAATATAAACAATCATACTCATGATGCTCATGAATATGATGAATTATTTTACAGTACAATTTTTATTTTATAGTTTTTAGTAAGTATTTAATCTCGGAGACTACATTGACAGATATAAATGTCAAAATGATACCGTTTTGTTGTTTCGATTTATTTTACAGTTTTATACGAAGTTTAACAAACATATTTATTAAGTGGGTATATGTTTTATGAAATGCGACACAATATGAAGATTATTCGTTTTATATAAAAGGCAGCCTTTGTTTAAATGAAATTAAAACTATTTTGATACAACAATTCTACATCTATTACTTGACGATCTCGGTGGTCTAGCGGTCTAGCACACCGCTTTACGTCCGATGGTCGCGGGTTCGATTCCTCGCACGGCAGTTCACGGCACAAACATTTGTAGTCATGAGTATGATTGTTTGTATCGATCTGGGTGTTATCTATTTATATGTATGTATTTACGAAAAAAAAAATCTATGTATTTGTATCAGTTATCTAGTACCCATAACACAAGCTTTAGCTAACTTAACTTGGGTCTGGATGGCGCTGTGTGAATTGTCCTGAGATTATTATTATTATCTATTAATACCTATACTTAATTAATTTTGAGTTAATGCGTTTTAAATAAACGTTAAAACATTATTTCTAAGTAACCTGTAGAAATGGATAATAGATATTAATTTCCGATAGTGGCCCAACCCTATTTAAGAATCTAAATAAACAAGCATTCCAGATATTTTGTTTCCATATTCATCCACCTCCTTTTCAGTGATGGAACTGGAGAAGATCTTTAGACCGTGCAGCGATAATGCCAAATTTGTATCCAACTTAAAATACCGACTAGAAAAATAAAAATATAATATTTTATTACATACACTATATCGTAACAACGGGTAACGATAATGTGAACGAAGATTAGAAAAGAAAATCATTTATTCAAATAAACTTCATTGAAGCACTAAAAATAAAATACAATAATGATTTGAAAGACAATGGCTGTATGGGCTTAGATTCTTTGCCTTTCATATGAGGATGAATAAAACAAAAAATATAGCTATACCAGTGGCACTCAATGAGGAAATAGCCATTATTATTGCTAAAAGTTGCATATAGATGGCGTGATTGGTATCGATGGAATTCTTCATAGTTTTGCAAACGTTTTAAAAAACAAAACTGTGTTTTCAAAATAGTTTAATCCATTTTTAAAAAATATATATACATGTTAAAATGAAATAATGCGTTTAGAAAAGTAATTTTCATATATTTACTCATTGTTATTTTCCAGTACTTAATTACACTTTAATCAGTGCTAATACGGGGCTCAATGTTTTCAAAATGCTTTCATAGATGGCATTGTTGTCATTTGTATCGGCCTAATTAAATGTCTTTTTTATATTTTCCAATAATAAGCACTTAATATATTATTATTGTAAATTAAACATATAAAAAATTTTTAAGTAAATTAAAAATAGCCGAACAAGCAAGTAATACTATTTCCAATAATACTTTTTAATTTTTTTTTTTTTAATAATGCTTTATTCATGACCATGGATACAAGTCCTTCAGTCGAATACATTTTTATAATGAATTTAATACAAAACATAAGAAATAAACTATTATATAAGCTTAGACAGTACAATTTTAGTAATAATTCATTAATATTAAATTTTTTCCACAGTATGTACAATGTAGTTATATATTGGAATAAAATATGCAAAGTGAGATAGCAAATCTTGAACGCGGCGGGGAATACTTTGTGAGTGTTCCTTTGCGATGTCACTAATGTCACTGACAAGAATCAACCGTTGTATGTTGAAAACTTGGCATTCAAATATAATATGGTTTATGTCAGCATTTATCTTGAAACAGTGGTTGCATCTGTTGTCATTTGTGATTTTAATTCTGTTGAGATGGGATGGAACTAAACAATGGCCGAAACGTAGACGATTGATGATAGTGATAAATTTTCTATTGTAATATTTGAATTTGCTGTACCAAGGTGTCACTGGTAAGTCTGGCTATAATTCTGCATACCATTTTCCTTTATTTTTTGTGCTTATGTTCCAGTACTCTTTCCACACTCTTCGTAAGTTACTTTTAAAATATTGGTAGTAGTCGGTAAATGGCACTTTCAAAATGTCTGTCTGATCTTCATCATATTGTTGACGAGTTGCCAAGTCTACGACCTCATTTCCAGGTATGCCACTGTGTGAGGGTACCCATACAAATTCTACATTCTTATTTTTACTTAAAGTTATTAACCTATTTTTTATTTCATATATAATATAATTTTGTTTATATGTACAATTGCCACTGGATAAAGTCTCCAATACACTCGTCGAATCAGTAACTATTAGTATATTTACATTATTTACAAGGTTATTAACATATAACAAAGCACTTAATATAGCATAACTTTCGGCTGTAAAGATGCTGCAATTACTTTTGAGTTTAATACATTTAGTATATTTCTTTTGTGGATCATAATAAGCTGCTTTAACATCATTTAAATTTTTAGAACCATCGGTATAAATAACATAAAATTCTGATTTCTTATTTAAAAATTCTGCAAAGTCATATTTGTTATATATTAAATCTAAATGAAATGTAGTGTCAAGGAAACAGATTAGTGAATCATATGGACATTTGTATACTGGCCATTTGTCATTTATATATATTCCACCTGTAGCATTTTTAACATGTGTCATTATTATTGAAATTTCAGGTAATGATCCTGAAATAATAACAGATGCTGATATGGGGGAACCTACAACTAACTGAGAAAGCTGTGCAGGATATAAAATATTTTTAAGCACAATACTATTACTGGAAGATAATTCCTTTATACAAAATCTTTCTGCCAGTTGCAAACGTCTTAGAGACAATGGAGGTATACAATTTTCAACTTCCATACTATTTATAGGTGTGGAACGCATAGCTCCACTAATGATTCTCAACCCTATATTTTGTATAACATCTAATTTCCTCAACAACGTGGTACTAGCAGTCATATAGGCTAAACTACTATAATCAAAATGACTTCTGACTATGCTTTTATACAGTATATTGAGTGTTTTGGGATCAGAGCCCCAGTAAGTTCCTGCTAAACATCTCAAAATATTTATGCTCCTCATTGCATTTTGACAAATGTAATCTATATGTTTATCAAATTTTAATTTATTGTCCAAAACTATACCTAAAAATTTGTGTTGATGGACAATGGGTATTATTTTGTTATTATACATAATTTTAAGATTAGTTTGTGTGAATGTATCTCTACTAAATACTAACACAGAGCTTTTTTCTGAACTGATTTCTAGTTTTAGAATATTTGAATAATACTTTTGTAATTGATTTAGTGCAGTATTTATATTATTTATAGCCAAAGGCAAACTTTGACTCTCAGTGTATAAAAGCAAATCATCTGCAAACTGTAGTATGTTAACTTTTGTAGTATCCACATAATTGAGGATTTCAGATGTATACAAGCCATACAATAGAGGGGACAGGGTTGCTCCCTGCATTGTTCCCCTGTTAACATATTTAGGTCCATGTAGGATATTATTATACTTAACATAAACAGTTCTGTTTTTTAAAAAATTAAAAATCCAGTTTAATATTTTGCAGGGGAAATTTAAATTATGTAGCACATGAATTAAGGATTCTATATTTACATTATCGAAAGCACCTTTAACATCTAAAAATACACACACAACATTGGAATGACTTAATTTTGCTTTTTTTAATAGGGATATAAGAGTTACAAAGCTTTCAGAACAACTTTTGCCTTTTCTGAATCCAAACTGAATATCTGGCAACTTATTCTGTGTTTCAGTAAAGTAGTCCAAACGTAATTTTAACATGTTTTCAAATAGTTTGCCTAGACACGATGACAAGGAAATGGGCCTATATGATGATGCACAGTTAATATCCTTATTTGGTTTCAAAATTGGAATAACACACTGGGTTTTCCAGGATTCCGGTATTATTAAATTCTCCCAAAGTTTATTGTATATATCTAATAGTATTTTAATTGCATTTGGATGTAGCTGTTTTATTAATTTATATGTAATATTGTCCAAACCTGGTGTTGTATCTTTCCTACTCTTAAGCGAAATATGAAGCTCGGCCAGTGTAAAGGGTCTGTTGAGAAAGGAGTCACTGTCATTTTTATCAGATTGATTCAATATATCAACTAAATTTGCATCATTGCATTGTGATGGAGCTGTCAACATATCTAAGAAACTTTGTACCCAGTCATCATTAAAATTTTTGTTGGAAGATGTACCTATCCTTTTAAACTTTTTAATGGAACTCCATATTTTTGAAATAGGTGTCATTCTATTGAAGCTACTACACAACTCTTGCCAGGAATCTATGCTTTGTTCCTTTAGAATTCTTTTTTTTTTAGCATCAACTTTTTTATAATTTATGAAGTTAACAATTGTTGGGGTAACTCTATATTGTAAAATGGCTCTCTTAGACTGTTGAACAGCATCATCACATGTTTTGTTCCACCAAGGCACTGGTTTTCTTAAAGTGTGTATAGTTTGTTTAAACTTTGATTTTGGTACTGTCTTGTCTCTGATGTCATATAAAATATTAACAAAATTATTATAAAATTGTAATGGTGTGTCATTATTTACATTATTATGTACATTTAAGTGGGAAAAAATACTTTCTGATAAAGAAAAATATTTCGACCAGTCTGCTTTATTATATAAAAATTTTTCTTCTACAGGTCGGACCTCATACACTGATGGCCTCACATTTACACTTACCTGAGTTGGATAGTGATAGCTGCCCATCGGGTCATCATGGACTTTCCACTCACAGAGAGGAGCTATTCGGGGACTAACTAATGTTATATCTATTGCTGATGCCTGCCTGTTTGGTGATTGAATGGTGGTTGGACTACCATCATTTAACACACATAAGTCAAGTTCATCTATGAGATTGTATATGTTATTACCTCTACTATTGTTTGTATGACAACCAAACAAAATATGATGTGCATTAAAATCACCCATAATGAGACATGGCTTAGGAGCACTAAGTAGAACTTTTTTCAGTTTGTTGGTATCAAATCTTCCATTAGGAGGACAATACACACATAGTATGTTTAATTTGCCTATAGATGTTTCTATTGCAATACATATATTCTGAACTGATTCATAAAAAGTAGTAGTTATGATATTATATTGAAAATTTTCTTTTATTAAAATACCCACTCCATTGTGTGTATTTACTGAGTTTTTGAATATGAAATTATAGGATGTAAATTTAGGAATTTTACTGTTACTTTTAAGCCATGTCTCATTAATGAGACAGATATCAATATTTTGTTCATTCATGTATTTTTGCAACAGAGCTTTTTTACTCTGTAAGCTTTGTATATTAAACTGGGCTATATTTAAGTATGTATTCATTAAATTAAATTTGACAACAATATTTCTTTTATTGTCTTATTAGTTATTGACATTTTCTCTTTGTTGTTACCGAGAGCAACAAGAGATTTAACTAATGCATTAATTATAATTTCATTATTTACAATTTGATCTGCATTGAATGCAGTATTATTATTATTTACATTTTTTTTAAATTGTGAATTATATACATTTGAAGATTTCTCTAAAGTGGGATATACTTTTGGGGTTGTACTACTTGAGGGCATACTCACAACAGCGGCATAGGAGTGATTGACATATTTACTTCTTTTTTCTTCAATTTTCTTCTTTTTAATGGGACAATCTCTCGAAATTGCTAAGTGGTTACCTACTAATTGATACAAACGATTTCTTCTACATCACATTCTTTGTATGAGTGTTGACCAGCACATGATGAGCACATCTGTGAGCTACGGCATACTTTAGCTGAATGGTTAAACTTCAGACATTTGTAACATTGGACTAATGGTGGAATATAAGTGTGTACAGGATATCTAAATAATTGTATGTAGGCATATTGTGGTAAAGTGGTAGCTGCAAATGTGACGGCTACAGTGCCCAATGGAGATAGTTTTCCCTCTACTTTTTTCATAAAACGTTTGATGGATATCACTTCGGTATCACAACTAATACTTTTATAAATATCTTCGTTGGACATGTCTGTCGGTACGTATCTTATGATACCAGTTTTTTCTGTGATATATGCTGGTACAAAAGCCTTGAATTTATACTTGTTTAAAAAATTGTCCATTTTTAAAAAATTATTGGCTGGTGCGGGCTTTCGAAAGGTCACACCTATTTTATAGGCGTTTACTCTGTGTACACCTGCAATGCCTTTCACATTTTCGGTGAATAACTTTGTTAAAGTAATGGGGTTTTTATTCCCTACTTTTTTCATTTTCTGTAGATTCTACATAGACAACACAATCTACACTATGATTTTCAGGAAACTGTCTTTTGTAATTGGGTTTTGTATACATTTTATAGTCCTCGGATATAATTAAATGATTCGGCGACATCTTCCGTTTTTTGCCGCGTTGACTTTTTCCACGGTCGACGGGGTTTCCCCCGTCGCTACTATCACTCATTTTCTTTGCTTGATTTATTATTTAGGTATTTACAATAAGATATACAATATTTACAATAAAATTACAATTAAAATAAAAAAATCAAAAAGGAGAAAATTTAAAACACCCGCTCAATTTGACTTCCCGCCAAAAAGTCCCCCAATAATACTTATGTATGAAGTGTTGTCATATTAAAAATAAATACATGTATTATCGATTTTTTTTAATAATCGATAACAGGATTTTATTACAGCGCATTATTCGATGATGCTTTTAATGAGTCGTTGTGAACAGTAAATTTTCATTATTTTGTATTAAGTATAGCAGTATTCCGTTTCAAAGAACGGAATATAGTAGTACATTATTAGTGTCGTTGGTTATTTACATTTGTACTGAAAAATCGATTACATAATAATTTAAAATATCGAGTACGAATCGTAGCTGTCTTCGAATACTGGCAACTGGTAAGATTAAAATAGTTTTAAAAAAAAAGAGAGACATCGACCCTAACTCGAATACCATAAAGTTTATTTTCCTTTCTCATTAATATCATAGCAGTTTGTTTTTAACTTGCGTATGACTCTGTGGTATGATGTTTAACGTGTATTGTTATTGTACGGTGCATACATTTCAAAAATTATATTTTAATGTAGGTACAAACATTTCTTTCATACATTTCATACATGTCAAAAATTATCTTTTAATGTAGGTACATACATTTCTTTCATACATTTCATACATGTCAAAAATATCTTTTAATGTAGGTACATACATTTATTTCATACATTTCATACATTTCAAAAATGAACTTTTTATGTAGGTACATACATTGTTTTCATACATCTCATACATTTCAAAAATTATATTTTAATGTACATACATTTCTTTCATACATTTCATACATTTCAAAAATGAACTTTTTATGTAGGTACATACATTGTTTTCATACATCTCATACATTTCAAAAATTATATTTTAATGTACATACATTTCTTTCATATATTTCATACATTTCAAAAATGAACTTTTTATGTAGGTACATACATTTCTTTCATACATCTCATACATTTCAAAAATTATATTTTAATGTAGGTACATACATTACTTTCATACATTTCAAAAATTATATTTTAATGTAGGTACATACATTTCTTTCATACATTTCATACATGTCAAAAATTATCTTTTAATGTAGGTACATACATTTCTTTCATACATTTCATACATGTCAAAAATTATCTTTTAATGTAGGTACATACATTTCTTTCATACATTTCATACATTTCAAAAATGAACTTTTTATGTAGGTACATACATTGTTTTCATACATCTCATACATTTCAAAAATTATATTTTAATGTAGGTACATACATTTCTTTCATACATTTCATACATTTCAAAAATGAACTTTTTATGTAGGTACATACATTTCTTTCATACATTTCATACATGTCAAAAATTATCTTTTAATGTAGGTCCTTACATTTCATACATTTCAAAAATTTCATACAATACATTTCTTTCATACATTTCAAAAATTATCTTTTAATGTAGGTGCAGACATTTCACACATTTAAAAAATTTCATACAATACGTTTCTTTCATACATTTCAAAAAGTATTTTTTAATGTAGGTACATAACACCCCATGTCAGACCCCTTATATTTGGAAGAAACTTAAAAATAATGCCAAAAATATTAGATGAATATATTTTTAATACGAATATTGTTTTACTTTTGTTCATCAACTTTATCCCTCACTAACAATACTAGTAGTAGTACATAACCTGGTTTATACCGCTAAAGATATTGAAAGATATACGAGTAATTCAGAATGTTATCAAGTTCAAAATAAGCACACATTACTTGCTTAGATAACAGAGTAATATTACTAGTAATAAAAACATCTGTAATACCCATATGTATACTACGTATGTATAGTAAGTACTTATGCTGCGGCGCCGTGAGACTCGTCTAAGTACTTCATCTACTCATCTACGCGCGGTAACCGCGCCGACCGACCAATAGGATAGCGCCTCTCGTGTTTCCAGAAAGTTCGCGACTAACGGACGATATAGTAGTAAGGCAATGAGTGTCCCAGTGATATCATTATAATATTTTCTCGTTAAATTTTATTGTAATATACACAATTTCGCACTAAATAACGTGTTACCCCGTTACACATTTCTAATAATGAAAAACCTAGACCGACCCTGTTCACTTAATCTTACAAGATCTGACTTTAAAAATTACGATATCCTCATATAGCCTTTCATTTCCCCTTTCAATACTTTTTCGCATTAAAAAGTAGCCTTTCTCAGGGTCTACATTATCTGTCTACCAAATTTCAATTAAATCAGTTCAGTAGTTTTGGCGTGAAAGCGAGACAAACAGACAGACTGAGTTACTTTAGCATTTATAATATTTGTAAGAATATCGCTATTAAAAATAGGGGTTGGTGAAAGACGGGTGAAAATTTAGGCGTGTATGTATTTTCAATGTAACATTATAAATAAATAAAAAATTGTCCATAATACAAAAAAATATTTTTTCGGGTAGGCCACCCCTATGACTTAGGGGTATAAAAAATAGATAACAACCCTACCTCAGACCTGGGAAGTATACATATCAAATTTCATCAAAATGTGGGAGAAATATGGCAACTAACACTGTGATACAAAATTTATATATAAGATATAGCGGAATTCTCATTAGGTAAAAGAGGGGTACATCGTAGAATACATGAGGTATATACCAGTAAATTAATTGTAGCTAAAATCAGTCTCATACATATAACGATTGAAATAAAAAATCGTATAGGTAGCCCGATTTTGATACGTACGAGTATAAACGTATCAAAATCAGGCTATACGTATAGCGCAGACGCGTTACAACATATCAAAAAAAATAGGCATGGAATGTAAAATAAACCATAACACAATAGGTATATACATTGGCACATAAGCCATATCTGCAGAGTGTCGGCTAACGATATTATACCTACACATTTACATTGAATCTTGAATCGTCCCTAATGAGGTACACGATACAGTTACCTACATATCTATTATATACATATCTTTGCAAAACAGATGTCATGTAGACTGAATTCACTGCCATCTATTTTCATGCTTTGTTACTAAGCACCCACTAGTAATCCGAACTGCTTCAGATCTAGCGACATCTAGCGGCTACGGTGGCGAAATAAAATAGCCCGAAGAATAGCCCGAGTTAGGAAGGAACCATTTTCTTGTATGGGATGGGGTATCTGTATGTAATATTATGTTATCTGTGGCTATACGTTAAATTTCAATAACTTAATTAATTAATTAATTTTTAACCAGATGGACTTTTTTTCTTTGATCTTTATTAATTGATACCAAATTTGCATAGTGTGATTATTTCAAATTTTGTGATTCATGTTATAATCACAGTGTACTTACTTAATTTGAATATAATGTCGTGCCATGTTTTTGATCATGAATCACTGATCTGCAGAGTTCTGCAGACAGCAAATTGTCAGTTAGTAACTGGCAATTTTAGGATACATCACACAATACAAAATACATATAAAGTTCAAATACCTAGAATTTAACTCCAATAACTTTAATGTATTTATACCGACACCACCAACTATCATAAACTATAATAACTTGGGACAGAGAAAACAGTAAATTCATAATGAAGCTGACCTTGACATTTTGTATCCTTTATTAGCACTTCAGCCGAGTCTTATTAAAGATGCTTATGCTTATGGCAATGTATTTATGACAGCTTTATGAAATCCAGACAATAAAATAATTACTGTCTAGGTAAGTAATTAAAATAGTACCAGCTGTTTATATAATGCTCTTGATAAGAATTTTTCTATTTTTTGCACTTTTTTTTAAATATAAATACTGTTCAATAACCTCTAACTGAAGATCTTTGTTTTTTAATTATATAAAGTTGTCTATATTTGTCAGTATTAATATACACAACAACTATTAAAATATAGTTTAAACAACTTTTTGCTAGTGATACAGAATCACCTATTTCAAGTGCAAAACAAGCATGTGTTTTTGTATGTCTTCTAATTGAAGGGAGAGGAGAGGCAATATAATTAATTTTCAATTTTACATAATTTTACATTTTAAGGATACAACATTTATTATAAAGTGTGCTATCAGCTTGTATGATAAAATTGAAAGTGTATAATTTTATTTATCTCTAATAGATGATATTTTCCCATTTCACTCATGTATGATGATTGTTTAATAACCCTAAATTTCTAGTTCTTTACTAGACTCATACATGTAGCCTATATATAGTTGATTAAATAGAAAAATGACATTTTTCAAAATTAGAAGCTAAAATTGCCTCCTTTTATATAAGTAATTAAATTAACCACACCACGCCATCTTAGCCATTATCTAAATACTTTAAAAGTTATTATAATACTTGTGTAAATTTTTGTTAAAACTTATTATTATTTCCTTCAAGGAAATAATAATAATTTAAATAAATTTAAAAACTTTAAATGCTTGTCTTCTAAAAAATGTAGATTTTGAATAGTGCAATTTTTCTATTTAACTAATGATATATATGAAGTGAATCAAATGGAAATCGGAATGAGTAATTTTTTGGTGCTGATTCCATAATATAGTATATTAAATAAAGGGTAGTACAGAGAATATTAAATTCTAGTAATATATTATTGAAATTAAACAAAAGTATTGCTTTTAAATTAAAGAAATCATTTATTGTAACTATGTATAATCAGAATAGAAAGAGGCTCTTTGGCCATTCATAAAATTAACAAAATGTGTGTAATTACTTAAAAATAGGTAATTATTTTTTCATTTTTTTCACAATAGTGTTTTACAAATTAGATACAAACAGGGCTTGTGAGCCAATATTTAAACTTAATATAAAATTTTAACAACTATTGCCCAAGCCATGTAAATTGATTACAATAAGTATATTAACTTTATATTTAATTGTCACTATATCATTAAAGATGATAGCATCGAGATTAATAATTAATAAACAGTTGAAAAAATATATTAAAATACAAATCATTTACTGGCACTGTACTGTGATTTAATTAAAGTACCTAAATTTAACATAGTTAAATCTTAATCTACATTGAAAGTCACATCTAGGTAAAATTATATAGGTTAACACCTACACTTTTGTCAAGTCCAAGATAACTTTTGTAAACTGAGAAATAATACCACTTCACATGCATCTTTATCATCATAGCATTATTAATGTCTCCCAACATTTTCTCTGTAATGAAGTACGCTATGCGTATATACAAATCATAAAACCCATGAAAAATAAAATTTCATCTTCATTTTTGCGTCATGGCTGTCATTAACGCATTCTTTAATTTAACGGTCATTTCTTCTAAAACTTTAACCTTTACAGATAACTTTTTATTTTTCTCTTCCAAGTCATCTGCTAACTGTTCCATTTGCAGCTCCTTGAGTTTTCTGTTCATTCTAGATCTTTTAGATGCTTCATTATTTTTATCTCTTAATTCTCTGTATTTTGTTTCGTGTGTAGAAATTGTTGATGTATTGTCATCTACACTACAAACAGAAGAAACAGTGCTTTCTCTCCTTTTCGGTGGACGCCCTCTTTTTCGTGGTTTTGTCAAGTGTTGCGAGCCTTCCAGGGCTAGAATCATATCTTTTATAGGAATATTTGATTTTCTTTTCTTGTACTTCCTAGTAGTATGTTCTGTGTGAGGCATATATGTTTCATCAGAATCTTCGCTGTCATGCCGCCGCTTTCTATTTGAAGTGGAAATAGGTTCTTCCTCTGAATCAATTTGGGATTCATCCTTAGGTGTAATAGGCATGTAATCCGCTGGAACTGAAGAACTCTTGGTACTGGTTATGACTGGGTCAGTAAAGACAACACTTTCTTCTTCAAGAAACCATTTCATGGGTGATTTCTGTAACAACATATTAAAATTTAACATTACTATTTTATAAACTTGAAATTTTTTTATGTAAGTAAAAAAGCTTTAGGTTTTTATAGGAACACCAAATTGGAAAATAATTATCTTTATAGACGCAGTACTTGATCTATCTGAATATATATCATTATTGAACTGAAAAATATAAATTGAAGGTACTCACCGTTTCTGTTAGTGGGCAACTTTCCTCTTCCAACTGTTGCACGTAGTTTAGAACATCTGGTGTACTGATATTAGGTCCGGTAGATGTGAGCGCTGTTGGTATGTCAACAGACAAGCCTAAAGGGAGATTTCTCGATCCCGTTTCTTCTAAAACCCCTCCTTTTCCCTGGTCGTCATTTAGCAAATATTCTGATACGACCACATCATTTCTTTCTACTTCTCTTGGTATAACCGCCATATATTTTAAATCTTCTTGGTTGAGGGAGTCTTCTTGATGGATAAAGGGCATACTTTGTGTGTTTGTGTATTTATTGTAATGTGTATTGTATGGAGTGGGCCAGTCATGAGTAGATGCCACCTCTGGCCAACTTTTTTCTCCCATTTTCTCCGATGTTTCTTCCCCTATTACTACTGGCAAGCTACTTATATCTAAAAATTGCTCAGAAAATTGCATTTTATTTTCATTATTGTAATCGAATAAGGCATCGTCAAAAGTAAACGAATCTACTGCTTTTGGTGAAGGTGACTCTTTTGGAGTACTGCAGTAGAAACTTGCCTGAGCAAGAGGGGAATTAACATCCCAACTTTGGGGAGAGAATGGCGTGTTCATTGTGTCAAATGTGTTTGCCCTTGTGTCAGTTTTTCTTGTTGACTTATCTGTAAAGAGATGATATTTTAAAAATAATTTCGAAAGAAACACTACTTATCGTAATTAAAGTTTCGACAGCGTCTACTGCCAATATCGTCTGTCGTGTTTCTGTTTGTAGTGTTGATAAATCATATTTATATGAAGCGCGAAAATTCTAAGTATTTCATATCAGTTAAAATTAATGAACAAGTCTTAACATGTTTGAATTTTTGAATAAGATGTTATCATTTTTAAATTTATCTATTTCTTTATCTACATACATTCACTCTAAATTTGCGGAATACGTAAAGAAAATCATGTACCTATCTACGGAGTTTATCTTATCATTAGCTTTACAATTACAAATAGGCGTATATTTAAATTTTATCTTACCAGTGGTCTGTGCTAGTTCGTCCTTGACGGGATCGAAGGACGAGGCCAGATCTTGGAAGAACTCGTAGTCCGATTCCCGAAACATTGTGCTCTCGAATAACGGCTCCGGTTTCAAATACTCCTGAAAATAGAGTTAATTTATATTAATCTTAGTTTCTATTTAAATCCGATAAACTAAAAGTAAGCTTAATATTAATAATACTGAATTATATTTATTACTCACAGCAGCGGCATCTTCTCTTACCTCTGAAAAGGTGGTTATAGTCACAGGCGATGACGGCGTTGCTCCTCCTGGATTTGCTTCGGCAGTTGTTCCCGTCAAGCCGTTCACGTGCTGAGCTGCACCTTTGTTTGCTTTTAAACGATCTATTTCTACTACTTTCAAAACACTTGGAGTCTTGTGACTCGTTTGCGAAAAAACCATATCTTTTGGTGTTTGTATTGTTGTTTTGATTTCCGATATCGTCGCTCCGACTCGGACAGGTGATCTTTTGAGCAACCATTTTGTATAGAACTACAAAAAGAAATGATACGACGTAACATATTGTGCAGATTATATGAGGCGAGAGCAAAGGATTGATCGAAATTGTGGACAAGGACATTGCTAGGCATACATTGAATAAAGGAATGGGAATATATATAGAAAGGAAAATAATTCCCTTTCTATATATTTCCCGTATGGTGGATGATAGCGATGTTTTAAATAATATATATATCAGAAATGCGGAATAGAAATGTCGTGGTGCAAGTAGTGATAAATATAATATATATTTAGTATGATATTTTGATGATATTGTTATTACATTTTCTTCCATTCTGAATTATTTTATAAACACAAATCATTATAAAATTCATATGCACATTTCTGTGTCGTGTCGACCGTTTTCGACCACAGCGACTTCAATCTGGCTCGGATATGTGCTCATTGCCATTTATATGGCTGACGTTTGATTTAGATACATGTAATAGTACATATTATGTGATAGAATGAATGAATGGCATACATATAATAATAAATATGTCAAATAAAGAGAAGAAAATACAACATATAATTGCTCTTTATGAACTTCTTTAGATCTCAATATGGTTCCATATTTTTTATTATTGCTTTTTTGTCACCACGTTGAAGATTGTAGCACCTTTGTAGTGTAAGTTCCTAGTATCATAAAGAAATTCTGCTTATTTTAAAATGTACAATGTTAGTATTTAATTTTATTATTAGTATTCTTATTTAAAACATGTATATTTAATGCTCCTGTTGCAAATGATTCCATAACTAAAATTATGTTAAATTTAGCATAGCAAGTCAGTTATAAGTTTATACCACCGTCAACTTTACAAGTGATAAACTTGAATTTATTTAATAATAATAATTACACAAATTAATCCTTTAAATGTTATATTACTTAAATTGTAAGCCACTTTATTTGCAAAAATGTAAATTAACTAAGTATAACTTATTTATTGAGTACTTAATACTTTAATTAAAATTATTACTATAGTATAAACGTAATTTCTAATTTTTATAAGTCAATTTCGTTAAATTTGGCAATCACTGGTATACGGGCAAAATCGATTCGACCCTTATCTGGAGTTCATTAGGTGTTAATACTCATTTCAACTGACTGTTTAAAAATGAGTACCTATTACTGATTTTTAATTTCATTCAGCAGTTAGCAAAGTTCTTTCAATAGAACACATAAAGATTGTGCCTGAAAACTATTTTGATATAGAGAATAACGGCTAAGTACTAAGTTATTCCATTAAAATCTTCGTATAATTCTCGTTCATCTTCTCACTTGCAGTCCTGTGAACAGAAAGCTATTTCGAAAAGAAAATGAGTGAACGCGGTTACTTACTTTTTCGAACTCTTCGCGAGCTCCTTTTGAAATCTTAACTCTTTAAGCGCCAAGCCAAAAAATTGTCCCTGTTGTAGGCCTGAAACAAAAGAATAGGCAGGTAAGTAAGAAAGCCTAGTAACTGGTATTAAATAATCATTGTATGTACATTTTGAATTTCACATAGATCTATATCTTTTCATCTATACATATAAATAAAATTGTAATGTCTGTTTGTAATATTGAAATAACCGTTTTTTACTACATGCATACGAATATAAATAAATTTCGTCCGTCTGTCTGTCTGTTCCATTTTATTTCAGAGATTAGCCATCTCTGAAATGGCTCGACCGATTTTGACAGGACTTTTATTGGCAGCTAGCTGATGTAATAAGTAGTAACTTAGACTACTTTTATTTCATAAAAAATAAAGTAAACTTAATTAACTTTTTTCTTAAATTCCACGCGGACGGTTTGCGGATTTTTTTTTTATAAAAAAAAAATAAAGGGATCATTCACTAAAATAACAAATGTACCTACGTTAGAATAATCTAGAAATATTCAGCCGATGTATGAAATGACGTCACTACTGGTAATACACAGTGTGTTTAAGTGCAAGGGGAAATCCCAACGGTCGGCAAACACAAAGGTAGATTATGAACCTACTCGAATTGTTATAAATTATAATCTTCCTTACCGATTATTGTTGTGATAAAAAATATTATTGTGCAATATAGGTATGATATGACGCTTTATATTCATATGTATTAGCATTAGTTATACTCAAAATAAAATAAAAAAATCGTGTCAGTAACCTCTATACTACCATTACATCATTGTTCAATGAGTAATATGTGCTTCACATAATATCACGTCATTATAAATTACAAATAAAATATCTCGGGACATAAATATTTTATATGTAGCTATAATACTATAGGTATAATCTTGAAAATAAGTAATTGTTGCATTAATTATTAATAAGTATATTATTAGGGTTTTCAATCTGTACCGGAAACAGAAATTAGTAAAGACGATTTCGTTTTAATTTTTTTATCATATTGGTATTTAAATAGATTAAAGATTACTAGATAGTATTTTGGACCAAATGCTACTTCGTGGCACGTCACTCATATTGATTTTCGTCCGTCGTAGGACCTATGAGTCATGATCATATCATAATTGAAAATCAATACAAATAGCCATCCATCAAAAAAAGACAAGAATCAATGAGATATGACGTCATATTGAAATTAAATTGACTTTTCTTTATTTCGTATGCATCTTAGTGTGGTAGGTACTTACAAATATTTAATCATTACTAATACATATTATAAAATCGAAAGTAACTCCATCTGTCTATCTGTCTGTCTCGCTTTCAAAATAACTGAACCAATTTCAATGAAATTTGGTACACAGATACTATAGACCCTGAGAAAGTACATACGTTACTGTTTAAAGCGTACAGTAATAGCGAAAAAAGGTTTGTTAAAACGATCTGCCCTTTCAACGACTCTTAAAGCAAGGCTGTGTGGAAGAGAGCTAGACGACTAAACTTTTTGGGTTAGATTTTTTTCCTTAATTGGACAAGGTCACTATTCCACGCGTAAGAAGTGGCGGGCACACCTATTGAATTTATGCACGCACTACGCTACGCACTGATTATGAAATAGTACATTAGGGCGAAGACACTATAGTTCATAGTATGCCCAGGATAGTGTATCAATTGTTATAATTTAATTATATCCTATTAGGACGTAAATGTTACAAAAACGTAATAGGTACCTGCGTACCATACGTAGGTAGGTAGTAAATAGTACATAGTCCGACCCTTATACGTATATGATATGAGTATTTAGTAAATCATTATTTCTGGTACCTACAAAAAAATGGGAAATACGCAAATGATAAATAACTTCGCATTGAAATGCGTCATTAATTCATTTATAAGAATTATAACAGACGTATACTGAAGCCGACTTTCACATAGTGATAATAAAGAATATCCTTTAATATGAAATTGCGTAATAATATACCCAATATTACAGAAAAGAGACTTATGCCAACGTGTTAGACAAACAGCATGCGTTGATGTACTAAACCCTCTTGAAACTAGTAATACAACAATAAAAGGGGTAACCCTTAGAAAAATTTCATACTAAATTAAATAATATAAGTATATTTAACACTTCAAAATACTTAAGTGGATTTGCCTATGTACTTATATTTCTTACTTATAATATATGTATAAGGCCCTGTGTGCGCATAAAGCTATCCTGCTTTCCAGCACACAGGAAGATAAATTTCATTGTCAATCTTTCTTTTTGAATACATAAATATATATTATTATTAAATCTCACCTTGTTACGAACAAATATTGTAACAGCCCAGTTGTTGACTGATCCGTGACCACTTTATCCAGAAAAAATAAAAAAATAAAACTATAGGTATGCGGTCGCTCTTGTAATTCGCTGAAGTCAACGTTCAATAGCTTGAGACGTGAAAAGTCTAGAAAATTATTTAAACGCGGCACGCGCGCGAACTGTACCAACTCAGAAAATATTGTGCAATTTCGTGGAGAAGTGGCCCTTGCGTTTTCCTCATTCCCCCACCTTTCAACATTTACGTTCTAAAAATATATTCACTTCATCGCTATTGGCTGTTGAATATGACGTCAACTTTGGGCGCCAATAGGCTGTGTTTCGTTCCGATAGTCACGAGACCGTAGGTGTTGTTCCATCGGATGTTATTCCTACGTATTATAATGTTATGTACATAGATATACCTCGTCTGGTACTGTAAATTCAAGACCGAGCGAATGGACATAAGGAATATTAACATATTTGTGGTCGGGGGATTCACGCTAGGTAGGTACTCAAGCGAACAAGAATCTTGTTTTCCTCCTTGTTGATGATTCATACTGTAGGTCACTGTTGATTACATATTACTTTCTCTCCTGTATTTCCATATGGCTAGAACTGCCAATATAATGCTAAGAACAATATCTATTATTTCTCCCTAAAGCAATTAATAAGTATATACTCTTAGGTCTCTGTGTAAGTACTTTTGAAATGTAGTAACTGCCTGGCTCACCTAACTTCGAAAGACAAAATAGACGGTATACATGTATCTGCTATTCGCAACAACGGGTTACCTACGCTAGTAAATAATGATACTCATCTATTAATAACGTTAAATAGCGAGCAAACAATGTAGGTTAGGCATATGTATACCTACTCTACTTATTTCCATACGTGTACGGAGATGTCTAAACATGTTCAGACTTGTTCAAAGCATACGGTTTGTGTAGGTAGGTACCAATTTCTTTTCGTCGTAAATGTGATTTAGGTATATACTTACCTACTCGATGATTCATTCACCACAGTGAATAACTGACATTGAACTATTATTCACAGAGTTCGATAACCTTAATAGTATAATATATTTAATTAATTTGTTTAAAATTACAGTATACAAATAAATAATATTATATTTACAGTATAGCAACATATTCAGTTATAAAAACAGTTCCATTTAATAAATTTATGTATTTAAGACTTAATTTAAGCAGTTACCTAAATATCAACTTCTTAGGTTATGAAATTAGATTGAATAACATCAAGTTAGCTAATTTCAAGTCAAATAATACTAGGCTTTATATATGATGCTGAAAATAAACAGTTTTTTTCTTACATATAAGTCGAGGCATTTTACCGAAGTAACTTTATACAAATTTAATTAAACCAGTTATTAATTGCTCTCTCTTGTATATTTGTGCTATTAAACAACTTGCTTTACAGTCTGTTTTTTAAATATAAAGGATCAGATGTGCTACTTAAATTGTCATGACGGGGTTTCACAATTGTATTTTGTGATGTTCGTAGTGCTGATGAGGTTCTTACTACAACCGCTCCTGAGATATCTTTTATTTTTTTATATATATTTGATAATTTGAAAAGAAGTTTTTTTTTAGAATCTGTAAGAGGCATAGCTATTTTGAACACGTTTACAGAATAGAATTATTAAAACGTCACTTTAAGATTATTAGCCTTGATTTTTAAAAACTATTGGTAACTTCCAATTTTATTAATAAATCAATCCTCTAAGCTTTCGACGTAGATTCATACGCTGTTGTTGGAATCGATATATTATTTAGCGAGTTAGTTATTGCTTTAATGGCTCATGTAGAGCTAGAGATAAATGCAGATGAGACATCTATTTATATCCTTTTCAATGAATGTGCTAATGTTCATTCTTCTTTGCGTTCGATCAACTATTAAAATGCTTTTGATCGAATGCCATTAAGGCAACATTAAAGAAAGGAACGTCTTCAGGAACTAACTGAGTAGTGGTGACGAAATAAACGCATCAAAACGAAGACTTCCTTGAATAAATTGTATTCGAAATTAATTCAATTTTCGAATATATAGATAGATACATTCATTTAACAGTTTAAAATTATGAATATATTTTTTTCATGAATATGTAATTTTCATATTATGTAAAGACTGATTAATTAAGCATGTATTCTTCGACATTACCCTGCAAAGCGTGTACATGGAAATTATTCCGTAATATTTTAATTATTGTATTCACAACTCTTAAAGGAAAATGTGTAAATAAGATCGCTTCTCTTAGAGTTGTTTTTAAGGTTGCATAAATTGCATACGTTTCAAATATTACATTAAAATGATGTTTTCATCGCTGTAGTGTCAGTTGTAATAGGGCAAACACATCGAACTGTGCAAAGTAGCAAAGATAATAATGACACGTCACTAGTCACCCGCTCCGAGCCCCTATACACTGCGACATGACGCCATCATTCGATAATCTGCCATATCATTGTGAGTATGATAAAAATTCATATCGCAGATATTTATTATATATATATTACTACATTGATAGGTCCTTTATAGATATAAAAGGAAGTAATTTTCTGTAATATGGTATATTTTATATAACTTTCATATCCTTGGACAAGTAATCAATTATTACACAATATTTTTCTCCACAAACGATATCTGATTCTTGGTTTTTACGGACCAATATTTTAAAACACTTACTTATTCTTTAGATTTCAGGTAAAATATTCTTAGAGAAATAGCCTCTTTTGACTCAAATCTGAATATTTTAAATATGTTATATAAAGTTTGGCCACGTGGAAAGAATTTCCAATGAAAGGCTGATGAAACATTACGAAAGTCGACGATAAGTGAATACGCTACTACAAGCATAAAGGATGTGGTTAAGTCTTTGAAAGTGGCTGGTATGCATAAAAGCTACGGAATCTGATAAACCAAATTGTGAAAACATTTTCACTGTTTCACACTTTATATGTATTTCCCATAAAGATAGACAACTTTTTATTTGATAGATTTACTCGCTTTAAACCATAGCATGTTTTATTTTGCAAAGCACATGATTGAGACATGTTCGTATGAAATCTCTAATACAATAAAGGAATTACCGCTAACAGTGCTACAATAATGTCATGAGATATCGAATTGTTACATAGGGTACTAATTTTCGAGTTTTCAATTCGATAAATTACAAATAATTAACACTTTGTTTATCTTTTGGGACAAAAAACTGATTACCAGTAGTTGAATTCGTGACCTTCAATTTTATAATAAATTTACTGATCTTTAATTAAATCTACATTCATATGGTAAAATGAATAATAAAAATGGAGCATAAATATTTATTCATAGTTGTAACATCTAACAACTTTGTAGAATCAATTACAGACAGTATGTAAAAATCCGTCGTAAAAGGGAACTTTGACATTAACATTTAAAATAGTAGAATTTAGTTAGAATTTATTTAGAACAGTTATTCTAATCTAATTAATTAATTATGGCGTATCTACGATAGTAAAAACATGGAGGACAGTTTGTGGATAATACAATTCTCAATGTAAAGGATTATTAGAATAAACAGAAAAGATACGCAAACAAACATGTGTAAACAGGATAGGAGGATATTACATTCTCGAAGTTTTAGAATATGTCAGACTTTTACTCTGCCATTTCGGACCTTACGTCCAATGATCAAGTAGTAGTATTCAAAGTTGCCACATCAACTAACAACATTCACAAATGGACACTTTTTAATGTAGGTAGTATATACTAATCTTATATATCCAAAATAGTGGCTGTCTATTACTTCTTTAATACAAAACGGCTGAATGAATTTTAATTAAAATTTGGAGTAAAAGATAGAATGTATCACGAAATAATGCGAAGGAGGTGAAATAGGGGATCAACATTTGTGTAGAAGAAGTAGAATGTATCACGATCACGGTAGAAATAATGCGAAGGGGTTAAAATAGGAGACCAAAATTTATGCAGACGAAGTCCCGGATATAGGCGTTACTGTATTATAAATGCGAAATATGTATGTCTGTCTGATTGTTACCAATTGATATCATATAATTGTTACAAAGAAATGAAATAAATAAAATGAATAATAAAATCTTCCAGCAAATGTATAAAGTTGATGTTTGTACCTGTTTGTAATAATATTATCTAATCTGCATGTGTGCATATTGCTAGGCACAAGTAATAGGCGCACAAATCATCAAAACTGGCAATTTACAAACATAGTTACATACAGGACAAAACAAGCACTTGAAAATACTAATTATGTTATTACATAAGAGAAAATACTAATTATGATTATTATATTGACCCTGTATCCAAAAGTTTCACTCAAGGTAGTTTTTTTTAAGTAATAAAAATCATAAAGTTCTTTGTCACCTTACCATCTATACATATAAATAGATTGTCTGTAATATTGAAATAACCATTTATGTGTAATATGTACTTAGTTGGAATTAATTAATAGTCATTAAGTACATTTTCAATTAAGTGTACTAATTAAATAAATAAATGTTATACTTACATCTTGACTTGTCTTCTAAAAGTAACCATGTTACACATCTTAATCTTGTCCTTTCGCATACAATAATTATGGCGATGCAAAACTACGTGATCATGCGCCAAATTACAAATAGAGATGTTATAATCCGAGTAAGACAGATTGTTTGATTTTTTGGTGCACGCGTAGCTCATGATAGGCACTACTCTTTCTCTCTTCTCTTGTTCGTCGGGTAATTTACTTTGTAATGCAATGAAACACCAAAAAGGTCTTAACTAATAAGACCAAGTAATAAACAGAATGTAGATAGTCAACAATCCTGCCACTGAATTAACTTAATATACTTAATTATAAGTATATAGTGTATTACAATAGTATTTAAATTTAAGTAAGAGAGGTACCGAATTTATTATTTTAAATTAATCAATACGTCACACTATCTGGACTAAATTTTCACCAATGAATGATAATTATTTTCTTGAACTTGTAACACAAAATTTTTTAAATTTCAACACAATAGACACGACTAATTTTCTGGAGGAACTGATAAAAAGTGAATTGAATGAATGAATGATGGGGATTACGTATGAAGGTCACTTAAGAATTTCCGGCGTTCCTATTGGCAGAATCTATAATATCTTTTTTATTTCTATGACGTCACGTGTTCCGTTTCACGCTTATAAAACTTGTTATATTATAATATTTTAATTTAAATTAAATTTGAATGTATAAAACACATTTTCTTTAAATATAAACTTGTATTGGATTATCGTAAACAAGTGTTAAGCTATATTAATATTATATTACATTTGTTAAGAATAATAATCTGAAAATTTCAGTCCATGTGGTAATATTCTGGGTAAAACGAAACCTCTTTCTTGTTAAGATGTTGTTGACGTCATACCAAACAATTTAACAATTTTATTCTCTATAACAGTAATTTATATTGTCGTTTTTATTTATTCATCTTAGTATTTAATACTTTATAATATTTTCGTAGGTAAGGATAGGCTATAGTTAATTTAATTTTTTTGGGAAACATTTTGAAATTGACGTTTTCGGATGATGCAATAATCGCAGTCATGAAGCGAGATGAGATCTATAGTCGGCAAAAATATATATTTATACCTATTATAAATAAATATATATATAGTATTTACAATTATAGTCCATCCATATCAAAGTTTGTAACTCTAAGTTACAACAATTTATGTTCAACATTAAAATTTTCACGATCTTAATGAAATTATGTTAGAATATGATTCGATTTGCGCTCAATAAAAAAGTTTTTCTTCATAAATATGCATCTGGGTGATTTTTATTTATATTATCTTAACATACAACAAAAATGTAACTGATCGCTACCTATACTAGTAGGTATATATAGGTATGTGAAAAAATATTATAACAATAATAATTTTTGTTCTGTAGTAGAACCTACCAGGCATAGGCAGCTTAATTTCTGTTTTGTTTAAAGGGTGACATATAGCAGTGAAATTACAAGATACGTAAGTATAACAATGGCGACATACGGGTTTTTTTTTTTTTTTTGTGATATGATAGTGGAATGGTGCACCCGCCTGCGCTAACGGTTTACGCTGGCGGGGCACCAGTGGAGGATGATAAGATGAGCATGAGGTCAGGTCAGTTAGCCCATCGTGACTAATTCACCAGGAATTAAACACGATGGTTTCCATGGGGAACCACGTGGAGGTCGAACAATACATTGCTAACAATGGGGTTATCAATCCACATTACTAACAATCCCCTTCCCCCCGACATACGGGTTAACTACGGGCATCAAATGATGTGATATCTGTGATGCGTGTGATGTGAACGTGAGGCTAATAGTTTACCATCGGGAGGAAAGGGAATTGTTAGTAATGTGGATTGTTATCTTATTGCTAACAATGTATCATATATCAACAATGTATATAAATATGTATCCATGTCTGATTGTCCTCAATACGGTTCCCCTGGAAACCATCGTGATAAATTCTTCGAGACGATGCTAATGGACCTGACCTCAAGCTCATCCAGATCGTCTTAGATTGGAATTGGAGAAGTTGAAGAGTAATCGTTTATCGTGGTATGGGCATGTAACGTGCAGGAATGAGTATAATATTTTAATAAAGATGTTACATATGTATGTGGATGCTTATTTATAAGGGTAGAGCAAGGCCGAAAAAGATGGTTGGACTGCGTAAAAGCTGATATGGTAAGAAAGGGAGTAAATAACGAGATGATTGCGAACAAGGATGAATGGAGGAAATAAACATATTACGCCGACCCCAAATAAATGGGATAAGGAAGAATCAAATGATGTAGTAGGTACTTTATTTACCTTCATTTGGAATCATTCTTGTGTCATATTTCTTTGTTTTCGTAGTCTTTATCTATATCTTATATATAAAATCCTCGTGACACAGTTTTCGTTCCCATACTCCTCCGAAACGACTTGACCAATTCTCATGAAATTTTGTGAGCGTATTGAGTAGGTCTGAGAATCGGCCAACATCTATTTTTCATCCCCCTAAATGTAAGGGTAGTCCAACCCTAATTTTTTTTTTTTTAGACAAAATTTTTAGTTTCTATTTTTTTATGATACAACATACAAAAATACATACAATCCTAAATTTTCACCTTTCTATCATCAACCCCTATTTTTTTATAGCGTTATTAATTTATATGGCAAAACAACGTTTGCCGGGACAGCTAGTATATGTATATATATATATATATATAAAGTTTTTAGTAAAATAAAAAATGTAATGTATTTTACATTACATTATTTTATTTTACTTACTAAATTCTTTTTTTACAAAATTAAAAGGATTCGAATGTGTAAGGTTTAAAATTAGGCAACAGCAATTATTATTCTGTTTTTATATTTTGTATCTGTGGACTATATTTTGATTGTCAAATCTGTCATCCATATGTCATTTCTGCCTTTTAATTTTCTTTTGCATTTACATTATAAAATCTCTATAAGCTGTTTTTAATTTTCGACATTTTATTATTCAATACAACTTATAATTTGTTTCAAGCCAAAAAAGTGTTTTTATTGTTGTGAAAAGGTGTTTATTTTGTACTACTGATCATGTACATATCATTCGTGTAATCAAGAATTCGTCTAAATCAATTCAAATCCTTTAACAATTGGGTGATATGCGAGTGTATTTTTTGTGAATTGTTATTGCTCGTCGTTCTGTTTTTTTACACTTGGATAAGGTGATAAGGTGCATTTTAATTGGTATTGACTTATATATTTACTATGCGACCTTGAAATCGTAGGATATCAGACTATCAGAATTCATTTTAGATGTCTAGTTATTATTATTAGACTTTAGTTACGCTTATTATTTCAGGTGATAAATGCAATTATTTTATTAACGAAGGACAAACTGAATACTTTATCCTTTGTTAAATCTAAAAAACAATAAGCAATTTACATACTTTATTACAGTACTATTGTCCTTAATGCTATGTTTGTAGAATACTACACATTTTATTGACTCGTGTTGTATATGTTAATAGGTTTGTGACGCACGATGACGCTGATAGAAGGTGTGGGCGATGAGGTGGTGCAGTTTGTTGTGGTTGTGCTCGTAATCATTGTGGGTGTATTAGCATGGTGGTCAACTAATGCACACCCAGACCGCTACCATACTGTTCTTGTGATGCGCTCCCGAGCACATCATCCTGTGACAGTCAGCATCAGGACAAGTAAAGATACTGCTTTTCATTTTTGTCTAATATTTGTTTTTTATTTTACACAATTTAAAATGGTGCTCCCTTTTTATATTTATTATACTATCAACACCATATATACACAGTGTAAAAGGGTACATGTGTACCTCTGTCTAACCTAGCTATCAATAAGCTATGTTTTGGTTGAAGGAAACTGAAATTTTTATAGATAAAAGGCTTGATATCTTAGTTGAGTAGCACCATGGGTGTCACCTGTTGTTTATGTATTTATGCAACAGTTACCACTTACAAGTAAGTGCACCATAAGTTTGTTTGTCATTCTAATAACAAAAAAAATCTAAGTCTGTATGATTATGGGGATACGGACATACAAAATACAGTCTATATCAGTGTTTCCTAACGTAAGGTGCCCTAAAGCAGCATGGGGCATAAGAATTTTAGAAAGGCTAATGTGAGACATGGCATAAAAGGCTGGGAAACACTGGTCTAAATGATATTCTTCTGTATTTGGAATGTTTTTGAAAATTATTCAGTACTGTATATTATATAAAAACTGTAATATAAATTGTAATACTTTGCTACATGTTGTAATTGATAAGAATGTAATATATACTATAGATAAGTGTTGAATTTCTTAGTGTTTGTGGAGCTAAATTAAAGTTTGCTCTCTGATCTCTTATAGCATAAAGGGGTAACAAGCAAATTTGTATTCATAATTATTATATTATATAAATGAGCTAACTCTGTAAGAGTTACTACATTAGAGTTAACTACTAATTAATTTTTAATCTGTATCACTATATCCATCACATCATATAGCAGATATAATTAAAATAAATAATGTTTTGTTGTTTTAATAGCAAGTTACATGACAGAGAAACTTTGCATAGAGAACATATTGCATTTATGAATTACAGAAGAATATATAAGTTTATTCATTTGCCTTTTTTTTTATGTAGAGATGTTTCTAAATATTTTTAATAATAATATTCTTTTCAGGAACAAATGTATCACATACACAAACAAGTAGTTCTAGTCAAGCAACATCTGCAGAGCAAGTTGGTGAGTGTCATATTGTCTTAATATGTAGTTATGAATGTCATGTTAGTAGTATTATTTGAAATGGTTATGTATCAACAAATTTTGTGACAAAAATGGACTTAGTACAAAGTTGTCTTTCTAAATATCCTCTTCCTGCAGTATAGTGGTAGTAATAGTTGACTTTGAATACTGTTTATAGCTTAAAGGATTAATTTGAAATGTAGCTGTGAAATTACAGGTTATATTATTATTATTGGTCAGACATCTTATTTTTTAAAACCGGAACAAGACTCTACTTATCAGAAAATGACCAAAACACAGTCATCGTTAAAATAGATTTGTAGCTTTTAATTTGAATGAATAACGAGGTTAGAGTCACAAATGCTTATTTGTAATTGGTTTCTATTCAGCTTCATCTAATTCATCTGAAAACAATGAGGAAAATAATCATAGAGATAATTCCCGTGTCATTCCATTACAAGAAATGGATAGTATCGTAGACGCCGACATGGCTATGTTGGACAATAATCGCCTGCATTTTTATAGGAGGATTGATTGTAAGTATACAGTACTTACTTCTATTTATCTAGTAGCCCACTCCTATTACGCGTGGGTGAACATGACTGACAATTTCTATATCTATACCCATTATAAGATAAAATCCTTCACTGAGTCTGTTTGTATGTTCATAACAATGTCAAAAACTACAAAATATTTTTTTAAGTATAAGTATTCGTCAAAGTTTTATGTAAATTTTTTAAATACCCATGAGAAGCCATGACGACTAATATGTAACCAATCTAAGTAAATTTTGAAACAGTGAAAATACTTCTCAAAATATCAGTCATGTGGAATCTACGTTTCTTATAAAAAAAATCTTTCTCTCTTATAATTTTAGTATATGACACAGATATATTATTAAACGATCTCGAAAATTACGAAGTTTTCTGTACTACGGTAATAGTACAAACTACTACAAACATTAAAAATGTATTTCCTTGTCAATTTATGTAGGCAATATATTTGGAAACTCCTAATGATTTTAAATGTACTATATCTGATTTTTATATTGACTGATAGATTTTTTTACTTTTCTGTTTTATTACTTAGCCTGTTACCCGGTTGTAGCTTGATATCGACTTACGCTACATATTCTAATGAAATTTTGAGATGTTTGTTGTAAGTCTAGTAAGTTTACGTAAATAACATATTTCTACATTTAGCAGCAATCAGCGCCGCCCATAGTGTAACAGACACGACCAGTGATGAGAGTGATACACAAGACGAGCCCGACAGCAACGCACAAATTAGGGAAATGGATAGCATCGTCAGTGCAATGGAGGCAGACGAAACTGCCGACACAGATTTCTTCAATAGACCTAGTGGTAAAGTATTTTGTGTATACTTCTCCAAACATGTAGTGTTAGTATCTTTAGATGGTCTACTAACATTCGCTTAACATAGACAATTTAAGCATCAAAGGGATGAAATGTTAGTAATGGATTCTTCATTGACACCACTCCTAGCTGACAAAATATATTACAGTCAGATCAACCATGTCCAGTACAATAGTAGTTGCGTTATGGGTACTAGACAAATACCTGATTATTGTCTAGTACATATATCACAATCTCTGCTTAACTTGGGACTAGATAATGCTGTGTGTTGATATATTTAGGGTGAAACAAAATTCGTAAATAAGAAAATACTTTAAAATTTTATGTTTTAAACATTCTTTAATTTTCAAACGTTCAACGTTTCAACTCGTTGATTCTTGAAGTGAATTTATTAACCAATAATAATAATATTTTAATATGTTTTGCAGAATCTAATGCTACATCACCTTCTAACGCAAGATCTGTGATACAAGAAAACAATAACTGTGGCGGTGCGGCGTCAGCCGCATCAGAACCAACCGAGTCCACTGAGAATAGTAATACAAATATAGATAATGGGAGTACGTCTGGCGCAGTATCTACTGAAATCACTAATAGAAAAAAAATACTTATTAAGTTAAAGTACTTAAATGACACATTAAAGGAAGTTGAAGGAAATCTAGATGAACTGCTGAAGGATTTTAAAAGGTATGTGTACATAATCTGGGATCCTCTGTTATGCATGTTGTAGGTAAACACTTCACAGCCTAATTAAACCACGGAAATCGTAGTCATGTGACAATTATGGTACTTCTCTGGAATGCCATTTCTTAGGACCAAGGTCTGTAATTTGAAAGTTTCGAATTTATAACATTAGATAGGATAAAAAAAATATAACAAATTGTATTATGCACATATAATATTTATATTTTACTAGCATGTATATTATACACTTAGATTATGTTTAAATTTTGAATGCCGAAATTGGAATTTCTAGAGACAGCATGGGATTTTTCAAGAAGATATTTCAAGTTTTTTAAGGGTCTGCAATGCGCACATGATAGCTAGGTCAAACCATGACAGGTGTTTCAGGCGCCCATAGTCTAAGGTAATCGGTCACCATCAGATGGGCCGCATGTTCATTTACCAACGTTGTAGTATAAAAAAATGTTAGGTTATTGATACAAACGAAATATCTCCTTTGCAAAGTAGACATTCTACCCTGAGGAGTTAAAAACTATCGCTCCTAAGAAAATCCTTGAATTCTTGTCTCTAATTGATCTAGGTAGCGAAATTTCAAAAAGGCTGAGCACAATAGATTTATGTAGGTTGCAGTGCAACAGATCTAGAACTCTAGAGCACGTGCCTCAATAAAAAAATCACATGTAATATTTTCATTTTACAGGCGTCATTTTGCAACAGAACTGTCGGCAGAGAGTCGAGTTCGTTTGATATTCAACGGACGAGTGTTAGTGGACGACGCGGCAACCCTACGCGCCTGCGGCCTCCACGATCGTGCTGTCGTACATTGCCTGGTTCATCCCAAACGAGCTAACAATCAGGTAAAAATTGGAACAATTATATCTCATATCTCAGGACAATTTTCCAATACTCGTAAATCAGTTTAGTTTATCAGAGAAAGACTTAACAAATATAGATATTATAACATAAGTACTATACATGTACAGCAACGCAACGGCATCCCCGAGGAAACGACAGTGAACGCCATGCATGAACTGATAAGGGAGGGAGTGCAAGCCGAGCGTCCGTGGGACTTGGAGAATATTCTTATGACACTTGTTTCCGTCGCCTTAACAGTCGTCTGGTTTTTCAGGTATTTATGTTTATATTGTATAAATTACCAAAATATTTTAAATATCTTAGAGATTTTAATTAATACAAATAAACTTAATTTAAGCACTGAATAGTCATATATTTTTTATTCTTCTCATTCAGGAACATAATCAACATATTCACAATAGGACATATTTTTTTATTAATTTAGTCTATTATCACTTTGGTCATTGTTTCTCAATCTAAAAGTCATCAAGGTGTTATGAGAGTCTACAACAAAAAACAAAATCGACATAATAATAATGCTTGCTACAGTTCAATATTTTTTTACTAATCTAGATTATGCACAAAATGAACTGCGTAGGTATAATCTGTTACACCTGCTTCAGCAACCAGGCAGCTTGATTTAAGATGTTTCGGTGAAAAGGTGCATATAGCAGTGAAATTACAAGATATGGAAGTATAAGGCCTTAGTCTTAGGCAATGGCCACATATGGGAAAACTAGGGGAATGGAATGGCAAAGTGATATCTGTGATACATGTGATGTGAGACAAATAGTTTGCCATTGAGGGGAAAGGGGATTGTTAGTAATGTGGACTGATGTTCTTATTGCAAGCAATGTACCATGTAGATTGACCTCAATGCGATACCCCTGGAAATCATCGTGATAAATTCTAGGTGAATTTGTCACGTTGGGCTAACTGAACTGATCTCATGCTCATCTTATACTTTTCCACTGGTGCCCCGCCAGCGTCAACCGTCAGTGTAGGCGTGTGCAACATCCTATTATTCCATTATCATAATAAAAAAATTGTTTGCCATCCCAGTTTCATAATTAAAAAGTTATTGTGACCATACAGATGCGAGTACTCCAACATGTTCACTGCAAGCGCCAGCGTGGCGTTATTCGGCCTCACCGTATTCTACAGCGTCGCAATCTTCGGCCTCTATCTCTCTGACACATTCCACTTTGATCGACGGCCCGCGCAACCCACGCAACCAGTGCAACCAGCTCAACCAGCGCAACCAGTGCCCAACAATTGAACGGTTTACATCTCGCTCTCTCATTTGTGAATGAAATGTATCGTACTTTCCTTAATTGTATCGCATATTGCTATCGATTACAGTGATGACAATGTCTATTTTGACTTGGCAGTTTGTAGACAAAGTCTTAGTTACATATTTTAGAAGGGTATCATATTATCAGGGGTATTGGATTACATATGCATTTAGAATTGATAAATACAGATAGAAACGAGAGACCTCACTGCATTATTGTAACTATTTATAAGCATAAAATATCAATAGCTTCAAAAATGGATAAATTAATTTAGCATTAATCCATAATATTTAAAAATGTAATACCCACTCTATACACAAACATTAAAATATAGTAACCTATATAATGTAGCCTATGTTAAAATAGACCAGTACTACCGATTATTAATTATTGATAGTAAAAATATATTATACTCTCCATAAATCCTACTAATACTATAAACGAAACAGTTTGTGGGTATGTATGGATGTTTATTACTCATTCACGCAAAAACTACGGAACGAATTTGAATGAAACTTTACAGTAATATAGCTGATATTTAGCTGATATATCAGAATAAGATATAGGCTATTAATTTAAAAGATATTTTGTACATATGGCGAAATATAATAACTAGTGTGATGCAGACGAATTTGCGGGGGTCAGCTAGTGAATAATGAAACATTTGTGAACGTAACACTTCAAAAAATTATCAGCTACTTGTGAAGTTGGTTCTTATTACCTATGTACTAACTTGGAAGTCGAATTTGTAACGCTATTGACAGAAGTACTGATCCTATTTTTAAACATTTAAAAAGGCAACTGGTCTTTTTTTCATATTTATTTTTTATGACATCGAGTTGCAGTAAAGTAACTATATGTTTTGTATTTGACGAGATTTTTATTTATACTACTATGGTGGCAATCAAGCATACAGCCCATCTAATGGTAAAAGGTTAACATAGTCTATGGATGCCTGAAACACCAGAGGTGTTACGTGCTAGTTGGCGACCTATAAGAAACCTTAATATACCCTTCTTGAAAAACCACATGCATTAGTCTCGTGAGAAAACCTCGGCAGGTATTTCATTCCACAATCTAAGTATCCGCAGGAGGAAGTTCGTTTGAAACCGCACTGTCCGAGACTTAGGTTCTAGCGTGTGGGGATGAATTCCCTCTCGATAGCTAGCGGTGCGACGGTAAAAAGTAAGCCGTATCCGGCATTATGTCGAACAATTCCGATTGGTTGCGTCAAGTCACCCTCCTGGTTGAAACCCTTTAGTCTTGAAACTTAGTAACGGTGCTAGAGCTTTTTAGTGTCTAAATTATTACATTGTATATTATAATGATAATACAAAAGTTATTAATAGCCGTCAACTACATTATATTTTTTGTATTTAATAAAATTGTACATTTGTCCATCAGTGTGTATACAGAAGTATTGTTGATTGTTGGGCTTCGATTTGCAGTACAATACTATCAGTTTAAAACTTAATAACATAGAATACATTAGCCCTGTGGAATGTGGATGTGGCCCATTGGAATTTATGTGATTCACTCATCTCCACTAATTGTAACTCTAGATAACATTTCACAGTACATATAAGACAAATCCAATGCTGTCAGTGTTGCCAGATATCTGATATTTTGTCCAAAATACCCCTGTATCCTGACGACTTATTTTAGGCCTCTAGTTCTGTAACAGTTCTTATTGTTATTATTTACATTAACCTGTCAAAAGCAGATTCATCTAAATTCCACCCACACATACCACTCAAATTTGGAGAAACCTCTAATCGGGCAGCACTGAATGCCACTAATCATTAATGTTAAGAACGGTATTACAGAATAGGGACTGTCATATTTGAAATGTAATTTATTACTTTTTTACAGCTGTAATAATGTAGTTTTTAAAGTTACCTCAATAATTATACAGTGTGAAACTGGAAATTATATTCTCTAACCTCATGACATACAAAAACAGTTTATATCAGTAAAATAATCAATATTCACTGAAGTGAATGTGCCGATCCCAAAAACGGTGAAAGACCTGATGTGTGATGATGATTCTCTAAAAAAAATAATGTAAATATTATAGGTGTAATGTTTTGTATTTATATAGATGTAAGTAGTAATTGTAATTTATTTGTTTAATATATTTATTTTATCAGATCAACGAGTGTCAAAACGGAGCACAATTTAAATATCGTAAATCAGTATAGAATTATGCCATTATACCCAGAGTTCATAATGAAGAAATAAAAAATATATTTTACTTTATTTTTTATCACATTTAGATCTCTTGGCCCCTAATGAATAAATCGAAATTTAACATAATAAAAAGCAATTTCATGGTCGATATTTTAGACCTATTTACTATATATACAAACTACAATTTCCCAACTGACGCATTTATACGTTTTATTTAAGGTCATGCAGATATGTACTCCATCTTAACACTTTTGTTGCTCTTTAATATACTCAATTATATTGAAATTTATTTATGCAGTGTACACCATCGTTTCATTGAATTCGAGTACTTACATATATTAATATCAAAATTGTACACATTATTTTATGTACCTAATTGTTTTACTCGTTCATTTTATTGTTATTTACTTTTTAAGGTTTAGTATAAAATTATCAAAATAAAATATGAATATTCAGTATGATTTTTCTTAGTGCCTTTACTTGATAACCCGCGTGACAATGCCTGTCTTTCGCGAATCTCAATTGAGTAGGCATCATGGTATATAAAATTTATACTAATAATGTACTTTGTTCTCAAGTTTTAAGGTCGTACTAAGATGGCAAGTCAATTTACTGATATAAAGCTTTTTAATAAACGGAGATTTGGGGTGCCACAAATATATGCAATCAATTTGCCTCGGCCTCGGTGGTCGAGCGGTTTAGCACATCGCTTTATTTCCGATGGTAGCGGGTTCGATCCCTCGCACGGTGCAAACCTTTGTATTCATGAGTAAGATTGTATCGGTGTCGGTATTTTCTATGTATACGTCTATTGTATGGAGTTACAAAAAAAAAATGTGTATCAGTTGTCTAGTATACAATACAAGGCTCTGCTTATCGTGCCATCTAGTGATGGCGCTGTGTTAGTTGTCCAGTGTTATTTATTTAATTTGAGAATCTATTCCAGTTTAACTCTGTCAAATAGGGTTACATTTGGATTTATAATAATAATACAAAGTAAAAATATATAATTTATTAAATAAAATATGTATACAATGCTCTTATACATGAAAAACCAATATGTAGAATCAGTACCTGTAAAAGAAAATGTTATGTTAGTACGTCATTTATAATTTCGACTGTTTTATATATCACTGACTATTTTTTACCCACTACTTTGATTATTTTTTGAGATAAAATATATATTTTCGATATAAAAGAAGCTTGCCACGATACAAAAATAAATTAATTATATGAACTTGCTTTAAATATACCCCGGTGATAAACATTATGTTGCACTATTCATCGTGAACGTTCAAATATTTAATTATAAATTATTAAATAGTGTATATCGCCGGATTGAGGTATACTGAAAATTAAAACAACAGTAACCTCACCTAGACGAGACTTCAATCTACCAAATTCGTTATCTCGTTAATTCACCAACAAACTTAACAAGTAAAAAATGAATTTGGTTATTGATGAATTTAATAAAATCAACTTACCTATTTGTAACTGCTTCAGCCATTGTTTGCATGTCACCTACAAACCAATTAAAAAGAAAATAAATTAGTTAAGAATTAGAAAACATGTAACACTTAACTTTTTAAAAATTGTTTTCAGCCATCCAAGGAAGTTTTAAATGCGTGGTAATCATGGTTGCGCATATCATAAAGCATTATATCATCATTATAAGTTTACTGTTGTCTAGCACTATACTTCTAAAATTGTTTTGCTCACTGTTTTTCTGATGAGGCAGCTTTCTGATTGAGTGATAGGTATTATGTCACTTGTCCTTTAATTTATTTAAAACTTGTATTGATATGCAATAAAGTTTGTATAGCTATATTTGTAATAAAAGATATAAGACCAAATTCATTCAAAAATAAGTCAAACTATCATATGTTTACATATAACAAACTCTCAATTCATCCCTAGTATTAGGTTAAAGAACTGTTTTATATTTACCTTTTTGCAGATAACAGGATTACAAGAGTTGCATACCTATAACATTAAAAGATCTATAGTACACTTTCAAAACACAAAAGGAAATATTTTAAATTGATACTGTCATTTCAACTTACCAGAATAATGTACTCAAAAAATGTGAAGGGAAAGAAATATAGTTCATTTTAGAGTAATTTTTATTGAAAACCACTGGCTTTCTATCTGATAATATAAATATATAAAAACAAACAGAAAGTCAATGACATCCAGACGTCTATATTTATCGCTTGCGACGGAGTTGAAGTGTGTTGCGACGAATCCAAGCAGCGCGGCGAGAACCGCCCTTGGTCTGTGAGAAACGATGTCCTTTGCCCAAACCACGGGAGCTGCGGCCGGCCGATGTGAGACCACGCATCTCACGATGTTTGTGGACAGCATTCACTATCCAGTTGATCTTGGGGTCACGTCTTATAGCCTAATAAACAGAAATATATCTTATAGCATACTATACATATTAAAATATACAATATTTAAAAAAAATTAGGTGATCAGTTAAAATGGTAGGTGAGTATTCAGCAAAAACCTTTCAGATTGGTGCATGACATAAATAGTTCATCATGTTATAAGTTTATAAATAATATATTTCTTTAGATATTCTCATTTCTTACCTTATGTGAGGGGTCAACCAATATGACTTCAAAGTATTTGTATGAAGAGTCCTGTGCAACCCAGTATGAGTTAAGGACACGTAGACCACCGCAACGACGACCAACACGTTCCTGTGTAGGTTAAATGTTGTTAATAAACAACAAACATAAAATATATATTGAGTTTCTCACTCAATTAACAAAATAAATTTCTTAGCATATTACAGTAATATTTACTACATAGAACATATAATTTGATAAAAAATAAGCTATGTTACTATTTAACTTGTTTCATTTTATTGGTTGTGTAAAAATATATGTCCTGCTTTGTGAATTAATAGTAAGCTGTACTTTCTTCATATTGTAACAACTACACTCACATAGATTTTGTATTTAAAAAATCTCACATGCTATTTTTGTAATTGTTGAAAGGCAACAATTACAAAAAATACCACATGAGGTTTACAATATATGAAAATCAATTATAAAATACTGTTAAAAATTAGTCAATATTAAAGAATGTAACATAGTTAACTAAATTTAAGATATAACATTACAGATATTTGTGTCTTACCAAGCTGTTTTATATTATTATTTTATACAATCAAAATTTTGAAATTACCATACCAACCGGCATTGTAATTTCAAAATTCTTACTTAAGATACTACTTTTAATGTAATAAATATATATCTTCTATGTATATAAAGAACAGTTTATGATTTGGCTTATTTAGGTGTTCCAAAACAGTTTAAATATTCATATACTAACTTCGGCAATAGACTGCAAATTACGAGTGGGTTTCAGCTGATTAACACCATGACTTTTTGGCTTGCCGTAAGTGGCACCCTTTGCGACTGGGCGCTTGCGGCCGCCACGGCGTACGCGGATTCTGAAGATAACATATCCTGAAAGTAACACGTGTTTCAGTAATTTAGTTTTGGTTACCAATTATGTGCTAATATATTTCTTAAACAGAATTCTTAATTGACTACCTTGTTTAGCACGGTATCCCAGTCGTCTCGCTTTATCAGGCCTAGTGGGCCTAGGAGCACGATGCATGCGGGTTAACTGGCGGTACTGCCATACTCTGACACGCAACAAAAAACGCATAACATCGCTCAATTTTTTTCTGTACAATTCCTGTATATATCTGTAAGCGCCCATCTTGCAGAGCCTGTGGCAGACCTAGTAACAAAATCAATGGAAATTGATCAGAAGTCACATCATCGGTCTGGCCACAAATAATGCGTTTGACCCAATACACAAAACATTATAGAAATTCTGAAATATAAAAATAACACTTAAAGAATAAACTTTAACTAATATTTTAACAAATTAAATGTAACATTACTTAATATTTTCAACGATTATCGATAAAATTAAAGATACAAATTCAACATACGTGTAGCTCACAGGTTAACCGGAAAAGAAAAAGAACTCTTATAATTGTTAGTATGTCTGTCAGACTCCGTGAATAATGTTTCTAACTTGACAGACCGACTGACTGACTGACTGCATGATTAGAGAAGCGAGCGAGCCTAGAACAAGAACATAGATTTCTTCTTCTTCTTAGCGATCCAGCATGTAAATTATTTATTTAGGAATTAGAAAGGTGCTATGCTTTAAAATATATAAGATATGTGAATACATAATATTTATGTCTATAATCTTAATTTTACTTTATAACAACTTTATATATTATTATTTTTTTACATTAGGCTAGATTTACATTTTGCATAAGAATCATGTCATAGCTTTGTGAAAAATGAAGTTGAAGTAATGATAGATTTTAATTCTAAAATGTACCTCTTGGTATATCGTGCATTTTTTGGCTTTATGTAATGTTTGCTTTGGTTTTAGTATACTGATTATGAAAATAAAAAAAAAAGTAAACCACAGCGCCGCCATCTTGAAAGCGTAACTGTTGTCATGTTTACGTTGTTTGTGAAAGGTGTAATTTATAGTTTTTGATATAGTGAATTGGTAAAGTTTAACAAATATAGTAAAAATATATCCTGTTAGAAAGCCCATCAAATGGCTCTAAATTATAGATATGATATAGACCTACAACTTGGTTAACTTAGTTTTTACAGATTGGGCGCCAAACTACGCTCAGTCGTTACAGTTTATAACCGTAATAAACAATTTCTGTTGTATGCTTTCGTGGTTTTCTGTAATAATTTTGAAGATGAACTTATTTTACTTTCCATACGAGAACAAAATGTTGTGATGTAGACATATTGTACTCTTTTTTTCAGAACCAGATTGATGTAACTGCAGGTCAGGTTTTAGTAGATTAACATGTTTTACGCACATTTTGTGCTGGCCAAGAAAGGCCCCTTGGCCAAGATTTGGTTGGCGGCACATTGGGATAAGAAGTTAACGAAGGCACATGTGTTTGAAACCAATATAGAGAAGTCTGTTGATGGTATCCTGAAGCCAAAAGTGAAAATGGCTCTTCGGACCTCTGGCCATCTGCTACTGGGTGTTGTCAGGATCTACTCTAGAAAAGCCAAGTATCTCTTACAAGATTGCAATGAAGCATTTGTCAAAATCAAGGTAACAATATTGTCTTGTATTTACTCATTGAAATGTGAATATTACATTATTTACATTAAGTACATGGTGCAATGTATTTTGGTATTTCAATTACATTTTTGTATTTTAGTTGGCGTTCCGACCGGGCATGGTGGATCTGCCAGAAGAGCATAGAGAAGCAGCCATGAATGCTATCACTCTTCCAGAGGTTTTTCATGACTTTGATACAGCTATGCCCGAATTGAAGTAAGTTATTTTTCTAAATACTTTTTGTAAATGTAATTAATTAAACAAATGGCATGAATCACAATACTCAATTGTGATTTGATGTCAATATCATATTGATATATAGACATTTTAATTTGTTTTTTATATGATAATTACAGTGAAGTGGATATTGAAGCTCAATTTTCCCTGAATCAGTCAAGGGCTGAGGAGATTACTATGCGAGAGGATTATGGCTCATTGAATCTGGTCACCCATGATGATGGGTTTGGTGATATGGGATTTGATACTGATAACCCTGATATTATGAGAGAAGCCATTGGTACTGAAGGAGGTTTGGAACAGGTAAATCAATATTTATCTTTTAGAAAACACAAGTAGGTGTAAAAAGACTAATATACAAAGAGAAAAACAATGTAATATTTAGACACAATTTAATTGACAAATAATTCTATATATATGTATATAAAAAAATTAATCCCTCAACTGGACCGATTTTGCAAATTCTTTTTTTAGAGAAGTTTAGTAAAAATAAATGAAGGTTGCTTGGAACATAAATCTCAATATGATAGTTTAATTTTCTTATGTTTGTTTGCCTGTGTATGGTGCTCAAAGTCAATATTTATAGTTAAGACAGGACAGGGTATGTCATGTCAGCTAGTAATTGATCAATTGTTTATGTCAATTTCTTTTAATTTTGTAATAATGTATTCCATTTTGTTATTATAAAACAGAAAGGTTAAAATCTTACTTGTACCCATTAGAACACCCATATGAAGATATACCATGTCTATTACAGTATTCATAATAACCAAGTGACTTAAATTCCAATAAATCTCATTTAGAAATAAATTTAAAATTTATTTTATTAACTTTCTCGTTTTTGGTAGTTCATTGTTAACAATTTGTCCAGCATTTTACATCAGATGTTCATAATAAAAATATTCTTTGAATGTGGATTCAATGGTCAGTAAATTTGATTTTAGAGTAACATTTTATTTGCTGATGGCTCATCCCTGTCCATGCAATTGGCTGGTAAAGAACCAGGTGTGCCAAGTACAAGTGCAAATGGAGTGCCCTCATTGGCTACTCCAGCTCATGAACGTAGGATGGAAGCAGCGCCACATGGACCCATGGATGATGGATTTGGGGGAACCATTGGTGATGTGGGAGATTTTGGACGTAAGTGCTGGATAAGAAATAGATTTTCATAATATTATTAACATAGTTCAAAATGGTCAACAAGTATACAAGAATACAAATATTTAAAGTTAGATTATTTGTACTGGGATTGAGTGATCAAAACATTAATTAGATTTTTATTTAACTTCCGTAAGCATGTCATAAAACAATAAATTATGTATATAGATAGAAATATTGAGGATTTATTTATTTTACTGAATTTAAATATGTCTTATAGATCTAATACATATTCTAGTATTTCTGCGCATCCTATAAGCAATAATTTTTACAAGGATTATATTTCATCACATATTTATGTATCTGTCCATATTGTTATATAGATGCTGGTGGGCTTTTCGAGGGAGACCTCTTCGGCGAGGTTACGGCTAGCGGAGGTCCAGGTGGCGCGGGTTCATCGCTGGCTGGCCTGCCCGGCCTAGCTACTTCAGCTCAGCCACAGTCGCTGCAGGTAAACACAGTATACACAATATAGAACATTATCAGAACACTTCCATTTTGCAATATTAATTCATTATTAGAAGCTGCTAAAGCATTCACGATTGAAGAAGGCGGGAATGCGCAAACTGATGCGCGCGCGCGGTTTTTCTCGCTCTCCTTGTCTACATTTAACATATACATTCTTTCCCACGTGAAAGCCGATTACCGCGTCTAAGAACTTACGTGTGCAAAGGCAGCTTTTGAAGTTTTATTTCGGTACTTAAACACCAGTTGTGACCACTATTTTGTGTTTAATTTACGTAGTCCATAGAAAAAAGAATTAAATGAAATTTCTATTTGACAAGGGAATGTAGTTACGAATGCAATTTACCTGACATAATGTTGCTTTAGGTTTCTTTTTTTTTGGACTGTAATGCTGTCGATACCTTTACAGCTTCCCCGGACGAGTGCAGATGGCACTCGAAACCCGCAGAAGGACTTATGGAATGGCTAAAGGCCCACTTGACGGATTCGACTTTACTTTCGTTTCGAAGTTTAGTTTCGAAAGTAAGATACTTTCGATCCCCGTTCGAATAGGACAGTATTATATAGAAGGTTGTATGTTTTTGCAGGCGGAGATCGAGGCGGCGGGCGAGGCTGCGGTGGCGGCGGCGGACGCGCCCGACTCGGACGACGACATGGGCGACCACTACGACGCCGGACACTCGCCGCAGCACAGGTACGGTTATGGCCATACACACTATGTTGTTTACTAACTGTTCCTGCGGTTTCACCCGCGTGAAATTTATAGCCTATATGCTATTCTGATGTAAAAGCTATATTATTGTAAAGTTTCATCAAAATCTGCTCAGTAGTTTTTGCATGAAAGAATAATAAACATCCATCCCGTATTTACAAACTTCTTACCTTTGCTTGTGGCCAAGCCGTGGGTGCCAATCTACCTGGATCGTGTCCTGGTACGGAAAGGTATCAAAACTCTTAGGTATTTATCTCAGCATTAATTTTTTAAAAGTATTTTTGCAAAATTTCTTTTGTCAGTTTGTATTCACACAGATAATTAAAATAATTATAATATAACAGATGAATTTAAGTTATATGGAAATTCAGGCATTCACTGCTTTCATTATTCTCATGGTATTTTTAGCGGCGTGACAGCTACAGTTGAGACATCCTAACTATTAAATCAACTATATATAGTAGTAAATATATTTTAATTGTATACAGCTGGGGTGGGTCCCCACCGCACGAGACGGCGGCTCACGCGGAAGAAGCAGCCGACCTGATGCCGCCGCCGGCACTGCCGCGACCACCCTCAGTCAGGCCTATGGTAACATTACTATTATTTATATAAATCGGATATTGTTCTCAAGCAAGCTAGAAGGACCTAACGATACTCTCAGGTTCGACATCGTACTACTGTTAATTAATAAAGTATAAAGCCTGTGCCCAAAGGTTCTACTTTTTCATAGATTATATAGGTATGGCACTGGTAATGCTTTTCTTAAAAGGATGCTGTTATTAAATTAAAATTTCTTTTATTCATAAAATTGAAGTGATCCTTGATCAAGAATTTGAATTGTAAACGGTTATGAGGCAATAAAATAAGAAACTTAGCTGTCATTATGTCTGTAGAAAAAAAACTGTAACTGCCAGATACAGCCTTAGAATAGTTAGAAAAAAAAGAGGATATAATATTGCTGACTATATACTCTTAACCAATCCATCCCATTATTAAGAATCGTTGCAATGAGAGTGTTGACGTGTAAAGGATGTGGACCCCACACCGGAAGAGGGCGTGTCCGCGGCGGAAGCTGCGACTGCGGCGACGGAGACCGCGCCGCCGGAAGCGGAAATAGACCACGCGCCTCTGGACAACACCACGCTGCTGCAGAACGAGGAGGAGTCCTTCGCACTCGCGCCGGTTGACGCCACCGTGCTCAAGGGTATTCATCGTCGTCGTATTCACTATTTTCTGCGTTCATTCCTTTTTATTCTAGAATAGAATTGTCGACACAATAATCATGACCAAAAACATCTTTTTCTTCAACCTCGCCTCTTCCCGTTACGCGGTGCTGGCTTTTCTAATCTTGAGGTGCCATATATTTTCATGTTTACCCAGAATACGCTGGAAACATAGTAATAATAATAATTGTGCATAAAAAAAACAATATTTACAAAAAAAAATGACTTAATATAGAAATATATACTAATAAAAAGTGCCCTTATTGCTCAAAGCAATCTCTTATAGTGCCTTATCGTAAACATATTTCCAGCACTGATTTTCAGTTGGCCCCACACGAATTAAAATTTAAAAAAATTAAATTTAAAACAGATAATATACAAATATAAAATAATGTTTAAGAAAAAATAACTTTATATATAAAAAAATATCACAATATTTTATACTTGGTGTAGAAAAAACTCTGCTACCTTTTTTTCTTATCTTTGCAAAGTATATTAAATTTTCTTCATTCTTATATCAGCTATACAAATCATATACTTCTTTGTAATAGTAGTCGTTTAAAAATGTGTACTTACAACAATCAATTATTGTTCAGGTATAACAAAGGCGAAACGTAAACGTAAACTCATAGTTGACGAAGTGAAGAACATATCTGGAGAAGAAATGAAGAATCAATTAAGTAACACATCGGATATCGTGACTACACTAGATTTAGCGCCGCCTACGCGGCGACTGATGCATTGGAAAGAGACGGGCGGAGTGGAGAAACTGTTCACATTACCAGCCAGGCCAATACCGTCCCGGGTTCTGTTTAAGGTAACTAACAAAATGCATTTTAGACTATTATTTCAGATACGGTAGACTGTTGCATTATTAGTAACAGTTGTTATTGACATGGTAAACGCGATAGCATGCACACATTTACTTTGCTATATCCAACATGACATAGGGTGAATCTACCGCCATCTCTTAGATTAATTTGATTTATTATTGAAGAGTCGAATAAAAATAGTCACGGTAGTAATCTACTAGACAGACGCTCTCAAGGGTTTGTGTGTGTTTTGTAGATACAGATTTTTGTAATGGGAGTGAGTTTTTTAAGTCTCCATAAATTATTTAATTTATAATATTCGCTAAATTTTAACATAACTCCGCATTACTTTAATTAGAGTTTTAATTACTTAAGAATGAGTAACGTTTCTAGTTCCGCCTGTAATGGGCAGCACATTTCAGTAGTTGTAAAAGTTTGTAAAGGTATTTCTTGAAATTTTCTACAAAAAGTATCATACTCTAAATGATTAGATAAATATTTTCCGCTATAATTTATCAAAATAATCCCGAGGTTTACATCTCGTTTATAAATGTATATAGTGTGGTGAGTGAGCATATATATGTTCGATTGCAGAAGTACCAGCGAAACATGACGCTCCGAACCGAAGCTGAAGAAACGGAAGCTCGCTCCCCTGAACCAGAGGTGGCTCGTCGGCAGACGCGGAAACGGCGACATGACGAGGTGTGTAATATTCTCTATTGAGAATCAATATATCCTTTCTGTAGTCACTTTCACTGCTTACCCTATTTCTCTCACTCTCACTCATCATATATCATATTGATCTGATCTTCTGAAAGTTTTGTTTGTAAATATTTGCTGAAACTTTTGAATTAAATTTAAAAGCTTAAAATAATACACCAGAAAGGATATTTCTTATAGTTACGTGTCGAGAAATCAAATAATTCTATTATGGTAAATAAGGTTATAAGTCCGTTATGATAGTTATAACATACGAAGCGGCCGCCCGAACCGATGGCGAGGGCGTAATAGACACGAGTGTGTTAAATACGTACGTATATTATATGACGTTTTTCAACTAACTTGATTTTAAATAAACTCAACTATAAAATTGTGATGCCCACTGTTGGCTTTCCGCCGTTTTACTTTTTGTCAATGATTACTTATAAAAGTCCTTTTGACTAAATGTCCCTAATTTGCCTACAGACAATTCTACCACCAGAAACACCAGCGCCAGCATCAGTTCCAGAAATGGAACCACCTACACCAATACCTCAGGAGTATGAACCCTCAGTTGGTGAGTGTATAATTAATTTAGGTACCCCTAATTTGATAATTAAAATTAAAAATTTATACAATTATTATAGATATATAATACCACAACTAAAATGATGCTGTGAATAGCCTTTAAACATCTTTATAATTATATATCAACTCGGTTAACACTTCTTGACTACCTTAACTTCTGTTTCCCAATGTATTTGAAAAAATAATTATTTAAAGGAACCAGCACAAAGTATGGAGTGATTTTCATATGTACGATCATGTATATAAGCATAAATAATATATAAATAATAAGCATAGTTAAGCGACTGTGAGTCACTGATTCGATACATCTACACAAATTAAGTTTTATTATAATATATAAATAGCTATGCAATACTAATAATAGCCCACATAAAATACGTTTATTTTGTAAATACATAAAATAGAGAATACCCACCAAACAATCTACCACGAGTCCACCATCAAATATAGTCAAAAATACTAGCATATTTTAATAAGTTTGAGCATTGTAAATTTATAATCAAGGACAATTGACACTTTCTTTTCTCTTACCTACAATAAATACAAAATTATTGTCTCCTGGAATGAACTATATTAACTATTTACTAAAGACTGTTTCCTACTACTATGCTTTTATAACAAATTATCACATTAACCAATTTTTCACTATGACCTTTATTACTTGGTGTACAATGCGATCAAAATATGAAATAAAGTAAAGTATTCAGAATAATTGACTTGTTTCAATAAAATTCTATACTATATTTTACAGTTAAAACTTTGCTAGTTAAAGCTGTTAAATACTAGAATCAATAAAAATATTTTTTAACCAAGTTTTTAAATATTAAATAATGAAGTGACATATGTATGTACGTTCATATTTCGATCGCATAGTACGTTGTACACATAACGTAATGAATGCACTAACTAACCCGACAATGGTGACGTGTAGAAGCGGAGCGAGAAGCGGAGGCGGCCGCCGCAGATCCTGCATCACATCCCTCGATACTAAGTAATCATTCACTTTCAATTTTCTCTTTTATTGCTACACATTAGCTGACTTTATATGACACGTTCTTTCACGCGCTATCAGGAGCGCGCGCTATTTAATGCGGGAAAGACAGCGTGCGCAATTGTAAGGGATTGCATTTTACAATTTTTTGTGATCACTCTTTCGCACGTGATAGTATCTATGTATTTGTTGTTGTTATGTATTTATTTTTTATTTTTCAGATACGTTTAAGATTTACTTCTATAATTATGTCTTTGGTCTGTATGGGGCTGTTCAAGTATTACGTAAGCAGATTTATCACAATTATTTACCCCCCATCCCCCGTTGTCAGCAAAAGTAAGCAAAGCTCTTACCCCTCCCCCCATGCTTACGTAAACATTTCTAAATTAATGTATTGTTTTTTTTAGCAAAGACAATGTGAGGGTTGCCATTCGTGTAAAAAATTAAATTACGACCGATGACGTAATCATCATACAGACTCCCCCACCCCCATGTCATCCAAAATAAGCAAAGAAAAGACCCCCCGCCCCCCTATAGTGCTTACGTAATACTTGAACGGCCCATATTCAGATCTCCATTTTGCAATGATAATTATTACTAAAAGGAGCCAGAGCATTCACGATAAAGGATCGCAGGATTACGCATGCTCGTGGCATGCGTAGTCTATCTCGTTCTATATGTCTCCATTTATATACACATTATTGCGTGAAAGAGCGTACGTGCAAAGGCAGCTTTTGAGATTTATTTTCGGAACTTAATCTCATTTTGTAATCACTATTTTGTGTTCAATCCACGTTAGACCATTCGAAAAACAAAGAAATTAAATTTCTATTTTACAAGGTTTACCAATGGTTGCTATTTACTTGAAATAAAGTTGCTTTATGTTTCGAAAGTAAATTTAATATACCTACGTAAGGAATTTATAGCATCTAAAACTTAAATAGTCTCCATTTTATGGTTATCACAAACTGCACATGTACATATTACACACTACATCGGCATGATGCTAAAAATATTACCATAAAATAAAAAAATATGTAAATTTAGCTTTATTATGCGCCGCATGTAATGTTTCTTCACACACTGGGTGATTTATATTTGGTATATTAACTAATTTTCAATCACGACTGATGGAATCTATCCTCTCTATACCACTCTTGTGCTTATTATTAAAAATGCATGATTATTCATAAGACTAAAAAAATAATAAAGACATAATAATCTTAATAAAGACATACAATAAGATCTAATAATCCAGTAAAATTCTTCTAAAGTTCCTTCTTAGGTTTCCATTTCGAACCTCAATCTGAAAAGGGAATTCTTGTTTACTTCCATTTTCAAAATTGATGTTATATTAGTTTAAGATCTTTGATCTAATTTGTATTTAAAATTTAATCTTTTGTGTAGCATAAAATATTTTTTTAGTTATAATTTTCCATGATACATATTTAAAGTATGAAACATTTTGCAGGTGGTATGTTAAGCTCGCTGGGTCCACCACTGACGCCCGGTGTTCTGGGATCGTTAACTCCTGGTAGTTTACTTCAAGGAGGGCTCACACCTGGAGGCCTGCAACATGGTGCTATGACGCCAGGTATGTACAATATTTATAGTGTTTTAAATTGAAAAAAATAATAATACCCATTGTGTGGCTAGGTACTGCATCGGCTTATTCTAATCTATTTCAGAAACATTGGATTTTTTGTAATGGATGATATATAAAATATTAAACTGACTTAAAATCTTAGAAAATAATAGTATTCAACAAATCACACCTCTTGTATTTGAAAATTAGCTGACCTAAGCAGCTTCGTATGTATATCAATTATTGCATTAAACGGTTTTGCAACAATTCTCATTGCTGTTCCTCTCATATTTGTCGTGTTAGTTTGTATAAGATATTCGTTTAAGATTTTTGTCAAGACCTTATTGAAAGTATCGCCAACGTAAAATTGAATGAATGAATTTCGTAGTATGATAAATCTTATTGTGCATGTTTTCAGGTGGGTTGAGTCATGGAGGAATGACTCCAGCTGGCCTCCAACATGGCGATGGTCAACCAATAGATTTAGGGTTGGCAGGTAGCGGTATGACGCCAGCCGGATTACACCACGGAGGTAAATATTGTTATCAACTGACTATTAGTGCTGTTCATGTGATTCTGTATATATTTGGATAGGGTCTAATCATTAGGTTTTTAGGCTGAAGTTAGTTTTTTTTATTGCCTAATCTTGCATTTGTATGTCCGATATATATATATATATATATAAATATCAAATATGTATTTGTGATATGGTAGTGAAATTTAAAGGAAATGGAACCCTTGCCATTTTACCAATTATTGAAAAATTTTTTTATATGACTGTAGTGACTATTTAAACATGAAATCGTCAAACATCTCGTTACTTAACCCAATATAAATTGTAACTACTATATGTGACAGGTATGACCCCTGGCGACTTAACCGGCATGGGTGGCATGACGCCCGCGTTAGGTCTGGACAGCATGACGCCGGGCGGCCTACAACATGGCGGTCTCACACCCGGCGCCCTGCATCATGGTGGTATGACACCAGGTAAGTTTTAATATCTTTCTATATAAACAAAGAAGTGTTATAAAAATAATCATACTTGACATACCATAAATGCGAATAATTTCTTGCTTTCACGTATTAACTTCATCATTACGAAATTTGACATTGGATGGATAGAATGCAGTCTACTTTTATCTCGAACAATGAATAGCGAATTTACACCATCTGATGTCCGTTACAAAAATCGGATAAGACCTTCACATCACGTAAGAAAGTTTCAAGTTGTAATTAATAAACCCAAGACAATACGCACAGCGTCACCTAGTATGAAAGTAAGCGAAGTATATAACTATACTATTATAATAGCAAAGGCATGTCTGTCTATTTATTGTATGTTCACGGCTAAATGGCTGCCTGGATCTTAGTAAAAACAATTACGATTGTTAAATTAGGTCCCCTGCAAAGTAAATTACTTTGCAGTGGACCTTTGTGCTTGGTGTTCCATTATTAATTAATAATCTCAGCTTCGATATAAATGCCCCTACACACTTCCATCTTTGTGAAACAAATAAAATATTGTACATGCTCAAAAATTACATTTGAAATCATATTTGCAGGTGGTCTGGACCATGGTGGTATGACGCCAGGTGGTCTACAACACGGAGGTATGACGCCTGCGGGTCTACAACACGGAGGTATGACCCCGGTGGGCCTACAGCACGGCGGTATGACCCCGGCGGGTCTACACCATGGTGGAATGACTCCAGGTGGATTGCAGCATGGTGATATGACTCCATCGGGTTTGTACATTTTATTTGATGCGCCTAATACAAGAGACACGCTGTTCTTTTAGTAGTAATATTAAATGGTTAGACGAATTTATATCATACTTACTGTTATCCTGTGTTTTCATCTACACGAAATCTCATCCTTTCAAAGTTATATTGTGAGATTTCAAATAGCCTAGTACCGTCAAATTAGGCAAATTTGAATGCATAAATATTTTTTTACCGTTACATCCATACGCGATCATAGACAAGTGGATTTAAAAAATAATTGTTTTCATCTATTTTTCTCACAATTTTCAAAGGATATCTTGTTGTATTACAAATAACTAGTGTCCGCGGTCTCACACGCGTGGAATTTATAGCCTATGTGTTATTTTGATTATAATCTATATTACTATAGTTTCATAAGAATCCGTTTTGTAGTTTTTACGTGATAGGGTAAAAAACTTCCATCCCTCCATTCATAACCACAAATTTTCACGTTTGTAATATTAGTAAGATATTTACAAATTGAAAACAAATATATACTCTTACTAATAGTGGTGATAAAAAACCCTCAACAGTTGGATAAATGTGTTAATATTTCCATATTTTCCAGTGATATTTTTAACGATAAAATATGTATTTGTTTACCTTTTTTATAAGTTCAATCGTAACCGAGGATAATACTATTTATGTATATAGGAAACGGTTACCGCTTATCAGGTGGGACGTAGTTTGTTTGTTACTCCAATTATATAAAAAATATTATTCAATAGGTGTACAGCATGGGGCGTTGCTGCAGCACAGTATGGAGCAGTTGCCGATGATGCCCCAACTGGGCGCTGGCGAGCAACTACAGCGCTCGCAGGTGCCCATGGAGCCCCTCATACCTCTCGACGAGCACGCCGACTATCAGGTATTATCACACAATTATATTTCTGGTCAATATTACGTTTTTTTTTCTTTTAATCTTGCTAATTGACAATCTGTTTTTAAACAATAGTCCAACCTATTGGCTATTTTTAAATGGTTTCAGTTCATGAGGCTGGTCCAATGAGTCAGTTCTCAAGCGCTGTCAGTGAAAATATATTACATAATTAGGAAATAATAATAGATGAACATTGCATCGTAATATACTCCTCTGTGTCCCTTACACTAATTTATTTGAATAACTTACAAAATAATTGTAAACCTTGAAATATAAAACCCTAACTTATACATCAATATAATTAAGATAGGTTTTATTATTCAGGAAAAGTTCTGTGTACATAAACTTAGGACTTTTCTAGAAAAATCCATTAACATTGGTATGAGATTAAAAAATGTAACGAGCCGCAATTATTATATTTTCAGACTGGAATGCAAATGACAAATTTAGGTTACGACGATCAACAAGGTCATCACAGTCCACCTCACGATTACGACCTTCCACTTACACCAGAGAATGTAAGTAGCAACTATTTCATTATAATGATTACTTTAATTTTGTTTGTTTATTTACAATGGAATTCAGTTAAGGTGAACAATATACATGATAAGTATGTACTTCTGTTTACATGTGATTCCTTTACATACGCCACAAAGTTGGCGTTCTATAACCATTTTCAATAAGTAACTCTATAAACCCTAAATACATATACAGTGCATTGTGTCACATGTCTATGAGCTCGTAGAAAATGTATGTTAAGAATATATCCTACCGATCGGGATCATAGTTGACTACATACGATCGATCTTAACAATATTCGCTCTTCAGGCGGATGAGGGCGAGCGTGAGGCGGGCGAAACAGACGAGCAGTTCGAGGAGCGAGTACTGAACAGACGCGCGGCACAACTCTTCGCCGTGATGCGACCTAAACTAGCTGTCGACATGCAGCTCTCCTTCGCAGATTTAGCGCCCAGGCACAATAATAGGAAGCAGGTTAATATTCAAGAATATTGTCTTTTTTCACATATATTAATTATTAATTCGCCGTATAATTTTTGCGCGTGTGGGTCGTTATTAAATTTGGAGCCAGAAAGACAAAAATTACAAACAATTGATGTTTATATATTTTTAGGCGTTTTTTACAATTCAGGGGATCCTTTGAAAAGATTTATATATATGTTTGACTATTAATTAATTATTAACACACACATAAGTGTTACTCTTTTGGCCGCAAATTTGAAAAAACGATCTGTGATGCTGAAATGATTTTGATAATTTTATTGCATATTTTGTAATTCATATTTAACATTTCATAAAATTTTGTCTGTATTAGTAGTTTGACTTTGATGTTATGGTACATTTTTAGATAGACTGTCAGATTGTTACCAGTTTCATTGGTTACTAGATTTCTTCTTTTTTATACATTATAGAAGATAACTTCTGCCTATTGTGTGTCTGTTACTATAATTCTCTTTTATTTTCAGGTTGCACAAAAGTTCTACAGTTTACTTGTGCTCAAAAAACATCAAGTGTTGAAACTCGAACAGCATGAAACTTATGGACCTATTATAATTACCAAGGGCAACCAGTTTGAAACTGAAGCTATTTAAGTAGGTGTGTAAGGACAGAAAGTTATTTATATTATTTGTAATATAATATAACTAGTGCCTTGTGAGCTTAGCGATAGTGAGATCGCCATGCTCACAAAGTGCAAACAGAGAGAAATATCAATATTAGTTTATGTGAGTATGTGGTGTCTAGTTGTAATGTTATGGACTTACGGAACTAGGATGAGCCAAAAATAATGTGTAAGTCGTCCTTTTGACTCGAGTTCATTGAAACATTAATTCTTACTTTTAAATTTTGGACCAAATAATGTTACGAGTGTTGATCTCATAAAACAGATTGTATTGTACTGTAATAGTTTCGCCCCGTTTTATTGTACTCGAATCAAGAGTGAATGTGCAGTTGTGATTCAGATGTTATGTTCTATTGATGTGAATAGTGGGGAAATGCCTTATTTTCGTTTGCTGTAGGCTAAGTAAGATTAAATATGCACAGTTTTCCATGTTATGTACCATATTTATTGTGCCCTACTACACCTCAAAGTCAATAGAGCATGGTTTAAAGATCCCATATTTCAAGATAGAGTAAATATTATTATTGTAAAGATGTTATCATAAGTTTTTCATTGTTTTAAAGTTTTCAGTAATAGAGTGAAATAAGTATTACTATATTGTTGACCTACTTTTGAAACAGAATTATGTAAGCATGTTTTTTGGTACTCATGATGTGTAGAATAAAATTATGTTATGACTTATACATATTTATAAAGTGTATTTCTTCTCAAGGAAGTGTAGACATTCAATCTTATTTTATCGTGCCTTGGTACATTTATTTTAATGTTTATAAATTATGACATTACACAAAATTATTGACATGTAACAAGTAATTGAGATGAACATTTATTAACAACAAACAAAATACTATAGTTATGTGAAAACAAGCCCTGCTAACTGATACAGGAAGTATGCCGTTAGCAGGACCAACGTCATGTGTTTCGTCAATTTTAATTGGTGCTTTATGGCACTTATGTAGAATTAAGAAACTATTGTTAACAAAGTGCAAATACACTCACAAATAGAGATAATGTTTAAAACTTTTTTGTTTGTAAAAATATCCAATCATGGTAATGAGAAATATACAATGTATTTTTATTATCACACTCAAATGTGAATAGCTGAATATAATATTGAAGACATATTGTATTCGTATTTCCATTTCTGTGAAAACTTAGTGATAATTAGACACCAAATAAGAAATTCAAAATTATAAAAACAGCAAAAATATTTACTAGATTTTTATACATGGCGCATTGAAGCGAGTAAATGGTTCTAATTTTTACATTTCTTTGAGAACTTGATGGTGAGCTATTTAATTTGCAAAGTGAGTACAAACCGATGGATTATTGGAATTTATTCATTTTGATCTATATTGAAGTCGAATCTTTTAAAAACGATAAACAATGCATTAAGAATGCCTGGATTTTTTTGGTAAATTAACACCATAAATATTTTGTCAAACAAAATTTAAGAGTTTACCTCCAGATAAAGAAGAATTTATGTTTATTTTTAACTGAGGTATTCTCTTAGATGCTTTCATTAAAAACATTTGCAATAAATTTGTTGATAATATAATTTGTTTTAATTACAAACTCGCCGTCCACTAAGTGCTAAACTAAGTTTGTTTACTATTCTGTTTTCGTGAACTTCGATTAATTATATTACAATTATTCATAACTAGATATGCTCGCGGTTTCTACCTGCGTGAAATTTATAGCCTATATGTTATTCTGTGTAGTTCTATTACTGTAAAATTTCATCAAAATCCGTTAAGTAGTTTTTGCGTAACATCTATACCTACTCACAAACTTTCGCATTTATAATATTACAATAGAATCTATAGACATATTTCTTTCAAATTCAAAACTATGGCCTGGAGATTTCAGGGACTTAGTAGTGTCCTTCTATCACAAGAACGCACGGAAAGAGGACGACCCACTTTAATTCTTTAAATAGAACTTAGTTTGATACTTCTGTTGTGATGCATGCAATAAAATAATGTTACTGTGAATGAAGACAGCGTGTAAAGTCGTATAAATTGCGTTCACAGGATGGACTACGACCTTTTTCCCTTCGGTTAGATAAGTTGTGTAACCAATTACACAATTATGGAAACCTAATCAGCAAATTATGGGTAAACAGATTTTTTTGAGGGCTGTACTTTTCCAATTAGCTCGAAGAGTTCAAGAGGACATAAGTTATGTTCTACAGTGGACTTGATTTCAGTTTTCCAGAGTAGACTTTGTATTAATTCATCTTCGAGGTATGGCATTGTAACTATAGGAAATGCAGTTTTTTAACTCTAGGGAATGCAAATACATTACTGGTACTAAGGGCATGTAATGACGCGATGTCCGTGAAACTGTTCTTGTAGGTATACTATGGTTGCTACTTATCAGCAGATGATCTGTCAATTCATTTGCCACTAGTCTCAAAAACCTCCGCGGTTAATGCTGTCGACACGCTACAAGGTTAAACCGAAGTAAACTAATGAATCTGTCTCGTTATCAATCAAAGCAACGTTAAAAAATATACTGTACGATAAGAATCATTCCCGATTGAGTTGCGCTTATAGATCGAGGACTTTGATGTTATACTACTTTGCGTACGAGATTCAAAATAATTAAATGCTTGATACTAAACGGAAAAAAATTGGTCTAATAATCATCCAAATCCATTTTATCTCTAGTCCTGGACATTAAACCACATACTCATAAAGTATAGCATTCTATATCAATAGTCGAATGGTGCACATTCGACTATTGATCCGTTTTTAGTTCAGTGAACTGCAGTGCATTTGTTATGGCGTGTATAGTATCATTACGACTAACGGTTTACCTATGTATGTAAGGTTAAGTTTTATATTATTTGCAAGTCACTTATTGTTGTTTAGAAATGTCTCTACTACTTGTAATGTTTTTATTCCAGTGTTAGAAGCACGCTGCATATGGCTCACCCTATAGCTCAATACCTACATAAATGTATCTTTGTATTAGGAATTTTAAATACAATCCTCCCTCCTAGATCTAGTCTCTTAGAGATCATACATACAAATTATAAAATGTATACAGCCATTTTCAATAAAATGTGATAAGGAAAAGAATTTATTAATATAAATTGGGTTGTTCTTTAGGGTGTCTTTAAAATTTACTGCTGGTCATGAGATAATATTGGGTGATACAATAAATGCTCACTGAAATTGGTTTGTATCATTTAATCGCCCTAAAAATGTACATTACATGTGCCGACATTCTCAAACAGGTAAACGCATACACCATATAAAAGTCGGTGACAATACACACGCAAATACAACTGGTCACTGGCTTTAAGATATCATCACCGACTCTTAATATTTTGTGTGACTATGATAACATGATTCATAGTAACAGTCTACAATAATTAGGAATAGAAATAACTGTAGCTTTTGTTTAATGTTTACGTACAACATTTTATTTTCAGATATCGTTTATACTACATAATTAAATAAATTGCATTCCAGATGACGCACTGGTAAAGTGTAACACATTTTACACATCAGTCCTTGCATCACTATGAGGGTGAGGTTTCCACACATTCGATTCCATGGCCGTCCACTCCAGATAGTATACACTGAAACCTCGTTATGTGGGATGGCAGTAGTGTTCTTATAAGTAAATAGCTTAGAAAGCAAACAAGAGCAAGAAGGACATCATAAGACAGAAGAGACCCATAGCCTCAGACAAGGCGAAACCTAAGATGGCGTATGAGAACAGCTGCTGCTTGAGGGAGGGGTTCCTGGCATAACCGATGATCAGGGAACCGAACACCGTTCCAATACCAGCACCTGTAATAGGAATTGAATATTTTAATACAAATAACAAATATAAAATTTATTATAATGTCATTATGTAATTACAAGTAATTATAGTATTAAGATAATGTGCAGGTTAGGATGGCAACAAAATAAAATATTTATCTCTAACTACGAAAATTACATAAAAAGCTAGCTCACCTAGTTATGATCTTGATGGAGTAAAAATGTTAGAAGTAAATATCATTGCAAATTAAAACATGCAACATAAAAAAAAAGATGAGGCATCCACAAAAAGTAATATACACTGTACATAAAATCTCAGTATAAAAGGATTGTTTAAAAAGCAAATAACATTAGAAATGCAATCATTAGACAGAACAGGCCCATGGCTTCAGATAGTGCAAATCCCAAGATGGCATATGAGAAGATCTGTTGTTTTAGTGAAGGGTTGCGTGCATAGCCAATGATCAAACATCCAAACACCACACCAATACCAATACCTGTAGGTGACACAAGCATTTGTTAGAAAGCAGTCTCAGCAGCACACAAAACGTGAAGTTTCCTTTGGAAATGGCTTTGAGATACAGAAGAGAAGAATATATATTACAACTAGCTTATATTAACATTTAAACTTTGTGAATTTTTAACATTTAATAAATTTTGAATATATATAATAACTTTCTGTATCTCTATATCACTGAACTGCATTGTAATGTATAGAAGTGATGAGAAATCCTTACTGCAGTGCTATCAATATCATCTGATTGCATAACATTGATTTATTGCTGTATAGAATTATGTTATAAAAAAAAAGTATTATTCTACATAACATGACTGTAAATCTCAGATTAATTTACAAAGCAGTTTAGTGTCATGTTAAAACTTAAGAATGTGCATATAAAATATAGTTAGTGGACAAGACATTAACACAATGTTAAAAAAATAACACAAAATGCTTACCAGAGCCAGCTACTCCTACTGTCGCTGCACCAGCACCAATGAATTTGGCAGCAGAGTCAATGTCCTTTGTGACCGATGTGGTCTGGAAGGTGCGCACCGCTGATAACTGGGCAGGTGCCACTGGCACAATCTGTGTCTGTGAGGGGACTGCAGCAAGTGGCCTCAATAGAGCAGTGTTGCTCAGAACCTGCAAATCAAAGCAATATATAATTTACAAGTACCTAGCTATGTAGGTATTCACTATGTAGGTTAAAGTGAAAAATCAATAATTATATAAGTATTGTAATTTTATATCCGAAACTAAGTGTAAATCAGTACAATTGATTATCCTATAATCTGTTACTATATAGTAATCTATAATGATTATCATTAGTACATGATTAGGTTATTATATAATATGTAAGTTGAAGGTTGGGAAAAATGTTTTACTAGAATTCTGGTCTTCACTGCCTATGTAATTAATTAATTTTAAATATAAGCCGGTATGAAACCTATTGTACAGAATAAACAAGGTCAGACTAATACTTAAAATGTCACTGACAGCAAATATGCCCTAAAAGGGCCATACTATTTCTCTGGTACCTAGGGTTTTGTACTGAAAATTTTAAATAAGAAACCAAGAAATATTTCGTAGAATACTTACAGCAGACCTGGCTGCAGGGGCGACGATCAATCTGGCGGCAGACAGCATTTTTGTGTTAGTTTGGGTGCGGCGAGCGACAACTGAAAGAAACCGTATCACAGGTCAGTAAATCAGTTAGTGCACACAGGATCGTCGCTCAACTAATACTGGGTATTGATAACCGAGGACTTGACAGTTTGACCGACGAACTGCAGATCGTTACGTAATTTTTGGACTACGTAACAATGACTGAGATTAGTCGATAAAAGACTAAAAACTGTTGTAGAGGATAGAAAGTCTCCCTGTATATCAATTAGGCCTTGATTTAAGACTATATTACCACGTAACAATATAAATAAGCGACGACGGAAAATGGCCGATTCGGCAGATGATTGAACTGACTGAAGATTGAACTATTTCCCTCTATGACAATTTATGTATTCACAAATAAATAATTACACTATCACTCACTAGAAAATATTTTATAACGATTAAATCACTTTAGATTCCGCGATGGTTTGTAATTTTAACACTTTTTCACGATTAGTTTTATAATCGAATTTATGCCGCACTTACCAAAGAACACCGAGAGGGAGGAGACCGGCCTTTGGAATGTTCAATTTCAGAGTAGTGAAGTGAAACAGAACACAAATAAGAAATTTCTATTGGTTGATATCACGGAGAGTTCCGTTCGGTGTAGCCAACTATCGATTAGACTGCGCGGATGACAGATGTAATAAATACTTTTTAATTGTAAAATGTTACCTCTTAAATTTTAGAGAAACAAATTATGGGAAAATTCTCTAACTATTTAAAGACAGAAATTTTATTTCATATTACTAAATAAAACCTTTTAAACTATACATTGATACCTGTCTTTTGTAGTATGGAGTACAGTCTTGTGATTGACTAGTGCACTACCTTTAGACGACATGGCCGTCTTCATGATAAACATCTGTAAATTTAATGCCTGTGGCATAATATTTCCGAGATTACCGCAGTTAATTGAGCATATCGAAGACGTTCATATTGGTAAATATTAAATATAGTATTCAATATTAGTCTGTTATGGTTATTTTGCATTTGTAATATAATCTAGGAACCTCCCATTTAGTACCTCTTATCAGTGTGTAAATGTTGTCAACATTGAAGTATATTTTTGTTCAAAATTTGATTAATTTTGCGGGAAATTATACGTATGGAAATATTTTTTAGCACATTTAATTGAATATTAATATCTATAATAAAATCTGATTGAGTACACAAATCTTTAATTGAACAAATAATGCTGAAACAGCTGATTTTGGAAAATAATTTCATAATTTGTAGATTATGATCCAGAAGTAATAGAACAAAAAGAAGCGTCGCAGCCAGCATGTGTTCCTTTGAGTTATGTTTTACGATTTTACACGCATAGCTCTAAAAGAGAGATTAATAATATGCCTCCTGCGTCGGATGTTCGCCGACGACATCCTTCAGCACCGACCACACCATCGGTTCGTAGCAGCACTCCCACAGGTATTTTTTTAGAATTCAATCATATTTTATCGTATCGTTTTTCATGTTATGAAAAATACATGTTTTAATAGGCAGAGCAAGGAGAAATACTCCTTATATAAATCTTCTTAGGGCTGTCCTAGTTTATGTGAGTTCGGCTCTCTTACTGTTAGAACACAGAGGCCGTCCAAGATCAATGGGCACTGACACACAACGAAGGTTAATACAAAATTACAGAGACATTAGCTGAGTGTTACTAAAAGTACAGTTTATATGAATAATATTCATCTTTGTAGGCACTGCTATAACATTTTTATCTACTTAATTAATTTATTTGTTTTAATAATTATTTCAGGCAGCGAGATAGATGAAGATGAGATGATTTCAGAGTCGGAGGATAGCAATGACTCGTGGACTACGGTTGAAGAATACAGCTCTGATTACATTCTTAGATATGGTATCAAGTATGTGTATTACTATACTTGCTAAAATTACAAGTTAAAACTTTGCCCAGTTTTTGGCATAATTTTTAATTACATTTCTGTCTACTATTCGTAGAGTGCAGTTATGTAGCCTATATATTCTTCTTTGATAAATGGTCAACACTAAAATATTCAATAAAATATTCAACACTAAAAGAATTTGAAAAATATTAGTGTAGACCAACTCCATCTGTCGCTGTCGCATTGATTGAGATGTCATTATTTCGATAAATAAATTCAATAAAGACAAGTTACATACCTGTACACTTAGCCAAATTTTATAAAAATCGGTTAATGATTTTTGGAATTTATCTTGGACAAACACAATGACACACTGGCTACATTTAATTGTGTGAGGATTATTTTCGAATAGTTTATTATTATTTATTAATTTTATAGAATGAACGCGAACGCTTCGTCTGGGGCATTGGGTCCTGCCGCTCAGGAAAAGCCATTTGCGTGCCCAGTACCGGGCTGCAACAAGAGATATAAAAATGTGAATGGTATTAAATACCACTCAAAGAATGGGCATAAGAAAGATGGCAAGTGAGTATTTTATAGTATTTTATGTAGATGGATTAGGGATGGACATTATTTTTATTCTTTGATTGTAAAATACTTAAAAATGCACAGCTTGATATATCAGGTGGTGACCCCATCCAAAATCTTCTAATGTACTTGTAAGGGTCGGGGTGGGGAAGTGTACCTGTGAGCTTTATATGGTTACAGACATTTGTGTCTTAGCCAGTTTATAAAAATAAAAAATAGTCATTTGGGTTCGTAAAATTTAAAAAGAAAAGGACTCGTTTAATGTAACTTTCAACGCCTAAATGAAATAAAGTAAATAAATAAAAATAATGACATAACTACCTAAACTACTTTTGAAATTTATAGCAGTAATTACATTTTCCCATTTAGAAAATTTCCAATGCTACAGAATGCTGACCAGTACAATAAAAAGTTTATTACTGGACCCAAGAAACGATTGACAGCGCAAGAATATTTCTGGAAAAAATGGGTATCGCCGCCATGTCGGCGTTTGAAATATTTATCAGTCGTTGTACTTAGTTCATACTAACCATAATAGTGTACTGTATAATATATAATATTAGTAGATATTTGGAAAATATAGTGTGCTGCGTAGCTATGTTATATAATATAATATACGAGCGGCCTCACCTACCACGGTGGGGCAGGGTAGAACGCTTGCCCCACCCTGGCCTTGACCTATAAGATACCTAACCAAACCTAACAATAAATTCTAATTAGTAAATACGATACTTAATATCCGTAAGAAAGTTCATATTCGACGGTCGACAAAAAAAATAACATACAAATATAGGTTGCTACAGAGTGTAGCCGTTTTTAATAAAAAAAATAATCGGGGTAAGATCGCGGGAATAGTTTGTTAGTTAAATAATATTTTAGACTGCTGACCTATTCTGAGCCCCTGGCTGCACATGCATACAGCCATGCACGGCTTAATTGATTATAATTCTTCTTCAGAAATGACTGTATGAAATCTGTTCAATATGTTTTGAGATTAAATATACAGATAGCTTCGGTGGGGTCTTTGTATTCGATATGAATAGATGTGGTATTAATTTGTCGTCGTCCCTCTGCTTTGTTATGTTATGCAGTATGGGAGTTTATTCACGCAATATGTAAAATAATATAACTTGTTGTTCTTGTAAAAGCAGAGCATAAGTCGGGTCCTATTCATTTTACTTGGCTGATTCTGTATTCTGTACGTGGCAGTAAAATGATATAAATAATTTTAAAAGTAAATTCTGGCATATCTAATTTCTTGGATTTCCAAACTAATATTAAATTAATAATGTGTTAGTTGGTGCACTTATGTTTTTTTTTATATTTCAGGATCAAAAAGGCTTACAAATGTCAATGCGGCAAAAGTTACAAAACATCTCAAGGCCTTAGGGGACATTCGATATCGTATCATATGACGCAGGGCAGTCCTCCGCCGCCGCCGCCGCAGCCGCAGCCGCAAGTGGCTGGTATCGTGGTCACAGCGTCGCCCGCTCACTCCTTCGCCACTCTAGGCAGCCTTGGGACGCTCGATGGAAAGAAACTGGTTCGCATATACGACTCCATCAGGACTAAACACCTGCCGTCCTTCACTATTCCGAAGCACAGTCTCGCTAGCCTCAACATAGTCCAGGCCCGTCAGCCGGGACCCTCCACGTCAAATCCAGCACCCGGATCCAGCCAAGTCGACAATAAGAAGCCCGGCTCGCCAAAGGTAAATCTTCAAAAAGCACGACCTTCTAAGCCGCCTACGCCTAATAAAGGCGATGATATGTCTGATTAATTTTCTTCGTGATCGCCATAAAAAGTAACTGGCACTGCAGGGGCTGAGCACTTACGTAACGAATTTAAACTCATTAGTGTAGTTATATTGCAGTTCCTATGTAAAAAAGCGGTTTTAATTTATTTCATTGTATTTATTAGTCATGTTTTGTTACTACTCATTATATGAAGGTGTCCACTGCTTGCGTGAGTGTATTCGTAATAATGATTAATATTTTAGATGCACAAGATATTGTATATCGCACCTTCATCTAACGAGGATCGATGTGTTGGAAATTTTTGTTTGATTGTTGTTATTTTATTTTGAAGATTTTTATACTAATTTGTATTTATGAATGTTTTTTTATTTAAAAATGGATGTTCAGAAAAAGGCTATTATGTATAAATGGTGCAATTTTATTCGTTTTCAAGGCTCCATATTTTTTTTCGAATCAGTCAGTGTTGGTCAATTTTTGAGTTTTCTTTTTTTTTTTTTTTTGTTAACTTGATTTATTGTTTACAATATATCTACACCAAAAGACATAACTTGTTTTGTGCTGCGCTAAGTCTGAATTTTATGTAATACAATTAACGTCTTCCCTATTTCCACGTCACGACATTGTGTTGTGATTTTCATCAAAGATTTTGACCTATATAAATATTGAAATAGGTATTGAAGTCTGTTGATTATACCCATTGTATAGGGTATTAGCATATATGTATAATGATAATGTAATCATTTATCTCTTTGTGCCATTAATTCAATGTGTGTGTACTTAATTTATATGTCACGCAGTAGCTTCACATGTCAAAATTATTTATTCTAATTGAACGTCTAAAAGATGTTAGATTTTTATAATTAATACGATAAAAAAAAATAAAAAAAAAATTGCATTTGCTGTAAGTATGTTTTAAAACTAGGTATATCGTACTCATAAATGTGATATAATATGTAGAAAAAGTAAAAAAAAAAGCTTGTAAGCGTACACTTGTTTAATGTAATGTAGTTGTAAGACTTGATGTGTGGTTTTAATGTGAACTATATTTGCACATTGTACTGAGTGCACATTATGTAAGGGTGCCTTTGTTTTAAAATTTCTCGTCTAAGATTTTAGTCAAACTGATCTATCGATTCTTTGAACATATATTTAATACGTTAAATATTCGATTCATACAGTTCCCGGCATCACTACATGTATCTGTTTGTTTCTAAACAATTATAGAAATAATACTAGAACCGGTGTGACTTCGAGAAAGCGTATTTGATGTTTACTAATTATATAGGATCACAGATCTGAGCTCCCGTTTGTCTTGTATGTATAAATAATACTCACCAAGTAACTTCAATGATAATAGAACAATACCATTTACTCTATACCATTGGATAAACAGTGATAAAAGAGTTATCATTATTTAAAATATAATTTCATTTTACTGTATCTCTCTCTATATATATAATATACATCAAAACGCTAATGGAACTTGAATAATAATGAATCTTAGAATTCTAATACGAATGAGCTTTTTATTATTATTAGAAAATCGTATTCTAATGAATGTAATATATATTTGTGTCACTTTCACAATACACTTATTTATTAAGTGTATCTCCTTTGAATGGAATATATCAGACGTCATTTTTATTTCATTGTCTATTTTAAAATTACGGAAAATAATTGAAGAAAAAAATGTGATGAGGTTGCTAAGCAAACAAGGAATTTTGAGCTAAGAATGTGCGTGAGGCAATATAAGTAAACTAGTGTGTAGAATATCGGTTCCAAAGGAGAAATTATAGTTGATAAACGGATAAGGTGCTTAACGGGTAAAGTGTGATATTTGGATTAAAATGTATGTATAACGTCTACCAAAGAGAAATGACATTACATGTGATAATGACTGGTTTATACCTTCTAAAATTGTATAATTAGTTATATAAAACGGACATGGGCACATTTTAAGAGTTAGCGATACAATCTTGCGAAAAAAATGTTATAGATGCTAATAATAATTCTGATCATCTCTATGAAAATGTTTTGGTAAATACTATACGAACGAAAGTATATCAGTTTGTATTGGATGCAATTTAAGAGGCTCTCTGTCTCTACTAGGAGTTATAGTTTCTTCACATATTTTTTCATTACAATATTGTTTTAGCTGCTTAGTAATCTAATGCTTGAATATGATTATAATGTGTAACAGTTCAGGAAAGTACAGATTACTTTGGTGGGTGCTTAGTTGTATTCCTACCATTGGTTATTATACTACTCATACCTCATGGGTCTTGAGATGAATGTTATAGGTGTAATTTTCGCTCAACTCGCATAATGGTTTGCCAGGTATTTATATTATCGCTAATATATTTTGTACTATATAATAGTTTACATTTTCAGCTACCAGAGTATGTACAGTACAAAACAGTACCCTACTTTGGGTGTTGTACTAAAATGCTACCTCTGTAAAAGAGATTATTTATAAGTAATTAATGCGGTATAAGTTTGTTCTTGGGGAAAATGTTTAATGCCATAGATTTGAAATATCTGTGCCGCAATTTAAATTATGTTGGCTGTGCAGGCATATATGTGCGTAAAAAACTGCGCTATGAACGAAATGTAACCGAACATAAACTCTATTTATTCTATAATCCCAGACGCCACAAAAATTCTGGGGCACGTGTGAATAATTTCGGTTAAAGAGCAGTTTCACATTGTGTTGTGTTAGTATATATCTTGTACAAGATAAGCATGTTATTTTGAATTTAATAATATGCGTAATTTTTTTTTATTAAAAGTTATGATTTTGTTGATTGTTTTTTTTTGTTTTTATATGAGTTCTATCTTTTTATGGCACATAATTGAAATTAATGTATCATCCATTTATAAATTAAACGAATATGTTTTTATATGTAAATGCCATAAAGAGTAGAATTATTTGGGTTTATTATAATTTGTTATTGTTCTTGATTGAGCAGCTGGTTTTGTATTTATTTCGTAGTATTTCATTTTGGATATGTCAAGTAGTCATTGTTTTATTAAGACTGATAGTTGGAAATATGAAATGTTGTTATTTTAATTTATTTAATTTATAAAGACACTGTGTGCTCATAAATGTTGTTGCTTAACTTTAATTCTACGTGTAATGTAGAAAATGGCTGGACATTTGTTTAAACTACTTCTTTTTCTTCAAAAATAAATTTAAAATATTCTGTATTTAATAAATGTTCATGAGTGTATTCAAACTAACACTTTGTTTTGTCAACACATAAAATCAATTGAAAAATATTGATGATCAGGTTATCGGGTTTGTGGTAAACTTTCTTTGTAATGTAAAATACTTGTCACAAATGCTTCTATGTATGTTTCATTGTAAATTAAAAGAAATCCCGTGATAATGATTTTTCTTAATTTTATGGGTGACAATTATAGTATTTTGTGATTGTAATATTAACTCATTATTCATTTGAAATTTGTGGTTATAGTCAATTAATGTAACTGACCAATTTTCAATGTTGTGTAGGATGATATAAAATGTTTGGAGAACTTTTAATCGAAGTTGATATTTGATGGTGATAGGATGATTTGCTTGATTTATGTTAATCATTTCAGCTAAGAGCGTTTTCATTACAGTGGAGAGTACCGTATTCTGAATAGAATATATTATATATTTTTTTATCAACGATAGCGTTTGCTATTCTTTCAGTCAATAGTGCTTTATTTATTTAATTCACTTCATTGTTGACTTGATTCTCGTCAAAATATACAATAAAAGACTGAGCAATGGCACTTGACTGAACTGAGGTATAAATACTCGCTCAATGACCAATATAAATCAAGCAATAAGACGGATTTAGAATAGGGAAGTTAAAATTGTCTTAGGATGTGCGTATGTAATAACATTTTTTGTTTTAAATGAATTAATATGGAATGGTACACCCGCCTGCGCTAATTGTATGCAATGGTGGGGCAGGGGATGATGGAGAACCTGTTAGCCAATACTGGCTTCACAAAGAATTAACCACGTAGAGGTCGTCACGATACAAATGTTAGCACTGGGCCCAGTAAATCCCATTACTCAAAAAAATCCTCTCCTTTTTGTAATACAATGTAATGCAGCATTATATGTGATGAATAATAATATAGTCATTTTAAGATTACTATATTAACAAACGTTCAAACGTTGTTTCTTGTAAATCAGCATATTAAGCTGATATGAATGTATTAAAACAGTTATAAACGATTGTCACGAATCAATAAAACTAACTCTTATGTCAACGGATAAGGGTTGTAATTCTGATCTAATAATGTGTCGAGCACTTGTCAAATTTGCAAGTTACTTAAACAACAAATTTTAAAATTGATTTATTTTTGTATTGAACTTGTTTGAATTGGTTGTGATTAAAATGTAGAGTTGGTATTGCAAGGCCTGTATACTTGGCTATGTTATACGGTCTTATTTTATTTTCATCTCATTGTTAATAGCGATCCATTGTGAGAACATCTCGACGAACCATTTGGGTTGTTAATAATAAAAATATTTAAAGTCTGAATTGTGGGATATATTCCACCAGTGTAAATGTTTAATTTATTTGAAATAGGAACACCACAAAAGAAAAAGAATCCTATTATTTCATCTTGCCCGATGTATTTAAAGAAATAGGTCGACATTAGTTTATATTAATTCAGATTTCTTTAACTTTTCATTCTCTCTTTTTTTTTTAACAGATTATAATTGTGAAATCCTGCCGCAATTGAGTTTTAAGTGTAATTGACTTTCTTAAATCTCTAAATTGCTAAAATATTAAATTTGTTTTTCACATTTCAAAATTTTTTGTATGTAATAAACGCAGAATTTTTATTTTATTATTGTTAACTTAAAAGTATGTATACTCTTCAGTAAAGAATTCGAATAGTTACTTTTTATATGAAAATACAATTGTAACTTGACATAAGCACTAAATGCTACTTAGGTATACACAATTTTTCGACATATGAATCTTTCAAGAATAAAGGCAATATGACATACATAATCTACGATAATTATATTTGAACAATAATGTATTCGAATTCTTTAAATGTCGATATCATGTAATCAATTTCTGTGTCAATAATAAAATATAATACAACAGCAAGTTTTGTATTTTATTTCTCATAATATAAATATATTGTCTTTATAACTAGATAGGTATATAAGTTACATATGTTAAATATTCCATTATTGTAGTCTATATAAATGAATTGCGAATTTCTAATAAGTTTGTCAAATCAATGAATAATTTATAAAGTATAAATAAAGTTATACAAGATCACCATAATTCCTAAAAATATCCTTCTTGTCCCTGACAGGTTTAGGTAGCAAATTTGGAAAAAGGGTGAGCACAATGCATTGTTACAGGTCTTGAACACCTGACAATAGCCCAAAACCCTCAATAAAAATTATAAATAAATATACAAAATTTAAAGTACAGCCTATTTCTTACAATTGAAATTTTATAGCTGAAAAATATAAACAGGTATCTGGTATTTTATCACGTAGTGAAATCTGGTGGTGGTGGTAGATTTTGACCCGTGAAGTTCAAGAATTATACCGCTTGTTATTAACAAGCGGTATAATTTGTGAGGAGCTAACTAAAGTTACCTTTAGGCATATAAGTGCTGTATCTTTGGGTATCTTAACAACCAAATTTATTACATAATCACAATAAAGCTTGGTATTAGACTCGAATCTCAACTTAACCATTATAAGAGATATAATATACATTATATACAACAGCACTCTCATGAATACATGTTATATGCTTACGTTTCTTGCATTAATAAACGATTATAAGGTTCATTATACGTAATTATATGAATCATTACTTTCTAGTCGCTAATTGTTCTAATAAACTCGATATCTTTTCGTGTCTAATCGATTCTCGTAATGGACATTTGCTCTGAACGAAGATTAAGGCGCTTCTGTCCTTTTGTTCGAAGGCTACTTGCGCTGCTTCTTCATAGAACCTGAAATTATAATTAGTAATTTATTTTTGTTACTAGCAGTACTTGCGGTTTCATCCGCGAGGAATTTATAGCCTATGTGTTGTTCTGATGTATGAGCTATATTATTGCAAATTTTGATTAAAATCCATTCAGTCGTTTCTGCGTGAAAGAGTAACAAACATCCCACACTCACATACTCCACATTTATAACATTAGTAAGATTTTGCCACACATTTCATACCGAATTTAATGTAAATGTTTTCTTGCTTAAGATTCCAAAAGAAATCAAGACATGATATTAATACAGCTATAAACAAAAATTAATGCATTTTTTATAAAATCAACTTACTCTGCTTTCACATAGTATTTCACTTTGATATCATCTCGGCATTTCGGCAAATACTTTAGTGCTTCATCATTCTTCATGTACTTGAGACAGGCATCGACGAAAGGTTCGTAGCCGATTGGGGACTTCTTTGATTTCGAAAATCGTTCCAATTCATCCCAGTCATTCAGTTCTGCCAATGTGAGTATTCTCAGCCACCAGTATCTGTCATATAGATAAATTCTTTAATATTATGTCCTCTAGAAATTTACAAACATTCAAAGTGAAAGTTGTATAGATTTATTTACTGAGGGCGATCCTACCATCATCTCTTGGAAAAAATAATAATAAATCTGAATTGATTTTTTACATAGTTTGTTTATATTAATTAAATACTAAACCTATCGTGTCGCATGCATGCTTAGAATACGGACTAAGTTTACTCACTAATAACGTAAATGTTTAAAATCGGTCTAGCATTTTCACAATACAAAAATTGAATTTTTCGTTTTTGCAATAAACAAAGATTAAATATTAACTAAAATAATCATCACCTCTTGTCCGGCATTTTATATTCAGAGCGTAGTTTATCAGCTAGCTTCACTTCACCCTGTTCAAGCAATTTCTTGACAGTATCATGTACCGATAGCCCAACAAAGCTCGTGCCGTAGGTCTCTTGAAGACTAGATTGCTGCTTGCAAAGTTTACGAGCATCCTCACATATCGATGCACCTGTAATGCCAATATACCTTTTGAACTATAAAGGCTGATTCGATTATTCACCAAATTTTATTACTGATTCAATGGATTCGTAATAAGATCTATTAAATATAAAAAAAACTAGGCAACGGATTTTGAAGCGTTTTTTAAATAGATAGAGTGATTCAAGAGGACGGTTTATATATATAATACATGTACACCCGTGAGAAGCCTGGGCGAATGGCTAGTGTATAATAAATGAAAAACGAAAACGTACCTAAATCATTCTTGCCCTTTTTGTAACACTCTCTCGCGGATATAAGTGAGGCCTCCGCGCTGCCCGGGTTGGTTTGTTCGACTGCGTCGCGAATGTGAGTGGCGGCTTGGCCGGCGAAATCATCCTCTTGTACGTAAACCTTGCGTAAAGCCTCACGGTTGTGACTCGCACAGTATTTAATGTATAGCGCATGCGCCAGAGGGAAGTTGCGGATTGTCAACTACGAAAAAAAGTATTATTACCTCAATACACTGCACATTGAATAATATAATTATATTGAATTTGATTTTCTATAAGTTTTATGAGTTTAATTGGCGAAGAAATTCTATAAGACTACATATTATTATTATAGACGGCCTCGGTAGTCTAGCGGTTTAAGGTTCGATGGTCGCACGGTGCAAATATTTGTATTAATGGTTCAGTACCCATAACACAAGTTCTGCTTACCGTGGGACTAGATGGCGCTGTGTGAATTGTCCAGGCTTATTATTTATTTATTTATTCATTATGCAAAGTATAGATGTTTCATCATGCTAATTTTTGAAATCAGGAGAATATAACTTTTAACTAATGTTACATCACACATGGGTTTAACTTAATTATTCATTTTCAAATTATAATTTACCAGAATTTATACTGGCAATTTACAAAGTACATAATTAGAGATTACAAAAATTCTAACCTCGAATTCATGCTTCTCCATTTTTTCTTTTAGATGCAGTAAAACAATATATATTAAGTCCGTATCTCCGCTGGCTGTAGCTTTCTGCAGAGCCCGCGGTCCTTCACCTAATGTCAGTAGGAGTGGCACTTGAAGTTTGCTGTATGTTTCATATTCCAGAATCTGAAAATAAATATAATTAAAATATAATACAATATTATAATCACTAGCAAAATAAAAGATTGGCGGGCAAAAAGCCAACGGCACGCGGTGTTCCCAGGCGGTCACCCATCCAAGTACTGACCGCGCCCGATGTTGCTTAACTTCGGTGATCGGACGAGAACCGGTGTTTTCAACGTGGTATGGACGTTGGCGAAGTAAAATCTAAAAACGTTCATCTTATTTAACTTATAAGCTATACGACAGGTCACTGTTAATATAATATTAGAACATAAAGTATATATAAAGAAACAGGAAATTGATACTTGAAACTAAAATATACCAAATAGTTTCAGGGTATTCTAGCAGATTTCAGACATAATTAAATTTCGTATATTAAAAATGGAATATTACGTCACAAAATCTATGGGTAGGTACTTTTTTTAAGAGTCCTATTTTTCAGGATTTTAATTTTTTTTTCCTTGTGACGAATGTTATATTGTTTCTTATTATGCTATCAATATTTACTTTAATTGCTAGAGATTTCCGTCCCTTCTCCGCGGCCTTCATTGCGATGGTGGAGTAGGATATACCGGGTACATTACGCAGTTTGTCACCAATTTCGCGCGCTGCACTCTCGTTGTCCGTATGAGGCTGCGTCACCTGAAATTGTCGAAAAAAAAAGTTTAACGCCTCAAGGTTTCTGTTGGGTACACAAGAGAATCTAAGGACAAACCTGGTTCGCGTTGTTCGTGTAGGTAGTAAATACACTTAGATGTTCTAGTTTAAATATCCAACACTCACACCAAAATGTTATTCTTGTGATGAGACAGCTTTCCGAATGAGCGGCAGATTAAAAAAAAAGTATGATTATATATAGGTTTTCCATTTTATTAGTAATCTTGTAGGTTTACCTTATAACAGGCCCAGTGAGATAGCACCCTAGTCCGCCCGTCGTGTAGCTGCAGGTAGGAAGCGACGTGTCCGGCGAGGCAATGTAGACGTCGCCAGATGAGGCGGTCCAATAGCACGCGCTCCCGCAGGTGTTCGGCTCTGATACCATTAGCTCAGAAAATCATTTACAAAACCTTTTTATATCTCACATCTGACATCATACATTGTTAGTAGTATATGAGGCATATGTCCTATTGACTACAGCGACGCCTGAGCCTTTAACGAAATAATCCTTACCTTAAATACTTCACCACGGTCAGGTCAACCGCTTTATATATTTGACAAATTTTTGATATCCTGAAATGTTCAGTATTGACTATTCGGCGACAAGATTGTCTGATCGTCCAGTCCCAAACAAGCTAACGGGATTAAACAAAATAATATAAATTAATTAATAAATAGCGTCTCACAGCAATTGTTTGTAATAATATTTTTTTGCAATATCTTATCCAAAAATGTATATATACACTAATATATGGATGTAAAATAAATAATTATGTAAATAGTACTAAGTGAACGCTTAGAAACGCAAGGATTTTTCATAGAGAATTTTGGTTTAACATTTTTCGAGACCAACATAAAGTGCAATCCAAAGATTGGCGGCAGACTTAAATAAGAATGATGAGAAGTAGTATACTGCAGTAGATTAGAAGAAGAGCATATTATTATTATATGTATTGTCAAAGGATACTGTCTATAAGTCAGTGGGATGGCCACCTTCATGTCCCTGACGGCATTCAACACCCTTAACCATCTGCAGGTCTTTACATAATGATCTGTCAGCACTGGGTCCACAATAAAACCTTTTCCAAACTGGGCCGCTCTGATGAGCATCTTTTGTATGTCTGGATTGAACTCGTACGCCGCTGCGTCGATGCAATTCTGTACTGCATTAGGGAGATCGGACTTCACCAGTCGGATGTATTCATCAGCTCTGTGACTGCGTTTCTAGAATGTTCATATTAAAATTATTAGATACTTATTTATCTTGTTATTTGTATAGTTAATGGATCACTAAATGGTAAGTGGTAACCGTAGCCTATGGGGGGGACAGGGATTGCTAGTAATGTGGATTAAGAACCAGGTCAGGTTGACCTTCTCACTGTTCCTCCTGGAAACCATCGTGTTAAATTCCTGATGAATTTGCCATGATGGGCTAACTGCCTGACCTGACTCTAGTACCCATAATACAAATTCTGCTTGGTTTGGGAGTAAGTGGAGATATATTACAATCTTTATAATATTAGTGTCGACTGTCGATAAATAGTAATTTAGAATTACCTGAAACTGTTTGGACGCTTCGACCAAGTACGATCCTGGTGCGGTGCTATTAATGCTAAATATCTTCTCGACTTCTACTGGTACTTTTTGTATGAGCTCGTGCGTCATCTCGGAGATCACCCTCACGCAGTCCATTTCCAGTATAATGTGGAATGGACCGTCGTAAGGGTACGTTACAAAGTTACCGTTGAAACCGTATATGCACATGGTGTCATCCCAATGCGCTACAAGGGCTTGGGAACCGCACCTATTAATATTAATGAAATTAGTTCACATATGCTAATGTACTGCGAACTTAATATACTGGTACAGGGGAAAAGGGGATTGTTAGTAATTGGAACTGATAACTCCATTGGTACCAATGTACCATGTCATGTTTCCCTCTGGAAACCATAATGAATTTGTCACGATGGGGTAACTGATCTGACCTTATTTTCATATTATTATCCTCCACTGCTGCCCCGCCAGCGTCAGATTTTGTTCTTAAATGGGTTTTTAAGCTGATGGCCTATCAGGTGGTAAGTGGCAAGTGAATTCTGATTAAGATATTATGCCTTAGTGCCTTTAGTGAGATGTATCAAAATAAGAAATATAGAAAAAATCATACCAAACTAATTCCTTGGGTTGTTTGATATATTCAGTATCAATCTCGCAGTATTTCGTTCTGAAGTCAGAGGAGCCGATCCAAAGGAAGCCTGAATCTGTGAAGAGAGCCACATGCCGACCGTTCTGCGATGGTACTATGGACAGTATCTGTGTGTATGCATTTGATATTTCTGGACGCTGTAAAAATTGCAATATTGTAATGAAGCAAACATCCTATAATGCCAGATGGGTTTATTAGATTAATTGTTAAAAAATGGAGGTGAATACAACACAGAAATATAAAGTGACTTATTCCTATATTTTAATGCTGTAAGTTTAATACCTATATTTAATTAAAATAAAAACTATTCATAATCGTGCTATTTCACTATAGTTGGACAATGTGATAGCAATTTGTTTTATTCATGCAATGGAAATAACCATATTAATATATAACTATTCACCACATTGTATTAAATAGGGCTGATAATTTTCCATAATTTGTCTCTGATATCTGTATCAGACACAAATTATGGAAAATTGTCAGCCATTGTGTGGATTGCATATTAAAGAATGTAATACCATAAGCACAGCTCTGGTTTCTCCAAGTTGACATTTGAATATTTCTCTGTCCCTGCACACAAGGAAAGCAAGGACAGCCGGTGATCTCAACCAAGAGCTTAGAACGCACCAAGATATAATTGGTTCATTAGCTCCTGAAAAAAAATACTTTTAGAAGAAACAATATTCATAAAGAATATTTTTGTTATCATTGTTGAACGATCAATCTATATTTATAATTAAAAAAAATATATCATTAGACATTGCAATGTATTATACATCAACTACTTTAGTTAGTTTAGTTATTATTAGTTACATTTTATAACACAAAGATTTCAAGGATTTGCATGGCTGTCAAAATGTTTTTTTTCTTCAAAGTGCATAAAAATGTTTCTACTAAAATAATTGCTCAGATTAAAAAAATATAAATCAAATTCTTTATTTCCGAAGTACAGACATGGTACCTACTTGGTATATCTGGAACACTTCGCACTTTAGGTTCATTCACATTGCTGACAACAAACATACTGTTTGTAGTTGTGATAACAGCTAACCCTATGCCATGTGGGTTAGAAAATAGTTGAGCTTTAGCAACCTGAAATTAATCGTGATATATTTTTAACGCCCTATAAATAGTACTTGTATTCTATTCATAATTATATGATTGACAAAGAATTTAAATTTGAGTAGAGTAGTCAAGTAGTTTTAAATTTAAATTTCGAATTAAATTTCTAGAGTCGGCTAAATAACCAACTTTCGCTGCTGGCCAAGCCACTAGTCTAATATGGAATAATAATATGGAAACAAATTTTCACAATGTTGTAGCACATGAGATAAAGCTTCATGAAATATATGCAGAACATATAGTTATCATATTGTCAAGGGACAGCACATCTATAAAGTAATGAATGACTAACATTTTAGTGTGCATTTAAGAAAGTTAGTCCAGTATAAAATAAATATTTTTGATATAATAAATAGAAAATTTCATAAAAATACCTTTGTATCTCTGACATCTTGTCCCAGATTGAAAGATTTCTGGTAAGCCCCAAACATATCATAAATGAGGACATCTCCACTTTCCTGTACGCACAATAGCTGTTCACTATCAGACCACCCCATGTGTACTAAAACTCCACTATTCCACTGAAAAATTATTGAAATCATAGTTATTATTACATTATTATTACTCTTGTGAATGTAATGCGACACATTATCCCATTGCTAACATAGTGTTTTTTCAGTGGATGCTAATGGAATGATGCACCCACCTGCGCTAACAGTTTACGCTGGCGAGGCACCAGTGGAGGATGATAGGATGAACATGAAGTCAGGTCAGTTAGCCCATTGTGATAAATTCACCGGAAATGTATCACAATGGTTTCCAGGGGAACCACATGGCGGTCAAGCTGACATGGTACATTGCTAGCAAATGAGATCATCAGTCCACATTACTAACAATCGTCTTCCCGCCGCTAACATAGTGTTAGGTTGACTTCTATGTGCTTCCCCTTGGAAATCATCATGATAAACTCCTAGTGAATCATCAGTCATGATGGGCTAATTGACCTGACCTCATTCTATTTAAAATTTCAATGTAAATCATTAGCATAAGAGAATGCATTATTTCATTATGATCCATTAGAATAGATGCAGCAAGTTTAGTTGGATGTAAAAAATAAATATTAGAGAAAAAAATTAAATCAATATAAGACATAAAATATTTTTCTATAGAAAGTAATAGAACAACATAAACATAATTATACAATAAAAAAAAATGAAGTATATGTATATGAAACTCTAAAATAAATTGTGGCCATCTCATTTAAAAAACTACTGCATTATACTCAGTCCATTCATTTAGGAACTAATGCCTTAGTCAGACACACAAATACAAATACACTAAACTTATAACCTTTCTTTTTTTTAAATATGTGTAATGCACAACACTAATGTTGCTCTTTTCTTGCATTCTTGACTCCTAGCATCTCCTATTGTTAGTCTCTTGATATTGTTATAGTTAGGAAAGTGAATGAAGCAAAAGTTATGTGTAATAATTGGAATATATAACAATATGTATTTATTTACCCTGATGGAAACTTATATTCATCTTATATCTGAGTCAAAATTGGTAATTTTCATGGGAAACATTACAAATACCTACCAAAATCTTAGATATAATATTGCCAACACAGTTGTAAATTGTTATCACTGGTTTTGATGTTGTCACAATACGGACAAACTGCTTGCGATCCCGTACCATAGCAATTGGACCACCATATGGTGCCCCGCACACAAGCATATTCTCCAGGCCTTCATCCATGGCCCACACCATATTGTACAGGTCAAATTTCCTGTGAAACAAGAGATATTGAAAATGTGAAAATTTTAAATGTTACTTATATTAAATAATTAATTATATTTAAGAATTTAATAAATTTCTATCACATTCGGTATACTATGATTTACAAGACCAGAAGGCCAGAGTTATTGTTTCAAGCTACAGAATATAATATACAATTTCAAATTATTGTCACTTGTAGTTGTATAGTCTACCTAATTATTATTAATATGAATGATAAGTGACAACTGTTGTGTTTATATATGAAAAGTACCATGGACATTGTAATAGATGTCTGTGGAAGGAGTATGCATTGACAATCCAGTGGACTTACAAGTCATGCATGCATAACCCATAATTTCATTCTTTAACAGTTTGTAAGACTGCAGTCTGGCAAAAGAAATAAATTAGAAATGTGCCTCACTTATTCAACTACTTCTATAAAATTAATTGTTTTTAAATCAATTTAAATTTTATATAACTAGTTTATATTAGTAAAAATAGAGAAGTAAGTACAACTAGTTTTCTAACTCTGTGGACAGGAATAGTATGTTGTAACCTTAAACATAATTCTTAGAAAGTACATGTAATGCTAATTAATTAAAATAATTACCTGTAGTAGGAATCTAGTTGAAACCAATCTGCCGTTACTAACGCCGACATATTGATGATATATTAATGTACAGCTAAATGGACGATATTTTCATAAATTTGTATCTATTATCCTCAAAATATTTCAGAATTCAATAACATTTAAATTATGTGATTTCATTCTAACATAAAATTCTTGTCACAGCAGAAACATTTCTATATTAAATAGTTGTATTTTAAATAGATAATAATAATATAAGATTTTTTTGGAAAAATTACAAAGAAAACAATAAACACACATATGCAAAACAATACATAAAAAATCGTTGTTGATAATAAGATACTGTCAATACGTATGTCAAACCATTCGATCTGTCAAACATTTTGTTTGTCAAACAATGTGTTTGACGTTGACTGACATAATTTACGTTTAGTTACAACGCTGTAAACATCTTAAATAAAACATTTTTAGTCCTTCGAAGCTGAATATAATAATATATTCAGCTTCGAAGGAGTAATATATATATATATATATATATATATATATATATATATATATGTAATAACATAATAGAATAATTAGGAAAAAAATATTAGTTAACGAAAATAATAACAATAATATATCGATTATAAATAAATAATAACATATTTTTTTCATTTATTCAACGTAAGCAAGTACTTGCTCTTCTAATCAGAAGCAATCAAACTTGGTGCAATCACTGATAAGACTGGTCCTTATATTGTAGTTTTTTCTTCGGGACACAAACTTAAATAATTATACATTTTTGGAACAATATATTAATAGAACATTTATAACCTCTTACAATAACAATTTATTGATGAGTAGGTAGCTGTTATTAGGGACCACGTATGCTTTTTTTGGCATAGAAGGTATATTTAAAGGTTTATTTAATAAAAATCTATTTCTTACAATGCGTTCAGTTGTTTATTTAATAAATGAAGACAAGAAACAGAAGACATATTTTTTAATTAATATTTAGTATGGACATGTAATAATGTTTTGAAAAAACCTCAGAGATGATGTATTGACATACATTACTCCTGTGGTTTTTTCAAGTGATGAACATAATAGGTACTTTAACTATTATGTTCCAGTAAAAAGTTATTTAGATATATTTGTCATCTAGTGTAATATAACGTAACAGCAGCCAGCACCAACCGTCTTCTAAAAGCATTATTTTTATCAGGCGGGTCGTCAGCTTGTTCTTTATTTTAGTAAAATAAAGATTAATATTATCTTACTAAAAAATATGCATCACTTCTCGTCTAAATAATTATAGACGTAGCTATGGGTACATACAGTATACAATTTTCTCACAACTGTCTCCTGTCTGCAGAATAATAAGTAGTGTAGGGAATTTGCATCTATACTACCTTATATTGTCTCTGTTTAAGGTATGCTATCAAAGAGGCACGCAAGAGAGATTGTAAACCACGAAAGCGTAGCCATATTATTTCCATTAATTGCTTATGCTCGTAGTGTAAATATTCAATGACCATAGTAAACAAGTGTCCTTCTATGTTAGAACCAAGATCAATTAAACAGTTTTATTGTGTTATAGAGACTTTAAGTACCTGACATTGAATACGAATAAAATATTGAACACCGAAAGGACTGTAAAACTAATAGATGAATAGAAGAGTAAGACATGATTTTAAATGAAATGAATGAGTTAAGGAGTGATGAATAATAGGAATGAAAACCAATTGTGTATGTAGTATATAAGTAGGTAATTTTTTTCTTATGGATGATAATGGAATGATGCACTTATCTGCGTTAACGGTTTACGCTGGCGGAGCACCAGTGGAGGATGATAAAATGAGTATGAAGTCAGGTCAGTTAGCCCATCATGGCAAATGGCGGTTTACCTCGGTGGTAACTCAACATGAATGTTACATTAAATCACTGAAATACTAATTGAGTTAAAGATTGAATACCGAGTGGATTGTGAAACTAACAGAGATGGATGAAAAAGCAAAAACATGATTCTAAATGAAATGAAAAATAGAAATAGAACAGCAATGGTGTCTGTAGTAGGTACATAAGTAAATACCTGTAGATGTTTAAAAGGAATTTGCACGTCATTACTTTATAATAATAATAAACTGTCATGACTGTTATCACAGATAGGGTAGTTAGAAGAATTATCGACTATCGTTATCAGTGCAACGCAATACTTATATGTCTAATGTAATAATATGTCTTAACTTAAATATAGAATAACATAGTTTGGTGTATTTGAATCCAACGTGGCAGAGGCCAGAATCTGTAGCCGTCTCTCCTATTAGTTTTGTTGTTCACGGTGTTTCCATCACCGTAGAGTCAGTCAGAAATATAAAAGATATAGAATATTTTATTATCAACAAAAGTAATACAACGTTCCAGTGTAAGTCGAAGTAGCGTATCACTAGCCTACGCCGCTCTGTCTTTTTTATTAACAATTTATTTTTAAAATTATCACGTATCAAGGTAGTTTATTTTGTAGACAATAACTTAAACGTTGGTAATATTTTTTATACGTCGTACGTGACGTCGACGCGACGTATACGTTGAATACATAAGGTATGTACCTATACATTGAATCTCTGCGATATGACTATTGACATCGTGTCGTCGCTTCATTTAATTGGGAGTCACTGTACACCACTGTATCTATCTGCATATAAAGCTAACAATCGAAAATTATTTAGAATCTTACCCTTTGAATTATTGTCTTTCGGTAATTCCAAATACTAACTTAATAATAATAATTCTCAACCACCAGTTTAGGTGAATGTCAACAAGTCCGAGTAGGTAGGTATATATTACCTATACCTATTCGGGCTAACATAACCTTCAAATCGAGTGAAAGAGAAACTGAATATGCAGTTGACTTGGCAATCTCTCATGACAGTATTCTAAGAAAGAATTATATACCACAGCTACTGCGAGACTATTATTATATTAAATAAAAAAGGTGTCAGAGGCACTTGTGGCAACGAATCCATCATGTTACACGGATACCGTTGCTCACGAGAATCACCCAACAATATGGGAGCGAACTTTCTAACTCCTATGTAAGCAGACGCTTTGAAGTTACTTTGATTGACGAGCCAACTAAAGCAGAATATATATATATAAATATGTCTACTGACTCTTCGCTTTTACCTGTGCCCCAGATAGCAAATTCTGAAATTAGTTTTAAAAAATAAAAAGTTCGAAGTCGTTGACAGCCTAGCTACTTATTTACTTTTCTAAAGTAGGAAGTACCCAATGTTCGTTATCTTTTACAACAGTCTTTTTTATAAGGTCATATAACATTATATAGTTATTATTAGCTATGCTAATTAATTGTTGACGAAATTTTATTTTAATATGAGAAATAATTATCTACTATACATAGAAAATTTAACAGATTTGTTGCGGTGAAATTTTTTTTAGATATCTCTTAGTATTATTGTCATTATTTAAATAAATTTAATTTTAAGAACTTCTAAGTACTATTTTTGTATTCTACCATTATATTCAGAATGCAGAGCCAAAAAGAATGGTTAATAAATACTGCTGCTCTTTTGACGATGTATGCTAATGTTATGAAGAGGTAAAGTTTGTAGTTTGGAAGTTTGGGGTAAATATCGGTACTACGCTTCTAATTTCTAAAATTGTTTATTATTGTATAGATGATACTGTAGGTGTATAATATCACGCTATGACTAATAGGAGCGGAGCTGCAATGAAAAATTGTTGTTGGAATAATAATGACAAAGGCGTATTTGTACGGGTAGGCTAGTGACCTATTATATTATAAAAGGTTAAAATTTCCTTTGAATGATGGGAATAAATCAACAAAGTACCAAAAAAGAGACAATAATGAATCTCTAGATATTAGCTCGATATTGGCATATATTATATCTTTATATACAGGTTGTCACAGATATATCAAGCATACAATTAAGAAAGAAAATAAATCAGTCGTAGCGACTAGAGTAGATCAATCCCTACAAGTAGATTTATTCTAACAAGACAAGAAATGAATCATTCTCAAAAAGAAAATAAGTGGTACGGATATAAAACGAAATTATAGGAGCCTTTTGAGAGTTTTGCGTGGAAGTAATCCGTAAAGGGTCGAGGATATGGATTCTTTGGAACTTTCCGCAGCTTGTTAATAAGTTCTAACTTTTCAGACGACATATGTAGTAGCTATCGTAATTTTTATAACGAGATCTTCGCATATATTTAAATCAAGTATGTCATAGGCAATTAATGCTTTGTAAAATGTGACTACTATTTTGTATAGAATATTATAGATGAAAAGGAGACAACAGAATTTAGAATAAGAGTATTAAAAATAGTCGTATAAATTTCGGTGACCATGATTTTGGAAGGTCTACATAGTTCTTTCTCATTTAAGTATAACGAGAATCAGAAATTTTAAAATGATGAAGAACACCTTTAGATTAAATTTTATGATTATGTATAAGTTACTGACTCACTGTTTGATATTTTTGTTTCTATTCTGTGTTTATCTTAATAATGATAGAATAGGCAATATTGTTGTAATGGATTTCTCTTGTTTTTCATGCTTTAATTTCATCTAATTGAGTGCTGAATATAACAATTATAACACAGCACTTTTATCCCTCGAGAAGGCTGGCCCCTAATAGGTAATATTTGTAACGTTAGTAAATTTATAGTATTAAAGGGACGTTTAGTTTGCAGGGAGCAAAAGCGCAGATTATTTAAGAATTGTAAAATTTGTGACCTCATCAATTTGTTTTGCGTACTGGTACCATTTGTTAAGTAGAAGCATACTCACAATAAGCCGATGATAGACCTGACCAATTCAGGAGCAACTAAACAGCATTTGCCTGGTAACGTAAATGTAACATAGATAAACAAGTGTTCAAGTTTTAGATTAGGTACTATTGAAGTCAAAAACATTGTATTCTTTTGTCATATAATAACAACTTACATCAGATTGATTAATGCTTTAAACCTTGTAACGAGTTAGGCGGCAAGCAAAATTCATTAATGTCGTACATGTTTGTACGAGATTTACTTATACAAATTGGTCAAAATACGATGTTAGAGTGTCAATATAAGTCATTATCAGATTGTTTATATCTTCGTCCGAGGTTCAACAATGTATATTGACAACCATAATGGTACATTCCCACAAACTTTTAGGTTGGCCAAATTTTATGCTGAAATTATACGCTATTCCATTCAAGGTTTATATTTTCTCTTGACAAACGCCACTATTCCGGTTAAACACAATTGTTTGCAGATCTGTGCCAACAATAACAAAGGCGAGTCATGACATCGATGTTAAGTAATGAAATAACTTGAAAATGTCGGAGCTTGCCGGCAAGGCTGGTTGGTCCGCAGCTTGCTCCCACTCTCGCGCAACGGTACTCGCGTGCACAGTCGGCGCTCGCTTCGCACCACGCTGCGAGGTCTCTGCCCTCCTCCCGGTGAATTTACACGCCTCAATGCGTCCGCGCACCTTACATTCCACAATACAAAAAGTTCGATTTCTTACTCGCACCTTAAACAGAATATTGGAAACGCGAATCTCTTAATCGCGATAACTTCGAGAGCCCAAGTTCTCTCACTTGGAACTTTTAATGTGCCCCATTACGGCACGCAGCGGTGTGTAAGAGAACTTTTATCAATACAGCCTTTTATAAGCTCTCAACTCTTCGGGAGTTAAATGTGATTTGTGAAATGTTGCGAATTATGGAGATTTTATGTTTGCACATCGGCGAGGTGGTTTTTTACCGTGCTTGAGCGCTAAAGTGAAAATTGTGTGAATTATTGAACAAGGAACTCCTTGAAGGGAAATATTAATAAGGTAAGTTGGGAAGCAATATTTAGCAAATATTTTAGTGACTCTGTACTTACATACTAGGTAATTTATTGTAGAAATGAAAAAAATCTATTGGGATATACAAACCAAACAAGGTACCTTACTTATTTAGGTATTTCCTAGATAAAAAACAATATTAAACAATAAAAAAACAAGCTTATCTACACATTTCCATAGCTTTATAATTTTTTCTTGTGAAATAACTCAATCTATTTAACTGATATTATTTACATGGAGTAGATCTGTCAATACTTATTTTCCACATCGATAGATATTTTTAACTTTAGATAATCTTTTATTCAATTAAATTCTTTTTTAACATCAATAACGGCTCTCATCATAAAGTGAATTTAGCAATTCCCAATTCTTTACGGTTGTTATGAAACTGCAATAATGCTATTTGTTCACCTTGCGTCATTATTTCGAGACGTGACGAGATGTTCAAGCGACTCATCCATTTCAGCCGCCAAGAAGCTTGCTTTATAAGGTATTTTGATCGTAAAAATTACGATATAAGGATAAGAGGCATGATTTTTCCTCTGAATTAATCCTCTGGAATAGCAACGTGGTATCACATGCTAATGTGATGTCGGTAGAGCTATTCATGTAGCTATATGCGATGATTACCGTTTACCATCACGTGGGCTGTCAGGTAATAAGCTGACAGCGCACCTTATGGTGAATGCATAATTCGAATAACATTAAAAAAATACCGTTGCTGAGCAAATTCTTCCTGGGACAAGACTAGATGAGGATATAGGCATTTTATGTCGCAGGAAATAACCTGGAACCCCTTCTAGATGAATTCATGACATAATATAAAAGGTAACAGGGCAACATTAGATGAAATAGAGATAGATAGATAACATACAAAATAGTAAACAGTTACAACAACTAAAAATTCGTACACCGCAAGTGTCACATAATGCGGGCATGTTACTGAATTCTGTGCGGTGCAGCAGTGCAAAAGGCTGTAGGTACCTCAGTGCGATTAGTGCCCAGGATATAAAAGTTTATTATGGCAGATGAAGTTGCAGGTAACACTTAGTCTAGTACGTTTCTACTATAACCTTGTATATTGCATACTATTTAACTTAAAGTGTCCTGCCCCGGCTTGACATGGGTGCAATTTTTATATAGTACATTACCAAGTATTTTATAATATCAGTTTAGAGTATCTTGTTAATTAATACGACTGTACGGTTTCTGTCTGGCTGATGATTAAAAATAACCACAATAGTTCTTTATTTACTTCAGCATAAATTAGTATGATAGCAGAATATATCTAATTTAAAATTTTAAGATATCAAAATTTTAAATTGCCTATGCTTGACTTTGGTCAAGCCAAATTTTAAACTTTGCCTCTGATTTTATAATAAATTGTGTAAATATTTACCTTTAAAAGTAGACTGGTTATAAACGACTTTGTAACTGTTTATCAAAGTTTCTTGCCAATGAAGAGTTGATACTTTATACTTAAAAGAGCTTATAAGATTGATAATATAATACCTACTTGTATTTTGACTTACACAAGTATATACGAGCAGGATCTATTTTTAATTGATACATTGATTATTGAAAGTAAATAGTCTAGTTAGCTATAGTGAGCTGCTCTTTACATATGGATTAAAACGTAAAACATCACACAACTTCGAAGAACTATGATGGTCTACACTAAAATGCATGATGGGAAGTCCTCCGGAACCGCAACGCATGGGTGGTATCTGATAATGTAATGTCCGTATTGCTATTCATGCATACAGGTGACGGTTACCACTTACTATCAAATGTGCCGTCAGCATGTTTGCCATTACATTTACATGAAAAAAAATAACAGTCAATGTACAGCTACAGTTACTGATCGTGTTAAAGCAAGAATAATGAGCTCTCCAAAAAACTCTGAGAACTGTTATATTTATATTTGTATTGAATATTAAGGTCGTAGCAATTTCCTCATAATATATGTAATACGTGACAAACAATTTGTCTCCTAAAATTCTCTCGTATTACTCAGGGAATATAGTGTAAATTGGTGTGGATTTTTAGCACATACGAAATCTACACATTAATCTGCGTAATGGGCAATATGTTGTGACAACGCCTTGTCTTAACATTTCTCAAGAAAGTAAGTAAAAGTGTTATGTGATTAGTTTGTTTAGTCCTCCGCAACGGGTTTGAAATATTACAGTGATACAGGGTTGCCATAATTGACGTCAAGAACAGGTCAAGGCCTAGTAGGTAACTACAATTTCAATTCATCCATCCATCAACAGCATTTAAATATTTCGAAAAAAAGATTGTTTCTGGAACATATCAGATACTTATGTCATTGTACAGTTATTTTAACTATTCAACTTTGAAATGCTATTTATTTATAAATAAAAATTGCATAAAATTTGTTGAATAAGTATGCTTGAACAAATGCCAGAAGATAAAATATTTGACTAAATTAGTTGTTGATTTGTTTAATGTTATATAGATTTATACATTTGTTATTACGCTGATTATAATAATCGATAACTCTGACACAGCAACAGAAAATTAAAACATGAAAAATAATCAGGCTTTGTAATTTTTCTTATTTTTAATATTTGTTGCGTAAATTGTTTTAAGAATTCGGGGTGCCGAGTGAGTTACTCAGGCTAAATTGATAATATTTATAAGGCGAGGCGTAATAAACTTGTATCCAGTGATGTATGAAGATGGAAGTGTAAGCGATATACAGAGATCCTAACAAATGGTGCTATTCCCAACGGTTAATCCTTTGGGAAATAGGGAACGAGAAATGATGATATAGATAGCTATGTGTTTTAACTTAAAATGAATTACAACAGATCAGCAGATCTACTAAAATATATCTAAAATATGGATTTCAATCCACTTGATTTTTATACTTGTTTTAAATGGAATAAATCTGTAATAATGTCTGATAATGAAACTTCATTATCAGACATTATTACAGCTTTATTCTAAGTCTAGATAGCTATCTAGACTTAGAATAAAGCTACTTTTAATTTATCAATGAAATATATAAACTAATATTTTTAATACTTCGATTTATTTGTGCAGAACCGACAACCCTACACAACATAAGGAAACCCTATGTGTTCATGTAGACATGTAGAATGAAAGCCGTCTTATTAAACGTTGTTTGATTTTCTTCGCTTTCTTTAATTATTGAATTGCTAGGCTATTGAGCTTATGAAGACTTAAGAATACTTTTATAATATCGAAATGAAACAGGTTCATATATGATATTATATTAAAAGAGTTATTGTAGAAACACTAAAACAACAGCATTATACTTGTAATTATTGAATTGCTAGGCTAAGTCTCAGATTGAGCTTAGGAAGACTTAAAAATTGTTCTATTATATCGTAATTAAATAAGTCCACATATATTATAGCAAAGAAAATTTTATAGAATGATTAAAACAACAGCATTATAATTGTCTTTATACGTATTTGTCTCTATATTAACTTTTAAAATTTCATGAAAAAATTAATAGTTAATTGGTGGTTTCATCCAGAGTGCCTCAATTTTTTTATCACGTAAACCGTTTCTCTGGTTTTAAATAGACTTTCTGTTATTCTAGTAAATTCTTGAACCACGGGCTGGTCCTGTCGACATCTGGATCATTATGAATATTATTCGTGGACTACTAATATCATAAACACATTAAGTGCGTGATAGAATGATCCGCCACATTAAAAAATAATTTATTTATTAAAAAAAATTTTGGTCATTATAGTATTTTGTTAAATTTTATCAAATTAAGAAAATACTTTAATTTAATGTTAATATGAGGATAAGTAAACTATACATTGATGTGCAAGTATAATATATCCGGTAGTAACACGCAATTCCGTGGAATTAACGAGATATGTAATTCATGTATGCACGAGATGATAGTTGCCGGCTCGGTTCCGCTTTTTAGTCGTTACTTGATGAGCCCAATTAATGATCTAGTTTTATAGTTTAAAAGAACAATATTGTGAGATAGTAATTATTATAAGAAACAATGATTTTCAATTAGTTTTAGTATTTAATAAGTTCCAATTTGTTTCATACTCTATTTAATCTCTAACTCAGAAATGAATTAATTTATAGTAATGTACAATGAACATTGTAATCGTTGATTATTAAGAGCTTTCAAATAAAAAACATCTTTCAGATCCGGATCATTACTTGCCATTGTAAGAGCTATAATAACCACAAAGGCTATATGAGATTTTTGTCAAAAATTATTAGTATCTCTATAAATTTATGTAAATATAAATTTAAATTTATCCAGTTTTACTACAGTACAGTATTTTATATTCTATTTTAACAAAGCTATCACTTCTTTTCCCTCAGTTTGTATAACAACAATTATAAACTTTAAATAACAAGACACACAGAAATACGTTTTATGAATAATTCAACTGGATTTTGAATACATTATACTTCTGGAATGGCTTATAAAACTACTATAATACTTTAAAACCAGCTTCTATTCACATAAAATAAATTATAAACAAGTTAATATTCTAGCACTATATAAAGCCACTTTTATGAAGTAACGAATGACTCATTTTGAGGTGGTGTAGTAATTTAAAATGTTATGTATATTACATAAGTTATATATATTGCAACTAATGTATTATAATGCATTACTTGTAAGTACGAATCTATCTGAGATGAATGGTATATGAACTAATTTTAATTCCAGTACATATGTAGTTATATTTCGTAGAACAGAGAAGTATGTTTTCCTTATGGATGACAATAGAATGGTGTCCCGCCTGCGCTAACGGTTAACGCTGGCGGGGCACCAGTGAAGGATGATAAGATAAGGTCAGGTCAGTTAGCCCATCGTGGTAAATTCACCATGAATTTATTACGTTGGTTTCCAGAGAGAACCAAGTGGAGAACAACTTAATATAGTCCATTGCAATGTGGCTATTAGTTCACATTACTAACAATCCCCGTCCTAACACAGAGAA